TTTAATGTTTCTCTCTTGGCCCTCTATTGTCAGCTTTACTCTGTCTAAGGAAACATAAAAGCCAGGTACTGCAGCAAAGTATGATTAAAGGCGGTGAAGGAAAAACACCAGTTGAGAAGCACAAGAGTTTCTCTAAATCACACAACTCTGTAGAGGTTGCTGTGTGTGTTCTTGACAGCGGCCATCTTTTTCTCCCTACACAGGACGTTTACCACTGGCAGATAATGGATGGGAACCTGACCCAGAACATTCAAAAATACTTCCCCCTCATAGGCAAGTAACACACTCCACATCAAACTTTGAAATTTCCTGTTAGCTCACATGGGGACATCATTTCACATTATAAAATGCATGTTTGGTACACAGTTCCAAAATCACTGAGATCTAAATATAAATGGAAAGCACTGTGGGTTAGGTTAGCAGTAGACTGACAGTCTGCCACTGTCTTAGGAAAGCCAAGCAGAGTCATAAGATCTGTTCTAATTAACTTTTTTTATACCCTTTTTAAAATTAAATAATCACACAGTGTGTACAGGAGTTCACACATCACTTTCTGTGATTTGACAATAATGATCACAGGCAAGTGATGGATAAAAATTACTATTACTTATTTTCTTATTCTTACTTTTGGTACAAACCAAGTTCCAGAAATGTAGGTAGGACAGTAGGTAAAATGCAAATAAAAACAAAGCAGTATTTATAAATCCATGATAACCTGTGTTTGAAAAAAACAGCACAAGACAAGATATGTAATGTTTTATCTTATCAACTTAATTGTTTTTTCACTCATTCAGAAATGAAAGCCTGAAACACCTCCAGAACAGTTGGCACAAGAACAATTTAAAACTAGGAACATTGTAAAATGTTAAAAAAAAAAACGTGATGCAATAATGCTTGTGTATTAAAGGTGCATCCAGTCCTAGTCCTTTATGAGCAAGGAAGAGTCAACACTCTCCACTTGATGAATCGGCAGAAAATCCTACAGTTTAAAAATAACTTTTTCTCAATAAAAGAGGGCAAGGTTTTAGATGTTTCACTCTCTACATCAAAAGATTCAGACCAAAAAACACAACTAAATTCCCATGATCTTCGACCTATCAGATAGCACTGCATTAAAAACCACCATACTTTTGTGATGGATTAGGGAATTATTTGATAAACTGTGGTACACAAATGCAAGTTGTACTATGCACAGCGTAGTATGTAGTCCTGTGTCACCTGTGTCCAGAAATGCTGTTGATTTCTCTGGGTTCGAGCTCATCTGAAATGGACTGATGCAAAGTGGAAACATATTTTGTGGTCAGACAAATCAAACTGCATAATTTGCACGTCTATGAAGAAACAATTAACGCTGATCACATTTTGGAGCAATAAATGCAGCTTTCTAGATGATGGCAAAAAAAAAAATCCACTTTCAAAACAGGAACAGCTTGTCTCTTCAGTCCCCAAAGGATTATTAAGTGCTGTTAAAAGGAAAGGTGATGGTGCTAAACATACTCCTGTCCGAGGTTTTTTGGAATGTTTTGCAGGCATCATATTTGGAATGAGCATATATTTACAAAAAACAGTGAAATTTATAAGTTGTTTTTGTATGTTTTTCAATTAATACGGGTCTAATAGAATGTACTAATAACTGAGTTTTTGTTTTTAGTAGCATTTCTCATACTGTCCCGACTGGAATTGGGTTTGTAGTTAACAGGACATAGACAATGAACGTGTTGCCTATTGGCTATTATAGTGGTCCAGTCTAGCCAGACTAAACTGACATTTTTTCCATATTATTCCCATACAAGTACCATAAACACATCAACACTACTGCATTTCAATCACCTGACAAGTGGTTAGGGGTGTGTGTGTGTGTGTGGCGGGGGGGGGTCGATTCTTAGATGCATCGCGATGCATGGACGTGAATGATTCTGAATCGATTCACAAATGTCAAAAATCGATTTTCTAAATATTTAATTTATAACGTAATGTTGACGGAACGCAAAAGGAGGAACTTGGAAGTACGGAAGTGCAGCGCCCGGACACTCCGTGACACGCACATAACAAAAACACAACTGGATGAGCGAGAAATCCGACCGGCACCCGCTGCATTAAAAGCTAGGTCAGGAGTCGACAACCCAAATGTTAAGAAGAGCCATTTTGTCCTTTCAACAAAAATCAAAACACTTTGGTAGCCACAACATTTAATGTCCAAAATGTCTCAGTATGTGATAATGTCCTAGTATAGGTGAAAAAATATAAATGAAAATGCAGACTTACTTTGCTCTGCTTTAAGCTTTAGCTATAGCTGCTTTCCTCCCATCTCCACAAGAAAACTTTTCTTCAGAAGTAAAACAGCTTATTGTAAAATGTCTCTCAACGTTCGACTGTTTTACGAGGCTGAAATCAGCTTCTCATTCTCCAGCTTCTTGTTCAAATTTTCCCGTTCCACCTTAAATTCTGCTCAAGGCGCCCAAATTTAAATGCGGCACCATTTAAGGTGGACTGGGAAATTTCAAAAGAGAAGCTGACTTCAGCCTCACAACTTTTTAGTGTTTGACAGTCTCTCGTTGCAGATTTAACGTACCAGAAAACCAACTGTGTTGCTTATAAATGCGAATAACAGTTCATTGGTCTCCAAATGTTCGTCTTAAATCTCTCTCTGCCGTTTCGTTCGCTACTAGCTAGGCGAGACTGCATTGCTAGGTGACCTGCAGTCTGCACGCCAGGGGAAAAGGGACCTGGATAAGAGCCATAACGTTACTGTATGCAAGTTGTGTCACACTAAACTAAAATATTTTGGAAACGACAAACATGAGAAACCATATTACATGTTTCCACCCGTTTTTCTACCGGTTGTACTTGCTGCCAGCCAGAGGACCATCGAGCAAGCGATGTCAAAGCTTCCACCCAACTCGGAAGGGAATTACAAACTCCATCAATACTTTTATTGCCAAGGATTTGCGTCTGTTCTCAGTCGAGATCCAGGGCTTTCGCGCTATGTTGGGCACATTTCTTTTATTAATAAAAGAATATTGGAAGTAAATTCATTATGGATCATTACAAATACTTTCCTTTAAAAGTACCAAGTCCTCACACAGTCCTTCGGTCCTTTATATAGGCTAACACGTAATTAATGTATTTTCTGGGTAAAAGAAAATCAAATAGCACATGCTTATATAGCTAGAGATGTGCTCATTAGTATATCTAATAAATACAGGTGAAGACTTTTATTCAGCATGTCGTTGCTGCTGAAACAAAATCTTTTATTTCCATTTTGGTTGTTTTTTTTTTTCTTTTACATAATTTGAAAATGCCCACTGCCATTTACACTTTCAGCTTCATGACAAATGGACCAACAGAAATGGTCCAACATTTTTTAAACAAGGTTTTGTTCCAATTATATGTGACCTTATGAACCTAAAAAAATAACTTAAGGGGGATAATCCATTTTGTATTGTTAAAAATGCATGATGAATGTTAGGCTATGTTATATTTCCTCATCTCATCTGCTCATCTTCCCTTCAGAACATGTTAAATTATTTAGTTACTTTCTGTGTTCAATTTAATAAACATTTGGTTCTCATATTGGCAGGTCTTAATAGTAAATAATACCATTTAGTACTGTTTGAGTACTAAGCAATGTTGCAGAAGACTTGGTATCAGCATTGATGTTAAAACTCTGGTTTTGTGACAGCTCTATCTTGCAGTATAGGTCAAACTCTCCTCTTCTGAGTCCACAGCACAATTACCTCTCTACATCACAGGTCATGTCCAGGTCGCCCAGGTTCCTGACCGCCATGAACCAGACAGTCCAGGAGAGGTCAACTTCCCCTACCTCTTTAACCTGCTGGAAAAGCTGGGCTACCAGGGATACGTGGGATGTGAATACAAACCGATGGGTGAGTACACAATTGTCTGAGATTAAAATTGACTCATGAACTGTCTTTTTGGTGTTTATGGAAGATGTAAATTCAGGTTAAAAGTAAGAGGACAGTGCTTTTTAGTAATCATTTGTGTTTTTCTTGTTGTAACAACTAATTCAACTCCATGTAAGTAATTAAGCCATTTATGAGCAGTTAAGAGCAAGAAAACCACAAAACTGTGCTCAGACTGAGAACAAGTAGAGAAAGGAGCAAAGGTGTTATTGATTGAATCTTAAAGAAATCAGGGTCAGAAACCACACAAGCAAGTCTATTTGAAATTACTTAACACAGTTTGAGGGAAGTGTGAATTAGACATGCAGTTTGGTTATGAATTGTTAGATACATTAGCTTTGTTGCACCAATGGAAAATTAAAAACTGAAGCAAACTTGGCATATGCAGCATTCTGTGGTTGATTAACTATATTTGGGGTACAGAGGGTAGCTGTATAAATCTGATTTTTCCTTTTTTTCTTTCATTTTTTTGTTTTGCAGCGCCATGTTCGTGTTTTGAAAGAGGTTCAAAAACTAAAGGTTCTCTGGTCTTTCAGGTTCCACAGAAGCAGGCCTGGATTGGGTGAGGAAGTACTGGGAGGGCAGAAAGTGAGAGAAACTGCAGTTTGTCAAGATCAAGATTGAGCTTTAGTAGGACACAATGGAACAACACCTTCCCCTCCCCCCTCTTCTACTCCATCAGCAACATTTTAATCTTGGAGGAAATCTTGCCCACATTTAAAGTGGTGCTGTTGTGCAGGGGGAAATCAGGCCTTTCAGTGTGTGTCTGTGTATGTGTATGTGTGCAGAAATCATGGCCAGCAAATGCACGCATATTTGGAGAAACTGGAGCAGTAATTACACACATATTTACTGATAGGCTTGTTTAGATGGTGCCTCTTGTCTGCTAGAGATAAGCCTGGAATTGAACACTTCATCAGTGACTTCCTTTGCCAACAGTGTCATAAATGCTCAAGAATAATACTAGGAAGTTGCTATTATATGCAAGTCCTTATTTGTGTCATCAAGCAAAATATAAACTTCTGTTTAAAGTGACCCGTTGGGTCTGTCTTTCAAAGCACCGTATTAAAAACAACATTGGTTATTAACTTATGGTTTATTGTTACATTTTATACTTACAAACGGTTCAGTATATACATAATGTACAAGTCTCAGACATTTAAACCACTCTAATTATAATATTGCCTAAATACACACATCAGTTGCAAATGATTAGCTTCTTGCATTATTAAGCATACGTGTCCAGTGTCCTCCTTTTCAAACAAAAACAAAAAACACCCTGCCTCATTCAGCAGTAGAGTTTTGAAGAAAAGCTCAAAATCAACCAATAATAATTGGTTTCCTTCAGTGATAGGCTGCCTATGAGCCCCAAGGTGATGCAGAGACATCGTAGTGCTCCTGTGAAGTGTGCGCCAGTAGTAGACATTTTCCTGCTGCTCAATCCGTAAACTGAGATGAAGTATTTTTTGTTTTTTCCCAATTACATAATGATGATTAAATTGCAACGGTTTTTTTCTCGATTTTCAAAGATTCTCCTCTGTTGATACAACATTCATTCATCTGTCCGCATCTTTAGGAAATAAGGCAAAGAAAAGAAATGTAGGCACTTTTGGGGTGAAGATGGCATGGCAGTAGGGGAAATTGTAAAATACCAACAGGGTGAAAGAGAACGCAAATAGCCAGCAATGCTAATAACTAGTATCATGGACACCCACAGTAATGTACAGCAGTCATTTGCTTCAAGCCTAACACGCCACCGCACTCACTGAGGGGCTGAGTCATTTTTTCTTTCCAATGTGTGCGTAGCATACAGCGGACCTGAATGATTCATTGAATAAATGACAACGTCAAGTCAAAGTCTCTGTCTCACCCTCGCTCTGTCACACATTCCTGATCAGAAATCACCGTTGCACTCACTTATTTCAGTGATGCAGGGTTAACTTCATCAAATTCAACCTTAGAACAATTAGCATTAGGGCTGCACAATATATTGTTGGTTAATTGTTATCGCGATACTGACCCTTTGCAGTAATTATATCACAAAGGGCTACAGTGTGCAACTGAGCCCTCCAACCAAGCACTAAATGTTTCATTCAGGTGACTGTAATATAATTTTGGTCAAAACAATGCAAGCTAATCACATACAGCGTTCACTAATGTGTCTAATTCTAATACATCACAACTTTGTAATAGCAATAAAATCACAATAATGAATTTCGTCCATGTTGTGCAGCCCTAGAGGTTTTCATTCAACTGAACGGGAAACAAACAGCCTGAAGAACACAAATATAAGCTGAATAGAGTATGGCTTTGGCAAACCAGCAAGGTGTCATTAGCCTGTATTGCTGACTAGAGACCATCTCAGTCATGTAAAATACAGCCTTATAAGGGGCCAGTTTTTGTAAGTGGTAAAATGCTTAGGCCATTGCAATAAGCACTTCACACATAAGCATCGTTCGGTTCGAGTTGCTTCACCGTGAGGTAGTTTTCCTCTCAGTCCGGCCACACTGGATCCATTTGGAGGTCAAACAGGCCACTTAAACCCAAAATACACTGACCCCACTTTTTCCAGCAAATACTAGCAAAGCCAAGCATTAGGTTTGATGTGCTGTACCTTTGTGTGATTGTTGAGAGTCTATAGAACATTTTCTATGCACTGGTTTATTTGGCTTTTTAATTTGTTGTCTGGAACATTTTAAGCCAAATGCCAATATTGTTGTCACATAGTTGACATGTGTTGGGCTTTACAGTTTGTACCATAAAACGTACTGCTACAAGACATTATCCCAAATGTTGTCAGTTTGCAGCTTAGATTTCTTCTTCGTATTATAGTATATACACTTTTGCCACATACACACAGAGACAAATTTCAGGTGGTTTTCAAAGATTTTGTGTCTTTTCCCACTCCATCTGTGGGGTCGTTATAGCAGACCTGTCCAGAGGTTGTAGCAGGCTGTGTTGATCACAGACTCCAAGTGATGGTACATGGAGACCAGCTGGGGCGGAGGGCTGTTGCTAGGCTGCGGTTGTGATGGCAACGGCTCCCTGAAAACAACCTTGAGGCTCTGGAAGGAAAGCAGGAGACAGAGGGGTTAAGGAAAGATCAGTGTGCGATTTCACGCTGCAGTTAGCGTCCTGACGCTTTTACACATGGAAATGAATGTTATCGCCTAGATTCAGGCTAGGATAAGAATTTGAAAAATACAATGCCTCACCGTTTTCCCCGCCTGGGCATCCAGGAAGACCAGCACAAAGCAGTCTGTGAACTTCTGGTTAAGGACAGCCTGAAAAGAAAAAAGAGAGCGAGTTAATGACATTCAGAAAGAGTGGCATTTAAACTTCCAAATTCTTCCGCCCGTTTTCCTTTTCATCTTTAAATATAACCTCCAGTGTGCATGATCCATTTAATGTCAGCCAGCATTAAGGCATTAAAACAGCACTGCTTTTCAGCACAGATGCTAACAGAGGAGAGTTCTGTTTTGGATGTATGGAAAGAAAAAAATTACAGAGCATGTGAGCAGGCTGCTTTCACAGCATCAGCACAAAAATCTGTGAAAGTACCAGTCCTTTTGATGTGGAGTCTCTCATTTACAGAATTAAGGAGGGAGTAACCTCCTGACACTTTGGAGGAGCTGACAATTATTCCTCATAAAATTCACCTAATCCCCTGCGAGACTTTAATTTAACATTTTAACACTACGCAGGCGTTCACTGGAAACCACAAAGGTCTGAAAGCACTGAATAGATTACTCCCCTTTTCTTCGCTTTTACCTTCAATAAGTGCCCAAAGTAAGTGTAATCTACCTCCAAGCTAAGTTTAATTCTTCAAGGTGACTCAAGGCAACTGCTGAGTGGATTTATGCAATTTTTTTATACAGTGGGATTTAAAATAAATAAATACATAAAAAGCTCTCCTCAGAAAAAATCAAGGGGTGTAATTAAAGTGCTCTGCTGTCCTGGTGTTCGTGTCAAATGTTCAGATGTAAATGGTGTTTCCTCTGTAGAGGCAGGAACATTACATTTTTGCCAGGTGATGTGGGCTGCTGGAGGCGGAGGTTAATATTTCTGTGCATCTACTTTGGGCACTATACAGGTACAGGACTGAAGTCTTTATAGAAGCTGAAAAAAGAAAGATAAAAACCACACATACTACGGAGCTCTTACCAGGTACTGAATGCCGCTGTCGTCCACAAAGTGCCTGCAGCTTTGATGGAAGCGTGAAAGCAGCACTTTGATCAGACTCTGATACCAAGCAGGGCTCATGGTCAGGAAACAATCCTGTCAATCAACACACATCATCTGCATCAGAAATATATATTTGTATTTACATATTTAGCAAATGTTCTTATCCATAGTCACTGACAATAGTAAGCAAAAGTAATGGTAGGGGTCTTTTCCAAGGACTGTTACTGGTGTGCACAGTGAGTTGTCAGTTTACTAGGTATGCCTACCTTGTATCTTCACTCATTGGCCATTTTTATCAGAAATACAGATGCACTTTGTAAGTGTACAATAAAAACTGTAGCCCATCTACTGCACATTTATGACCCCCCTCTACCCCAATCATCAAAGGAATGTGACCACTACAAGACCACTGCTGATCAGGTATTTGCATGGTGGATCATTCTCAACAATGCACTGACACTGACAGGGTAGTGCATGTCAAACTGGGGACCTTCTGGGCCTTCTGTTAACGCAGTGGTTCACAGCCTGGTCCACATTATTTACTCCAATCCTACTCACAATACATAAGGAATGAGGGAAAAAAGTGGACCGACTTTGGAGCTTTGAGGACCCTTAAGAACCACTGTGTTAATGTACAGTTTGTATTAGCCATGCTCTAACCCTTCATCAGTGGTCTGTTTCTGACCACAGAGCTGCTCTTGGCTGGAGGTTTTGGGTACTAGACCACTCAACCCAGTGGTGAGACTAATGTGCGTAAAAACCACTCACAATCTGCTAGACTACTTTGATGTTGGACTATCTTTGAAATAGGCTTAAAGCAGTGTAGCCCACCTGTACAAAAGAGGCTGATGTTTTCCTGCTCTAACGCACTTGATTCTGTTCCAGAAGGACCAGTGAAAAAACAAAACGTGTTTGTGTAGATCTGGGAATCCCCCAGGATCCAAATCTACATATTCTTTCTAATTAGATAAATCTTGGTCTTGGGGCAGACAATACAAAGAATACTCTGAATAACGTTCCAATGTCCAAATATTTTTGCCAAATTTCTTCCATTTCAGTGTAAACTGGATGGTCCTTATATTGGGTAAAGCTTGGCCTAAATCTTCTCTAGTCTGAGCAAATTAGGAAGTGAAAGTTAAACTAGGAAGCATAACCAATCTAGCAAGCTAGCTGATCTGTCTGTCATTTGTCCCACTGGCAATGCCAGCATTCCATGTGTGTCCACTGCCTTGATGCACAACCGGCAGTGAAGTGAATAAAAACCTTAGCTTCTTTAAGGCATCACCACATAAAAGTTGGTTAATGTTTTTAGTGAGTCATGGAAACAGTCAGGTAAGTCTACAGCACCACCTGCATATGCAGAGCCTGTTTCACTGATTGATCCCTTGCACACACTGTTACGTCTAGTTTAGCATGAGTGGCCAGGCGTCTTGGACAGTGGGATGTCAATGAAACATGCTCATTAGAATATTAGTACATGCCCAGACTTTTCAGTTCAGATAGGTCTGATCAAACTGAATTTCAGTATCACACGAACATTTTTAATATGTTATTCCTTGGGATTTAAAGGCTTTGAGTCACACCAGCTGCGGTCACTCTGTATTTATATATATATAAGTCGGTCTCCTGGGCACTTGTCGAACATTCTAAAAGAAAAGTCACTGGAATAGAATGAAACATTTCAGCAGAAAAAACAGAACCATCAAGTAGTTCTGCACATTCTACTCATGACCTAAATTTGATTCCATTTAAAAGAAATCTAATTCGCAGCGAGTTCCCCTGATCCGCTATCACATGTGCGCAGAAATACCTCCGGAGGCTACATCCATCCTTCCATTGTGAACCCGCCGACATTTGACAGCCGCGTACATCATCCAAATGAAGAGATTAGCATTAGCGCTCCCATTGCAGAGCGGCACATCTTGGTGAAACTGACTTGGAGCTTAAATTCGCAAGGAAAAAGAGAGCAACACCAACACCATGTGCTCAGCAGTGGTGCTCAAAGGAGGACAAGGAAAGCAACATTCATATGGCAGGGTTAAAGTGGCACACATCAGATATTTTTTAAATTTGGGCAAATTTTATATTTGTGCTACTCTGACTCTTATGTTCTGAGCTGTAAACACAAATATCTGAACCTTTTTAAATCGTTCTGATTCAAATCAGATATGTGCTCCCTTTTAAAGTTAGATCAGATACATATGCGATATGTGACCACGCAACCAGAAATAAATACATAACAAACAAAATCAAAACATATAACCATGCACATACATGCACATATAACTGTGGTCATCATAAAGTGTGGGCAATACGGCAAAAAAAAAGAAAAAATGAAATCCAGACAAAACTGACAGGAACCTACCAAAATCAATATTTGAAAAAATACGATTGCATTGATGCTACAATGATGGATTGTCTCTAGAATACCTTTTTTGTTGTTCATGATGCAAGTGGACTATTCAGGTGACATTACTAATTTCGAAAATGCATGAATGCGTAACTCCAGGTCCTTTCAAGGGTGTTCACAAAAATGTGAATGTGAATATCAACTCAGAAAGATTGGATGAGAGCAAAACTGGAATTGAGCAATAAAGCTTGTTAAGTGAATGCAGCCGAGATGGCTTTTCAGTACAGGTTAGGAAAGACAGGAATTCCTGCCGGAAAAACCAGCACAGACAAGCATGGCTGGTCACCAGCAAAACCAGCATATGTGGTGTTTTGGATGCTGATATGCTGGGCAACCAACTAGATCAGCACCAGATCAGCTTGTGCTGTGTTCTTCAGCAGGGTGCTAGCACAAGTGCTAACACAAAGCATAAAACTTGTACTAGCTAGCTAGTTACTTATGCTAGCAGAACACTACCTACCAGTATAGTGTATAGTTCTAGTAGTGTTGTGCTATAAATAAATAATATATAGTTAAAAAGTTAACATTTTAAAGTAGAGGTGTGGTTCTATTGAATATTACTACTGACCGTGTGGGTAGCCATGCTGGTTTGCCGTCAATATGCTGAGCTTGGAGCTGAGAATACTATCCTGACTTTCTGTCTGAGATGGGAAATTCTGAGTTTCTAGCTTCAGTCTAATGCAGCAGTATGTTAGACTAGCTGGTTAGATACTTATGCCAACACAAGCATTATGCCATATGCCAGCATGTGTGTGCACTGCCTGGATGCACATCCAGCAGTAAATTGAATAAGCATCTCATTTTCTTTAAAGTCAGTGTGAATCGCAAATCAGAACACATTTTTCTTCCATGTGATGTATTTTCGAGTGGAACAGGCTACTAGGGCAGGAAATCATCGTGGGCGGGACATGATTTGATTCTTCAGGATTCATTTCGGAACAATCAGGGACAAACAAACTGACTCTGATGGATCAGCAGGATCTGTCTGTTTTACAGAAAATCCAAAGGAAAATTCTAAATAAAAATAATGCATTTGAAAAAATGATGTACTACAATGTTCCGATATGTATATTTTGTAGTTTCCAAAACACAATTCATTATTTGTTGAAAGCTTAATTTTAATGTATACTTTTCCACTTTTTAAGATGTAGACGAGGCAAAATACCATAGAATTTTAATTAAACGGCAAGTTAAAGAGATACGTTTTTAAACGTGTGCACTGAGCTTGACTGTCTAATAAAAGGTGGAACTTAGTTCCACAGTTTAGAAGCATAATAACTGAAAGATGTCTCTCCATGTTTTCTGTGTATCTACTTGCAGAAGGCCAGTATCTGCAGATCTAATATCATGTGCTGGAACACAAACAGACAGACAATCTGTGATGTAAGTGGGTGCTAGGTCATTTAGAGCCTTAAAAACTAGTAGCACAACTTTAAAATTTATCCTAAAAGATACATGTAGCCAGTGCAGTTATTTTGTTTTCGTTAGGATTCGTGCTGCTAGTTTAGAATGAGTGGCTGGGAGTCTTGGACAGTGGGAAATTCTGAGTTTCAATCCTCAGTCAAATGCAGCCCTAGCTAGTTATATACTTATGCTAACACAAGTGCTATGTTCACACAAGATGTCAAAGTTAAACTAGGTAACCTAGCTAGCTATTTATGCTAGCACAACAACAGCTACAGTGTCATGCTACCACCAAAAATGTTATGCTAACACAAGGTATAGAAGTTACACTAGTTAGCTACTTATGTTAGCACAACACTAGCCACCTAGGTGTTATGCTAACACAACAAATGTTATGCTAACAAAAGATCTTATTGGGCACAAGTCTAAATCCATACCAGGTCCTAAACCATAGGAAGTGCTGCTGGTCTGCTGGTGGGGGACGGAGCTGTAGGGAAAACGACAAAAGACGAAGAGGAGCATGACAGGGGACCCCCCTTACCATTATACTGCATTGCTTCAGAAGAAAGCCTTTGGAAACTAAAGTCACTGGGGATCCAGAGCAAAGCCTACAGCAGCAGCTGTTGTGTGATCAGATCACAAAGCTGTTACATGACCTGAGAGGAGGGAGCAGTGTGTGTGTATGATTCAGTACAAAAATGTCCTAAATCTGTAAGAAAACTAGAGAAAAACAGGGCAAACTGACAGGACCAAGACAAAGGTGCTGCCTTTGTAAAGCTCTTTTTTATAAAAGCTACAAGTTTCATTATTTAAAACTGAAAGGGCAAAACAATTTCTGCTTTGTTACTGAGCTTAAGGTTAGGGTAAGGTGTTGGAAAGTTTTTACTACATACATTTATTACATGTGGGACATATTACTTACTGGTACTTACATGTAATACATATGGAACATATGTATCGCATATGTATTACATGTAAGTTCTTTTCCCGAGGAAAATACAGAAAGATTGGACAGTTTAAGCAATTCCCTGGTGGTTGCCAAGGTGTTGCTAAGCAGTTCCTATGGTATCTAAGGTTGCTGACACGGTGTCGCTAATCGGTTGCTATGGCAAGTTGTTGGGAGGGGTTGCTATTGTGTTCTGGATGGTTGGTAGTGTGTTGTTAAGTGGTTGCTATGGTGTTCCTGGTGGTTGGTACTGTGTTTCCAGGCTGTTGCTAGGATGTTGCTAAGCAGTTCCAATGGTATTCCAAGTGGTTGCTTGGGTGTTACCATGTGGTTATAGTATTCCACATGGTTCCTAGGGTGTTGCTAGATGGTTGCAATGGTAATCCAAGTGGTTGCTAGGGTGCTGCTAGGTGCAGTGGTATCCTAAGTGATTGCAAGGGTCTTACTACATGGTTGCTATGATATTCCAGGTAGTTCCTAGGGTGTTGGTAAGCAGTTTTTATGGTATTCCAAGAGGTTGCTATGGTGTTGCTAATGCAGTTCTGTCATTGTGACATAAGAGGCGTGAACAAGCTTTTGGCCACAAAGTTCTGCTATTCATTCCTATAGGAAAAAAAATCTGAATTTAAACAGTTGCTACATGGAAACCATACTTCCAATCAGAGAGCTACATGCAAGTTTGCTATTCCTGATCAGACCAAACATTCCAGAGTTGGTTTGGTATCAATATCTTGAAAACTATGAGATGAGTTAGTATTAAGGCAGATTATGACCATGTCACAAGAACACTCATTCTTCATGCCACACACAAGGGTCTGTCCACACCCTGTGAAATCCCTGCACTCATTTTGCATGATGGACAGCACCTCAACCCTTCCTCTGCTAATAACAGCACAGCTACAGCATGCTAACATGCACACACACACCCCTCCAACAAATCTCAGTGCTGCTTAAATGCCTAAAATAGAACAAGGTGCTCAAAACTAAGTGTAATGAGGAAAAAATACAATGCTTGCGTTCCAAACGTTCAGAACTACGTTACATATTTCTTTCTGTAGTAGGTACCAAGTAATTTAAAGTAGTTACTAAATATTAACTGAATAATTGGCCTGATGTTAAAGGGGTTAAATAGATCGAAAAAAAAAAATCATCGCATCCTCAAGGTTAGTTTGACAATATATTTATTGTCAAACAGAAACTCTGTGAATTATGCCAGTCTGGAATCATACCACTGACTTAATTCACTGCCAAATTACCAAACAAGTACCTTGAAGCCTACAAAAGTAGCACCTGACTGAACAAGTGTGTGTTTTGGTGTTATTAAGTCTACGTACACAAAATAAATAAGGACCCTACTGTGAAATTATTGGATTGATTATTATAGGAATATTAAAGGACTGAGTTCACTGGTTGTGTACAGCTGCACTGCTGTGTGTGATGAGCATAGCACATGTTGTTTCCCCCCACAGTGCCATGGGCTACGGCTGCTGCTGCTGCTGTCAGCTACCCGTCAAAACCAGTGCTTTGCTCAGAACACACTGAGAGGAGACAGTAGAACCATATAATTTTTCAGCAGTTTTCTAAAGACCGACTTCCCTGCACACTCTGCTGTATTTGTGTGTATGTGTGTGTAGTGACAGAGAGAGACCATATGTCTCTATTAGATACTTATGCCAATACTCTTAAACTATACACTGAGTTTATCAACACACCTACCATACAGGTCCACTATATAGGTGTAAAATTACTGACTTTAGCTCATCTGTTACTGCACAATTTATGAGCCCAACTCTGCTTCATTTCAGAGGCCACCACAGGAACACCTCCGACCAGTGGATAGGCTTGAGTCGATGACATTATTGTCGATTGACGGTAGTTTCCATATACTGCGACTGGCAATAGATTTGGCTTATTTAAATGTCAGAAAACATGCCTCCTACGGCTTTAAGATGCACCAAAGTAATTATATTCATATTCTGTTTTAATGTGTAAAGTTAGTCTATATCCTGAATTAGCCCTAATATGTTGTCAGGCTTTGGAACAGTATGTAGCAGCATGAAATAGATATTTTTTCGTGACTGTGGTCCACCACTCAAGTTTTTTCTGGTCAGCTGTGGTGCTATTGTGGTCTCTTTCCACTGATGGATGGGGTACAGGGCAACTGAAAATGCACCCATATGGTGTTTCTCACAATAAATGTAGGTTCAAGGCATGCACCTAACCAACTGGCAACTTATTGTAATCTATTAATTTTGTGACCATACCAGCTGAGGGTCAATCTCTCCAACAGATCGGCTCTGCACAGCATTCAGCAGCTCCTCCAGTTCAGCGAAGGTCAGCTTGCTAAGTTTGAGCTTGTCGAGATGCTCACCATGGAAGAGCCGCCTCCATAGATTGTCCCGGCGACAGTGGCCCATGGCCTGCTCCACACTGCTCTGAATCTGCCTGCATGCTGAATTTACCTCAGAGTTCAATAGGGGGAACAAAGGGGATGAGTAGAAAAGGCCTGAGGAGTCCAAGCCTTCTGCTAGTCCAGCCTGAGCTCCAAGCAGGTTGGCCTCCACAGCTTGAGGCTCTGGGCTAGTCATGGGTGTTGGCGTCGAATTGGTCGTTTCCTCCCATAGATCAGTTTCAGGCTCCTGGCCTCCAGTGCTGCCTTGCTCTGCCCGCTCCAGAGGGACACGCCCACTGAGGTCACGATAGGGGTCAGAGGGGTCACGGTAAATCTGTGGGAGCTTCTTGAAGCGCCGCATGTCTGCTGTCAGCCGGGGGAACAACTCTCTTTGGCTGGTCATAATCACGTAGTAATGTAGCCTGTGCACAAGCAAATGAGAAAGAAGACAAAAATCACTGCCATTCATATAAAGCACTACTGGAACAGCATTATTTTTACCAGAGGAGGTTGTGTAATATAAACTGGTTCTAGTATTAATTTCACAAATGCCCAGAGACAGCCCAGACTGAAAGGTCATAGCTCGAATGTACGTGTTAGCATTATGCCACACAACACATTCAATAACAATAACAACAGACTGCATGGCTGTATTTACAAGTTCAGTTATTCCAACTGTAGCAATGTAGATCAGAACAGATCAACTACTCATTCTGGATTCAAATCACTCCACAATTATTACTGTAAGACTGTAGAAACTACACACATACATAAACTGCAAATTCATTCTGGATAAAACTGCTCCACAACTATTACTGTAAAAATGACACACACTGCAGATTCATACTGGATTAAAATCGTGGATCTTGTCTGTTATGTTAATTACAGTACTTCCCCAGGTAAAATAAAACCAGCTCCAAATACACACAAAAAGCCTGTAAAAATAATAGGATGGCTGCACTCTAAGGTAAGGTATTCTATGTCATGCTATCTTGTTCTTCGTTATCCATTTGATTTACGGTAATCTGGACAAATTACTTAATTCACTTACAAATTACCAAACAAATCAAACTTCACAGGTTACATAAGGAGCCAGCAGCTAAACGGGTGGGTTTTTGAGTTATTACGTTTAAGGGACTGAAATGTAAGTATGAGCATTACAAAAAGAATTAGGGCCCTGCTGTGATATTATAGGGTCGATTTTTATAGAAATATTAAAAGGCTCCTTACTCACAATCACTGCCATTCATTAATTACACACAAAAACTTGTAACAAGCAGATTAGCACAGCACTCCCTCGTCTTTGTTCTCTCTAATCCTTCCATTTGCTATGTGTACCTCAGCAGGTGTCTCTCCCCCTCAGACTGCTCCTCAAACGGAGCTGCATTGTGACACACCAGCAGAGACACGTCAAAGTCATCATGGTGACGCAGTCCCTCCAGGTCCTTATATGTACCAGAGCTAAAAGAATACAATGCGTGTTCATTCACAGGAAGAAGAATGAACAAGAAAAAGCAAAACATATACTGAAAAATGGGACTAATAGTGCATTTTATCAGTGAAGAACAAAAAAGACAATCTGCCCAAACATGTTTGATGAATGAAGTTTGCTTCTTAGGTTTGCACAGGAGCTAATAAAAACCTGAAGCCACCAGGTTACTGTTCAAACTGCTTGTTTTCTAGATGTCTTGGCTGATCAACTGCATTTAGGGTAAACAGGTACATTTGACTTTTGGCCTAATCATCGCTTTAAGTCAAACCAGCTACAAATGTTTGTTAAAATATTTTTTCTTCAATTTGCCTAGAAAGCAAAAAAGCCAGTTGGCTTAAGTCAGTTGTTTTAGTTATATTCCAGCTAAGGTTTCAGTCCATTTTGATCAGGTTCTAATAATAACAGAGATGCTCCAAAAAGACTCTGACCCTGTTTGAAACCTCGCCAGGGTACCTGGGGTGTAAAACATTAATATAGAGCTCTAATTTCCAGCAAATGAGCCCACCTCAGCCTCTGAAAAACAAATGACATCATCTGAGAAAGGAAAGAAAAGAGAACAAATACTGGGGCCTAGCTCTGAAACAATTTTGTTGACAATAAGTCTCTACTTATCTCTATTTCTACATAAAACTGCACTGTACCACAAACAAAGCCTACTGTATGATTACCAGGGATGGTATGGTTTTAATGATATACTGTGAGTCACTGCGTAAAGCCTGAAATAATAATTTAAAAGTCAGAGGTTATAATGAAAACAGTCTATTATTTACTTACATCCTCAGATCACCAAGAAGATGTCATTTTGACTGTGTTCTCTTGAATATTAAATATGCTTGCAATCATCAGATTCATCCGTTTGGGGAAGGGGTCCAAAACACCAAATGATACAAAATGTGTTTCCACACATTGCATGAAATTACACATATCCCAGAGAGATCTCAAAATCCCCAAAACAATAGTTTAAGTGCAGCTTTAACTGGTAGAGAGAGGGTGTTCAGTGTGATGCACACTGTACCATTTAAGAACCACCTTTGTGCTGAATTCTTTTGAGAAACCCAGCCAACCCTGAACAGTAACCCATAGCAGTGCTGCAGTTCATTTCATATTTATCTAAATAGATTTGGTGTATTTGAAATACAAGAAGATCTATCAGTATAAAATCTGTGGTGAAATTACTTCACAGTGAACTTTTGAATATTTTCAGTATATTACCATTATTGCAGTAACACCAAAAATGTCATGAAAGTCATGATTTCACCCATGTCTGATGGTCACCACACTGCTTTAATAACCTGAGAAATGTGAGAAAGTATTACCTGTTCCACAGTGCCACTAACGCATACTCATGCAGGTCTGTGCTGGGCGCCCCCTTCTTGTTGTCAGTGGTCACTGCAGCCTTTGACATGCGGAGAGGCTTCATGCCGTACGTACCGGCATGATCAGTGATGTAATTATACAGTTGGTGAGCAGTTATCATTCCAGTTGAAATAGAGAAACTCCCTACACACACATACACACACACACCACAGGTTTGTTTTCATACAATGTCAGAACATACACATTTCCCATGTACTATACAGTTGTATGCAAAAGTTACATATTTTGTTTATTTTTTTTTTTTAAGTGAAAAGTGAACACAACCTCTGCAGCAAACTATTTTCAAAAACATTTGTTCTGCAAATGTTAATTCGCAGTTTCTTTAAATTTGATTAACTTCTAAAATAGAAAAAATAGTAATTATGGCATTCTAGCTGTAACTTAATTAACTCGTTAGGCCTTAACTAACTTAGGGACTGTTTCAAGAATAGTAGTAATAGACATAATAGACAGGTCAAGAATAGTAATTTGGAACTGTCAACTGATAATTTCAGAGATTAATTATCTGAATCTTGTTCTTTTTAGAAACTTTGTTCTAACACTCAACAACAAGGGGGTTCCTCTAAGCAACTGGCAGAAGATGTGAAAATGAAGTTAACTGATGCCTACAAAGCAGGGGGTAGCTATAAAAAGATATCAAATTGTGCTTCCAGTTGTTTTCTACTGTCCGAACTGTCATTAGGTAATGACAGTTAGGAGGAACGTCAGTGCAAGATCTGGAAGACCGAGATAACTCTCAAACAGAACTGCTCATATGCAGTCCAGAAAGCAAACAGCATTGTACTTTTATTTTTAAAAACTGCAAATGTCAGATTCACAATACACAGGAAGCCTGAAAACTGTGACCAAAGGTTTTTCAACCATCATGAGTATGAAGCAGTGTGCATTACAGACATCTACTAGAGAAGTTAATAGAAAAATTGAATGGAAAATTGAAAGAGAAGGAGGAAAAAGGATTTGCATAGAAACTGAAGAGTAATTGAATCAAGTGTGCCCAGCAAAGTAAATATCCCAAATATAACCACATTTCTATTCTGAAATCAAAACCAATTTCTGAGAACACTTTGGAAGAAAACTTCTATAACAGACTTCTGTGACAGACTTTCTTATTCAACCGAGTACAAAACAGGCTTTTTGAGCACAAGAATCTCACAGCATTTTAAACCCCTGTGGTAAACCCCTTTTTAGGCTTATACAGTTTTAAAGGAAACAAATTAACTTCTCAGATTTAACTTATCAAGTAATATCCCACTGTAACTGTTTAGTCACCGACCTTTAGCCCATAAAACGGAAACAACACAAGCAGGCGTTTCTATTAAGGAGTTTTCTTAATTTTTTTCCAACTTTTTTGTATTTTCTGTACAGAAATCATGTTCTTAATTTTAAATCTTTATCATATTTTTATTTACATAAAATGTGAAACAATCTGAGCAACACTTTGACTAGAAGTAACGCTCTTACGGGGAGTGTAAAAATGCATCAGTGCATTGTGATGCATTAATCAGAAAGTGCTGCTTCAACTGCATCTTTTTTGTGATATTTTCCAACTTCCTCCCCAGTGTTAGGACACTCCCAATTACACAATACCACTAACGCTACAAGAGTGAAGGCAAACACAAGTTTCTCCCGAGACATGTGAAGCCAGCCACCACATCTTTTCGAACTGCTGTTAATGCAACGTCTTTGGACAGCTGAACGTGCTTGGAGGAGAACGCTAACCGCTTCTGTTATGTCAGCTAACAGACACCTGCATTGGACAGCATGTTGCTGAGTGATGGGGGGAGTGGTAGGGCCATCCTACCCACCCAGCGTGAGCGAGGCCAATTGTGCTCTTTTGGACTCCTGGCTACAGATGGCTGTAGCATCACCCAGGATCAAACTTGCCATCTCCTGATGACAGGGCCAACACTTAGACTGCCCTATTATGTCAAAAGCTGTTATAATCTATTATAATTACAGTCAAAGCTGTGGTTCTTAAGCCAGTCCTCAGGGTCCCCTAAGACACAGCTCCCAACACACCTAAAGCAAGCCGACACTGAATACCTGGTAAAGGTGTGCTGAAGCAAAAACATGGACCGCCAGGGAGGCCCCTGAAGACTGGTGTGAAAACCAAGGAAATAATTTATGCACTCATTTTCTGGCCGAAATAAAATTCTCAGTATACTTTCAAATTTAAAAATTAGAATTATATTTTAAAGTTTGGTGTATTGTTTTTACTGTCTGTTTTCCATTGCTCTGTAAATACAAACCCAATTCCAAAAAAGTTTGGACAGTAGGTAAAACGCAAATAAAACAGAAAGCAGTGACATATAAATCTACTTTTACCTGTATAGTAGTGCCCCCCACGCTGCAGATTGGGGTTTGACCCCCTGTTCAGGCAAGCACCCTACAATGTACCAATAAGAGTTTTTGGGCAAGATTTCTAACACTACTAACTTCGCCTTAAAAAGAAAAAAAGGATTAAACTGTAGGTAGGTATAAAACGATAAAAGCGTCTGCTAAATGCAGTAAATATATGTAACATTTTATCAAAAGATTCAAGGAATCCAGAGAAATCGCAGTGTGTAAAGGAAAAGGAAGAAAATCACAAATTAATGCCTGTGACCCTCAATTCTACAGATGGCACTGAATTAATAATCGGCAATGCTTCTGTGATGGATATCAACACATAGGCTTGGAAACATTTTGATAAACCTTTGTCAATAAACATTGCCACTTCTACAAATACAAAATAAAACGGTACTCTCCACAGTGGAGGTCATATGTTAACAATATCCAGAAAGGCTCACAACTTCTCTGGGCTTGAATTCACTGGAAATGTTCTAATAGACAGTGGAAACCTGCGCTGTGGTCTGATGTTTCACATTATTTACGATAATAACCATTGTCGTGTTGTTCAGGCCAAAAAACAAAAGGACCATCCAGACTGTAACCAGCATAAACTTTAAAAGCCAGGGTCTGCATGGGGGTTGTTAGATGGTAAAATGCACATCTGTGAATGCACCATTAACACTGAACACATTTTAGAGCAGCATATGCTGCCTTTTAAGTGCCATCTTTTTCATGGATGTCAATGCTTATTTCAAAATGACAACATCAAGCCACATTCTGCATGTGTTACATCAGCATGGCTGTGTACATTGAAAATGTCCATCTTATTAAGCTCAGAATATGACGACAAAGGCCCTGTAAGGTTGCACAGCCGAAGACTTGCATTACTGGAAAAAATATTCACCTTCAATCCTGAATCAGTTGTTATCTTCAGTCCCCAAATGATTATTAAGTGTTGTTAAAAGGAATGGTAACACAGTAGTAAACATGGTCCCATCCCAACTTTTTTTGGAACATGCTGCAGGCATCAATTTTGGAATTAATATATATTTTAAAAAAACAATGAAGTTTATTAGGTAAAACATTAGATATTGTGTTTTTGTACCATTTTCATTTTAACCCAGGTTAAATGGAATTACCTAATCACTGCTTTCTGTTTTTATTAGCATTTTACATAGTTTTCTGGAATTGGGTTTGTGGTTCCTCGGGTCAAATTTGACAACACATAGAACCTTTTCCTAAATAATCTTAATCAAACTGTAATGTCAGAGATTTATAGCCTAAATCTAGAGCTCACCCTGGAAGACGTGGTTGCGGCCAAACTTGGGGATGTCAGGATGATGGGAAATGAAGTCCTCCAGGAAGCTGGTGAGCTGGTAGCCCTGCCGCAGGGTCATATGACAGCCCAGTAGGTACTGGTGCACGACACGCAGGTGAAAGTCATAGCTGAAGGAGTGCACGTGCATCAGGTCCCGCACTTTATCACACTCTTCCGTGAACAGCATCGAGAGCTGTGGGGCAAGCAGAAACACACACAAACTCGTTTAGACACAGCCTCACACACGTCTAACTGTGCTAGAATTCACCCAGGACCAGTAAGGACAATCCAAAGAAAACCCCAAAGGCAGAAACCAAGCTTTAAGAACAGGGTGACAATAAAAACATACATACCCTGGAACTAATGATTATTCATCTAATTGAATAATCTATCAGCCACTATTCGATTAATTGACTAATCAAACCATTACGCCTTCTTAGTTTCCTCTTTCTTTGCCATCACAGACCCAGAAAAAGCTCCCATGGCCATATTCTATGGCTTCCAAATCAAAATAGCAAGAAAAAGTCTCTTTAATCAGAGGTGTTGATCCAAACAAAATCACAAGTTATCTCGATTATGCATTACCGCCCATAATAACATATCCGGATATCTATAATTGCCATGTAAATACTGCATCCGCAGACAAATTGCAGGAATTAAACACATAGAATCATATAATTATTTAGTCTGTGGGTCAGCGATATTCTGTCGTTTGTACCATCATCTACACCACTGAACACTGTTGTGATTGCAGAAGTGAGTAACAGCTAAGTATCCATGTTTGATGGGGTTAATCAGGGTTAGCTTAAGTTATGTGAGCCTTGCTAGTGTTCTGGCATTAAGTTTCTTGTCTAACTAAAGCATACAATATCTAGACATAAATAGTTAGACTGCATAAGCCAGTCAGTAATCAATGTCAATTACAAATCGTGCACAATTCTCAACACTCGAAAAAATGATAAAGGGCAAAACTACAGAACTCGTCCTTCACATAACCGTCTACCTGTGATAAAATTATGAGAGCAAACTTCAGCATCGGGAGATGGCTTCTCCTTCACTGGTTCAGCTCTGCAGCCTCTGTCCTGTCACAACATCAGACAGCTAGGATGCAATACGAGCTTACACCATTTTGTTTTTTGTTGCTGATGTTAATACAACAATGAACCTCACAATACTTTACAGCTATAATTTACCTGCCAAGATGCTTTATTAACTAACGGTGTACAAATGGTGGCTCGAAAAGTGCTGCTGTCATCGTCGCATTGACTAGTGGTATGTCAACAATATGGTGGCAGTGTCGTGTGATGCCAAATTAATACTATTCTTTTAATAATCTAGTATTTATATGATTTCCATTGAAGATCTTCATTAAGTCTGTTAATGCTTAAAAGCATTTAAGTTGGAGACCGTATTGAACGCGGGTACAGACAACCACGTTTATGTGTTTCACTGTTCATGTTCTGACGCGCAAACTAAATACGTGTGCTGACCAGAACACAAGAGCAAAGGAAACAAACAGCTGTTTTAAACACTATTTCTTATTTACATTTCCATTAAGATTATTTGCCTCAGATTTTGACAAATCACTGTAGACTTATTTAATCTTGTTTTTTTTCCAGCCAAAATTTTCTGCCCTTTTCCTTCTTTTGGCCAAGGTGTTGGTGCAACCCTACTTCCTGCAAAATTACCCTGCATGTCAGATGAATATTACAGAGCATTATAAAGCATTTTTGTTTTTAAATAAACATCTTTTTCCCCTATAAGTCAACATCACTGATGACTAAGTGAGTCTTAAAGTGCTTAAATTATCTGGTATTATCTCTTATAATATGTTATAATACACAGCGCCACACCAATCTTTATACTATGTAGTTTATTTAGTCAAGTGGTTCCCAAACCTAGTCCTGGTGCACTGCATATTTTTTTTGGTGTTTTTCCTGCTCTAACACACCTGATCTGACTAATTAGCTAATTAACAAGCCCTTCTTGAGTTCAAGTGGGGTGTTAGAGCAGGATAAACACTAAAATATGTAGGGCATGAGTACTCCAGGACAACTCATTTAGTCTTTTAAAGAGTCTCCTGCAGACTTTGTATTGTAGCTCTACAAATTCAATTTGGTATCAACCTACAGCTCACTGGATGACCCAAGAACCAACACAGTTCATTTTCAGTGCTAACTGCTTGACCATCTCTGCCAAACCAGCCTTTTGCAAACTCTTTTGTAAGCATCTGTGATATCAATCAACTTAATAATTGCACCTTATTTAATTAGAACCAACATCAAAGGCTGGCTTACAAAAGCATTACTGGCAAATGCAAATGATTGCAGAGAGGCAAGAACAAGGAGTAATTATAGCACAATAGAATAGGGAGGGGGTGCTAAATGTTATTTCTGACGCTGCTTTCATCTTGACCATTACCCTGGAAAAAATGCAAATAGGTCTATCAAATCAAAGAGTCGTGAAAGGAAAAAAGTGCTGTACATTTACCATAGCCACAGCCATTATGTAAACAGAAAATGATCTCCACAGCTAAACCTTTCATCACTTTTTTTTTTGTGTGTGCATGAAAAAGCAACACACCCAACTTTCTAAATCCAGTGGTGGTCCCACTTCTAACAAGACTTCAAATGACGTGCTAATGAAAGATAACAATGTTTGTCCCTTTTTTCTCTTCCATCACATGAGAGGCAGTGTAAGCGAGTTCATAAGCTTTTGAAGCTAATCATATAGAATGTAGCCCAGGTTGTTTCAGGCCAAGAGAGGCTAAACTGTTAAACTTTCAGCACCTTTGCCGTTCCCACAAAACATCTGGAGCCTAATTAAAGCAAACTTCCTTATCCATTCACATGATGGCTATTTCTAAACCACACAAAAAGCACACTCCCCCTCGACCAAAGACAGATTTCAGGCGCAGAACTAACAGCAGCAGTTTGAAGCTCCCCGCCCCCTCTTTCTTGTTTACTGAAGCTGATTGTGCTGTGACCAGGTGTGGAAGCTCTACTGCCCTAAGGTGATTTGGTTTTATTCACTTTGAAATGAAATTTAGTACTCAGGTATAACAAATTTTCAACACCTTGCATTAAGCAAAGAATAATGCATCAAGGAAAAGTGCCAGCACAAAGGCTCAATTCAGGAGGGAAAAAGCCCGAAGTGAAAGTATGCAATCTTCATCACTTACAAAGCAAAAAAACTACTAAATGTACTGAATAGATGTGCTATCCAACAAACTATTTCCTATAAATTAGAAAACAAAAGGAACCTGCACACCAATTTATCTTTTTTTTTAATGAAGCACAGGTACTGTCAAAAATAGTTTACTGATGATGTAAAAACTCATGCTCAGAAGTACACAATAAGAAAAAGGAAAAAGAGATGTTAAAAAATTGCAACCTGACCATGTCTATTTCCAACATGAACCAGTGAACTATCTTTGACAGCAGATTCATTAATTTTTATAACATTTTTAGTCCCTCACAATTCATCACCACCATTAACATCATATTCTCCTGTGTAATTCCATACTCTGACTTCCCAATACATCTTAACCTTCTTTTAAAGGCTGAAAGGAAAATGCCTTTTAAGCTCTTTCTGCTACCCTTTACCCTCAAAACACTACTGTTACTCTCGAAGGGAAAAAGGTTCCTAAATGGTTCTTGTCTTGGATGTACCTTTATTCCATACACCACCCATAAACGTGTTCCTTTGTAGCAACTACTGAGAGGTTGGACAATAACACTGGTTATTGAGGTTGGACAATAACACTGGTACACAACCTAATGAAAAACTGTAACACTCAATGCACCTATATTTGCTATAGTGTTTGTTCAGTTTGGTTACATGACATTAAGTTTTCAGATTAACCTCTTTTTCACAGTAGCCACAAAAACATTATTTTCACCCGTGCTACAGTTGAACTATGCAATATTGTTTTTTCAACAATGTTGATGGAATATATTTCGAAATATGTACAATGAACAAAACTAGAAATTGAACTTGATTTTCTCTTCATAGGTGAGACACCAATTCAACATTTCAAAAAGTGTTTAAATGTGTTTTTATTGTGGCACTTAAAGAAAGCTGCAGTTGTGCTGTCCATCTAATCTCAGAATGGCCATCTTTGTGGAGAGGTGTGAATTGTTTTCAGAACAGAGCAGCCTCACACCTCCCCTCACCCCTCAGTGCTCCCTAGCAGCTCAGACAAAGAGTCCTAGTTAATCGAGGAAAAATGTTTTATTTTTTAAAATTAATTAAACATATCTGAGTCAATATTTGAGCCTCGAGAAAGAGATAAAAATTCTATGCTACTGAGCAAAGGTGTTTTGACAAAAACTGAGTTGCGTGCTTCTCATTAGATTCAATGGGAGTTTGGGCAATGTTTTGTCTAACCTCAGAACAGCAGCAATGAAAAAACACGTTTGTGGGTGGAACATGTGGGTACAGAATCTGTACATTATGAAGCTTCTTTAAGCTTTAAAACATTCACTTAGAAATTGTATTTACAAAAACAGTCCTTTAAAGAACGCTTTCAGTTTAAGTTTTGTTAGGGAATCAAAAGTGATTCATCACTTCATCAGAGATCTTTAAATCTGGACCCTGAATCCAGTTTCTAGGATTTTGAAATCACTGGTATGACATTATGTGGCTGAAGTGACATCAATAGTTCAGGTAACTGTTAGTTAACTGATTACAAAATCCAGGACTGAAAACTGTATTCAAAAACTGTATTCTGGATTTCAAGACCTCTGTTCTATGGCATTAGTCCAAAGAACCATTTTAAGCACCTTTTCAGGAGTGTAGGAAAAACATCACAAAATGCAAATCAAGACGAAGCAGGATTTATTACAAGCCGCTGTGTACTCCACCAAGAAAATGTATGTGAGAAGTGCTGCTAAGATGCTTCATTTGTTTATCTGAGTTTGCAGAAATGCAGAGCCCTCTCAGTTCCCCGTACCCCAGCTTGCAACACCACTGAAACCTTATAGAAAACGAGAGAAAGTTTTGTCCAAGAGACGTGCAACAGACAAACACAAAATTACAGAAAAAAAAGAAAAGAAGCTCTCTCATTCTAAAGCCATCTCAAAAACTCGCAAAAAGGGATTCGCAAAAGGGGCGGGGCTGCAGGCAGAAGGAAAGTGCCAATCATTATGAGGAGGGGGAAAAAAGACTGAAGCCTAATTGGTGGGAGGCGAGCCTGAGCCCACCCCTGAGGATTAGGGGACATACCGCGGAGTCTGAGGAGGCCTCAGGGGGATACGGCTTACTGCGAGGCCGCGAGAGGAGAGGGTCCTGATGGAGAGAGAGGATCAGATGGGACTGGACACACACATGGAAACAAACACACACACACTCACTCACTCACACACTCTCACACACACACACACACACACTCACTCACAATGCGCATAAACACTCAATAAAAAGAACACATACCCAAAGATAAACAGATGTGCAGAGAGAAAGAATGAAACAGAGCAGAGTAGGTAAAAGGTCATTTTCATTATGAGAGAACAAACATAGTAAGGCCCAATCAGTATACTGGCTGACCGATGATATTGGCCAATATTGAGGTCCCACAGGTCCATTACTGCAATACAGGCTGGACTGGTACATTTCAATACAAAATACGATCATGGTTAAAATAACAAAAAAAAGGTAAAATGCATCCGAAACCTAACTTCAGCATGGTGTTAGTTGTGCTGGTGGTGGAATTTAACAGTTCCATGCAAAGACTGGGGGGGCGTCCAGGAAACATTTGAAACCAAACATTGTCTTTCTAACTAGCTCACATGAAAACAAGAAATTCTTGCTACTTTGTATTGTGTTTACATTTACTTGCATTAATTCTAACAATATATTGTGTAAAAATTAAATTTATCATTAGAATAATGATATATTGCACACTACTATAAATGATGAAAATGAGATAATGAGAGTTAATTAACAGAAACCTATATAATAATCCTGGGAAGCTCTGCACTCATGACAAAATATTTGCATTATTTAGGATTCTATTATTATGATTATAGCATTTAAGATTATACAGGGCCTGACATTAAGCGTCTTTGAGAACTTGTCTTATGGACAAATAAATCCACATTTTACTTGTCCTAAGGCTGAGTTAAAAAAATGCACTGCATAAGTTTATTAACATGTTACATTTACCACTGAACAATTAATAATGTGAGAGAGATATTTAGCCTATTCAATTAAAATCGTGTTACTTTTCACTCTTTTTTTTGTTAACAATCAAATCATTTTGTTACTAAAAGCCAGTATTAACCCTCCCTCACTTCCTCACACTAAAACAGCTAGCACTGCTACAGTGCTGGTCACTCAAAGTACATCAATAAATTAAATAAATTAACTAGCCAGCAAGGCCTGCTTCTGAACTCTACATAAAACAAATGTTATCAAAAAGTTTAAGAAATGTCTTTAGAGAACAATCATTTCATCATTCACAGCTGACAACTGACAACTGACAATTTTAACAGCCCATAAAGTACTTTTTTACTAAAACTATTCCAGTCACATTTCATTTTTAAAGGTTAAACTATCTCAGCCAATATTAATGGAAATCCTTATTTAACTTTATATCGGTCACTAAATATTTCAGTATCGGTCAGGCCCTGAAACACACACACAGACACAGACAATGTCACTTCAGTCTACAATAAGGGTACATGTTCTCACAGGAAGAAGCACCACAGCCATTTTTTTGCAATGTCACGCTAAGACGATAAACTCAAACTGAACGACTAATCTTACTGCTGTCCTGGAGTGTAATTCAAACAAATACATATAAAAGAAAACAGACAAACACTTGTCTTTTTGGGGCCATACTACAGAAACTTCTTAACTCTGAAATCTTATCTGTATATCACCATGAGAACTTCAGTCAGGACTAAATTTAGGACAGAAGCTATTACAGGACAACAGTTTATAAGTTTGTAATCTTATCCAAACTTTAGATAAGAAAGCAGTATAACAAAAACATCCTAACTAGACAAAATTTCTTAAATACTGTCCTAACTTTAAGACAACCCCAACTTAACTTCTGTTTTAACCATCTGTTTCTACTGTTTTTTGATTGTGTTTACATTGCAGCGATGTGCATATGGATGGTTGCTAAGTAACAGACATGACAGACTATTGTCGACTTTGATCGAGTAGGTTAAGATGTCCTAAATTAAGATAACCTACTGTAAAATGAGCTTCTTGAATTAAGATAAGTTTTGCTTCTGTAAAGCAAATTTGTGAAAAATCTTATCTGGACCTGTCAGATCTTAATTTAAAACGAAAAGATAATACCTGCCCAGATTCTCAAATTTCATAAATTTCTTAAAGAATGGATTGGCAAAGACAGGGTTAGGAAGGTAGCTAAGCTACGGTTAGTTTGTCAGAGTAATGTCTGCCACAAAGCTTGCAGGTTAGCTTTTAAATTAGATAATCTACATACCAATAGAGGCTATACACCCCATATTCTCCCATGCTCATAAAACTGCCAAGTTGTTTTTCCTACCCAAATGCTGAGTTGAGCCTCTTGGGTCATTTTGTTAGGTTAATTCCAAAATGCTCGATAGTTTTTGGGTAGGCCTGCCACTGGGTTAGTGACTGTCACAATAACAACCCAGGCAATGGGTTAATTTTCAGATAATTAGAACAGTCAATTAAACAGATTCTTATCAGGCAGCAGCATGGAGTCATGGCTGTAAGGAATTGCTGAGTAAATTTCCACAAAATATAGGTTTTACTACTTACTATTAAGTGAAAAACAATAAAGATAGGTATTTCACTGCAAATAGAAACTGTATTACAAACTAAATCAAGCTAGCTAGCTAGTAAGACTAGACTTTAAATCACCACTGTTCTTTTAATCTATGGTACTTTGGATTATGTGCTTTTGAGTGCAAAACGCCATGTAATTTTGTCTTTTTTTCCCCTAACTTTTGTCACCCTCTCTTTAGAACTTGGAACAAACATGCCAGGATGTATGTGGGAAGGTGAGAAGAAGTTCAAACATTTATAATAAATGACTTCAATCATAAAATAATTTACCAGTGTGTCATTATTAAGCAATACTTAATAATCCTTTTTTCAGGAACTTTTTTGGACCAATAAGCTGATTTTATCAAGAAAAAGGAAATAATATAAAATGTAAAAATAATAAATAAAGACAAAAACCCAACAAAATAGTTAAAAATAACCCAATGCTGAGTCAAAGAACAAAGATATTAGGTTAACTCTTATGACCTAGCCTGTTGGGTTATTAATATAACTCTAACTCAGTGATACTGGATCATATTAGCCCCAGCATGTGTTTTGTTATTTTGTGACAGGTAACCTTCCAATATGAAGAACCTAGAGACACTTCAACCCACCACTAAGAAAACGTTCTTCAAAATTACAACCTAAGGAAGCCTATCATTTTGGATCAATAGTTCTGTTTGGATCAATAACTGTTAAATGCTTGAATTTGCTTCTGAGACTAATATAAATAGTGAAGATGATGCCTGTGTGTTTTTCTGTATGTTTTAAATATCCCATCAAATAGTACTTTTTTTCAACAGCCAGTATGGGAGGGAATGCCAAGAGTGTGCAAAACTGCATTAAGGCAAATGGGGGCTAGTTGGAATTATCTAAAATAGAAGATGCGTTTTGGTTACAGCATAATTCTATGTGTCACTTGATAGTTTTAATGCCTTCACTGTCATCTAAATCATCTAATGTCTTCACTATAATCTAAATCATCTAAAATGTACAAAATAGTAAAAATGTGTAGTAGGTCCACATGAACACTGACAATGATTGCATTTACATGCACTCAACAATCTGATCATAATCAAATTTCTGCAGTTATCTGTTTATTCAAATTGTCATGTAAACAGCATACAATTTCTTAGATCAGAGTAAGGTCTAGGAATCTGGTTAAGAAATCCGATAAAGAGAGCTGGATTTTAGCTCAGTAATCAGATTTCTCAGTGCATTTATACTCTTACTCAGGTTTCTTTCAGATTTCTCAGTCTGTGCATGTGGGAAAACAGTTTGCAGTACTGGAAATAAGCAAGCAGCGTTGCCATGAGACGGCAGCAAAACACTTTTGGAGCGAAGCTGAAACAGACTACATGCTTAACAAAATTAAGGATTTCAATGTAGATCTGGAGTTTCCCATTATCTGATTACTTAAGTGCATATAAACGCGTTGATCAGATAACTGACAAAATCTGATTTTCTGCAGTTATCGATTTATGAAGTGCATGTAAAGGCACTCATTGAGAATGAACGTTTTATTCAGCCACTACCTTCACAAAACACAAAAGATTTTTTTGGCTCTTTAGCCCTATTCAGATGGGATTATAAATGGTATCCCTCTGTAATCATAGCTGCCACTTTTAATTATTACAAACATTAATTCTGCATCCATGACTGAAATGTCTATAATTGGCTGAATGAGTAGGTTTTGCTCAGTAATATTCACTGAGAACATTGGTTAAAATGACTGAGATTGGCACATTCACATAGGTAGAGTATCTACAGAGGAAACATGCTAATTTACAGTAGCCCTTAGTAATTATTTTCAACAACGGTAATTATTACCCCAGTAATTTTAAGGCCTTGAGCAAAGGGTTCTACTGTTAGACTGTTATGTAGCCCACTAGGCCTTAAGATGCTGGCCAAGTCCTACTCTAGAGCATGCAATGAAGCTTTTCTTTCAGTCACTCCAGCACAAGAGAGTTCAGAGAAAAAACTGAAACAATCCAATGTAGTAATGGCTTAATTGTTTGCTTTGAGCAGCTGTGATTGTATGGCACCTTATGGGGCTTCCACGTTGAGGGAGAAACACAGAAAACCTCCCACCGAGCAACATCTGGAGATGCTGGGTAAACTCTGCAGCCATTTACAAATATTTACACATAATTACTCCTCATTTATAGCCAACCTGGACCCACTTCATACCAAACACTCCATGGGAGGATAGGGGTGGGCGATATGTGGAAAATACAGTACAGCAATATTCAATGACATTTACATTATTAAGTTTGTATCACAATATTTAGTTTTTCTGAGTTGGTACAGATAAATGATACACAGGTAAAACAGTACTGCCAAACGAAACAATACCTCAAATAAAAAGATTTTTAGTTGTAATTCAACATTGAAATACAAGTTAAAATCGAACAACTGGTAAAAACAAATTAATAAAGACATTCAATCAGCTCTTTGTTCCTATGCATTTTTATTCTGGCAGTTTGGCACCACTGGTCATTGCTTACAAATTCATTACGGTTGACGATACATGCTCTGTTCACAAATGTGCTATTTTGCAGGTTAAGCTGAATGTCAACATTCAACTTTTGTCAACATTCTGTACAGCTTGTCCAACCTCGCAAAAGTTGGTACAGCAGAACTGATCTTGTGAGAGGTGCATGAACAGGTCAACTGGTCTAAATCCCTATTTTTCACAAAACATTTGGTCAATATTCTCAAAATACTGATGATACCAGTGATGCGTTCAGGAAAACATATGTCATTTACCGCAAAAACGATAACACACTGTCATATTGGCCAACTCTACCAGAGGATGAGACAGAGAAAGAGCTGCTGATTTAAAGACTAACGACCCCTGTAGCAAAGCAGGTAGTAAGTGTTGATGAAGTGTGAAGACTCTGGCCTCGTCTAAAACTTTTATTTCTCTCTTAGATGGTTAAGGCTGACTACAGCATCATAAAGAAAACTTACAAATAGCAGAAATATTGGTGCTCTTGGTCACACACACACACACACACACACACACACACACACACACACACACACACACACACTCACTCTCCGTCGCTCCCACAAGCAGGCAGAGTTACCTGGGAATTAACCGTTTGGCCCATGGGAATCCGTGAGCACTCCAATGCATACTGCTTCACACAGAAGTAAAACCCCTGTAGAAGAAGAAAGAGGGGGAGAGAGACAGAGAGGAAGACAGAAAGAAAGACACAGAGAGTTCTATATAGGCTACAATGATGTACATATAAACAGTACATCAGACCGTAAAAGTATTCAGACCTTTGCAAAGATCATGTTTGATCTATTTAAATCCAAGACATTAATTTTGGTAGTAATAAGATAAACATATCGCTGTTGTCGACAACAGCGATATACAAAATCATCATTTATGGGGTACTGGGGTTCTTTCTATCTGGAAGTGGCTGTCCCAAACCCTAACCCTTAAAAATAATGTTACAATTTATTTTTCAATGTTATTTTGAAAAACTTTTTTTATATTGGAGTGAAATTGACAGATTTAGATTTATCATGAGTATAATTTAGTTTTTTGAGTTATACACAAAATGAGATAAATTTGTCACCGAAATAGTCCCTACTGAAACATTTGGTAAGCTTTTGTGTTATTATTTGGTGTTATTTATTTTTCTTCCGAGTGGGTCATAAAATATTTTTAACCCCAAAATATAGTTGCACTGTGAAAAATGCCAAGAATACTTGACCTAACATAATTACATCCCATGTACATCCATTTTTGTTGTTTTCCAGTTTTTGACAATTTGAAAATGCCTGCTGTCCTTTACACTGTGTGTAAATTTCATGATGTATGGACCAAAAGAAACGGCCCAGAATTAACTAGAAAAAAGTCTGGTTCCAATGACTTGCACTAAAAGTAAATTCTGTTTTTTTTCCTCCTGTAAAGTTATCATTTTGGAGGTACAAGGTTTTGGTCCGACAGCAGCGATATATATATATATATAGTGTGCTGAAATATTAATCCCCATAAACAGCAATGAGGTCACTGGGAGATAAACACTTATTTCTCCCAGCAGATGTGAAACTGCTGCAGTGTCTGGGGTAAAAGGCTGACTTTAGCGCCTGGTTAAAGTGCTAACAGCATGACTTTGCACCCTGCTGTGCACTGGTGATGTGAGGGGAAATGGACAGAAAGCTCTAACCTGAAAGGCCAGTTCCATCAGCATAATTCCTCCTGGTAGTGCCCTCTGGAGGTGGTAAGCTGAAGTGCCTGATCCACTGCTTTGCTGCAAAGATACACAGAAACACTTGTTAGTGATAGCAAGAGCCAAAAATCTACATGATAAGTAGACAGGAAATTTTTAAAAGTCAATGTTCAGAAAATCAAATATCATGACAAGTTAATCTAGGCTAAAAACAGACTCTTTCATTGTACTCATGCTCAAACTGATTTTACATTTTTAGTACATTTTTTGTTATTTAATTCATGTTTTGTTAAGTTGCCTCACAGGACATTAAAAGTAAACAGGCACTGTATAAAGCTGAATTTAGAAATACTAGAGCACAGAATAGGGCTGCATAATGTACCGTTTGTTAGTACAGTCTTCCGACTCAAATCCTAGCCAAGATGCAATAGGTTTAGTATATTCCTACCCTGTTGCAGCTAAATTCAACTGACAGTAAACTGATGACAGCAATCTAATCTGAAAAACATTCAAATGTGCAGCACCTGCCCAACCAGGACCTGCATTTAACAAACCTGCACCAGAGTGAATGTGTGCAACAACTGTATATCTGGTGCTACAGGCGTGATGATTCAAATATACAAATTTTATTTATTTATATAGATTTTTTGCCTAGTTCAATTACAAAGCGGCAGGGGTTGTGCAAAGCAAACATTGTAAGTGTGTAATGCAGAGTGTAAATATTGTTTAAAATTAAAGGGCCCATATTCCACACTTTTCAATTCCCCATTCTTATAACTACAGCACCTACTTCTTATTCTCAAAGAAGACACTAAATAACCCAGAATATTAATTGATTAAGTTTTAAGATTAAAAGCTGAATAATAAGGCTGAAGGTTTACCCCCTGAACACAAGGCATATGATTCAGCTATTAACCTTAAGACTTAATATCAATGGTTAAGGGGTTAATACAGTGCATACATATGTGTGCTTTTGTGGAAATCTCAAGAGTGAGCTGATACCTTTGGGCTTTCTTCGCTCTTCTGCTTGTTGTAGGAAAAAGAAGAGAAAGAGGCTCTTCCCTCTGTGGAGAGAGAGTTCAGCATGGCAGCCCGAGCACGAGCAATACTGCAGAGATAATGAGAGAAAGAGAGATACAGAGGGAGAGAGATATGTCAGCAAAATATACAGACAATTGTTACAGTAAATCTATTATAAATGCAATATCTAAGTGAATGTGTGTATATTGTGCTGCAGATGTGCAAGTTTGTACAATATGTAAACAAATGTATCGTCACTGTTGTAACAAAACCTTGTAAAGTGGTAAAGAAAAAAAAAAACATTATGTTCCAGGTAATTTTGGACCATTTTTATTGAATCATTCAGTATGAAACACTCAACAAAAGGACACCTGACGCTCAAAAATGATGTAAAAATTAAATAAAAAAAGAAGTTAAACAGTTTTGATTTGATAGAAAGAGAAAGAGAAAGAGAGAGAGAGAGAGAGAGAGAAATGTAGATAAATTAGTGATTATTAGTCCACTGCAGCCAGATGTCATAATAATCATTTTTTTTAATTACACAGATATATTTTGTCCTTTTTTGCTTTTTTCCTGTTACATACTATATGCATATATGAAATATGTTTGTATTACTTCTTATATTATTAATAAATAACTGACACATTCACTTCTTTATTGTTTGCCATATATTGTCAAATATTTTTTATTATATATAATAAAAGAGAGAGAGAGAAAGGTCGCACAAAGGGAGAGAGAGAGAGAGAGAGAGAGAGAGACAGATGGGGAGATAAAAAGAAAGCAAGGGGGGAGGAGAGCACGAGAGAGATGGGGAAGAGAGAGAGAGAGAGAGAGAGAGAGAGAGAGAGAGAGAGAAAGAGAGGGAGAGAGATACAGAGAGAGAGAGATACAGAGAGAGAAAGAGAGAGAAAAAAAAAAAAAGAGAGCGAGAGCGTTTGTGAGGACCTGTGGTCAGTTGATCCTATGAGTAATGCTGCTGGTCAGAGTGAACCACACACACAGTGCCAAAACATAGCCAGCATCTGCACCATGTCCCCCACCATTACATTTAACACACACACAAACCTCAGAGCGAAACACAAGAGGCTAAGCTGAGTTCTCCACTTTCCTGAACTTCAGCCTTGAACTGTGCAGACAAAAAAAAACTTTCAGACAAGTAACCTGAGTAGCACATAATATGACCATCTGACCAAAACACACTTCCAGAACAGTGCAGTTGCTGTCTAGCTAACTCCCTGGCCAGTGTGAGGATGAAAAAGGACACAGTGTCAGAAACCACATAAGCAACTCTATTTGAGATTACTTAACAATTCAACACAGTTTAGATGAGTGTGTGATGATTTAGACTTGCAGTTGACTCAGTGTTAAATGAAGGAGAACAAACTTTCATTATTTGTTAGCTACTTTAGCTTTGTAGCTCCAGTGCAAAACTAAAGAAGCAAAACTCAAACTCCAAACATGTCTTGGCTAGTGGTTAGGGGCAAAGGGAGAAATTGTGTAAATTTAATTGTTCGCCAAACTCGCCAAATTGTTCGCCAAACTATACACGAAACTACTATGAAGCGGACCTGCTGTCACTTTCCACCACTGTTAGTGAGTGAAGTATGTGACAAATGGTACTGTGCAAATGTCAGAGACAACCTTAAACTTAATTTCCAGTCAAAACAGTCATTAAGCACAAGTTATTAATTTTTCAGAAAAAAAGCAAAAACAGATATTTAGCAAATAATTATACAGAAGTCACAACAACTAACTATATTATTAGTTTTTAGTATTTGTTGTCCAACCATTGCCTTTATTAGCTTCTGTTCTTTTCAGAAGACTTGCATTCAGTTTTTTTTTTAATCTGCAGGGATTTTTTGCCACACCTCCAAAGTTCAGTCTTAAAATCTGTTTTTTCATTCCCTGCTTCTCATGATAAAAGTAACGAAACACATTTAATCATGTTGAGGTCTGGACTCTGGAGTGGTCAGTCGATGATTCTGAGAACACCAGCAGCTTACTTGTCTGAACTGCAATTTTTCTTCTTTTATGTCTATTTGCTTTTTCAGTAACAGCTTCTTGACAGCTACATGTTTCAGAAACTTTTCATGCATACCCATAGCACTGAGTTGTCTTTTCACAGTGGAAGGATGGACAGAAACACCTGTGGATTTTTTCAGGTCTGAAGCAAGAGCGGAGCTTAATTTTTCCTCTCAAAGACGAAGAGAACAGTTTTTCTGATGGCAAAAGTTTTGGTGGTCTACGAGGTAGATGAGGTTGCCAAGTTATGAGGACCCCCACTTTCTCTGCATCTATTAATCATTTCTTGAATATCAGCTTTTGGCAGCTCCTGTTTTTTTCACTTCGACTTTAAAGGCAAAGAGGAACCGGCCTAACTAGACTTGCAAAAAAAATTAAAAACGTCAAAAATGGAGCTTTTTGGGCAACACCTAAAAATACACAATACAAATGTAACATTTATATAATTAATTAATCAATTAATTAATTAATTAACTATTAAATACCGATTGCTATTTATGAGGGCCTGTTATAATAAAATCTACTCAAAATGGTTTCTTTGTCTGTCTTCCATTGGCATGTAAACATAGCTCCTCATGTTGCATGTGTATATTCAGTACCTGCGTGCGGGGGACTGTGGTCTGATCTGCACCAGTATGAAGCCCAGGCTCTGCAGGTACTGGACGTATTGCTGCAGGAAGGTGTGAGAGAGCTCCTGCAGCCACGGCTCCTCTTTTAGCCGCATGTCTGCCGAGTCTGTGCTCAAACTGCGCTCTCTGACTGAGGCAGCAGAGTCACTGGAGCGATGACGCTTCTGAGAGAGAGAGAGAGAGAGAGAGAGAGAGAGAGAGAGAGAGAGAGATTTTTTTTTTGGTGAAAAAGACCAAATTTCAAAGTGACAATTTAAAATATTAAAAAAGATCTTTAGAGAGGGGCACACAGCTTGTCTCGTTGAAAAATGGAAATGTGCAACAGGGATGAGGGACGGTGGATGATGAACTCCACACTCCAATGCCAAGCGTCAGCTAGAGGGGCATAAAGCCCCCAGCACTGGGCTATGTAGCAGTTGAACTGCATTTTCTGTAGTGATGGAGCACCATCCAGTACCTTCAGGATGAGCTGGAGTTTGTGCTCCAGAACTAATTATCCAACATCAGTACATCGGAAAAGAAATAAACACAACCTCTGCAGTAAACCATTAAAAAAAAACAAAAAAAACAACAAAAAAAAACAACAACAGTATAGTAATAACAGTAATTGTGACATGTGCAAAAGTCTGGACATGCTTCCATATGCAAAATCTCAGAACTCAATTAACTCGTTAGGACTGGTCAAGAACTGTCATTAGGAATTGTCAGCTGATGACAATGCATGAGAGAATTCTCTCACTCTTCAAATTTTGTGCTAACACTCAAGTTCTCCTCTAAGCAGCTGGCTGAGGGTCAAAAATGCAGCCATGCCTACAAAACAGCAGAAGGCTATAGAAGGAACAAAAATGCATCAAAGCGCTTTTCACTACCTGAAATGGGAGTAAAGTAAACTGTGGAAGTCAAGGCCAGACCTGGAAGACCAAGAAAACTCTCAGACCGCATGTATGCAGGTCAGAAAGGCAAAGCAGAGCCCGCATACGACAGCAGAAAACCTTCAGGAAGGTGTATCTAAAACAGGAGTGGTGGTTGAGTGGTGGTGCTGTGCTGAATTGCTTGCACAAACATAACTTAGTCAACCTACTTGCAACCTAATTACAAAAGTCAACTTTTAAAGCAAGCAAAATAATATCTTAATAAACCACAGGCATTTTGGAAAAATAGACAAGTAAAAAAAAGAACTCTTTGGTTTTTGAAATTGGGTTTGCATAAAGACAGAGAAACAGAGAGAGACAATGAATGGGGGAGAGAAAGAAAGTGTGGATCAGAGACCTTTGCTAGTGGCTGAACAATCAGCTCCTCTTGGATCTGCTTCCTGAAGACGGGGTCGAAGAGCAATGGAGTGGCGCAGTAATGAACCAGCCGAGATGACTGCTTCAGAGTGTCCAGATCAGCCACCTGCACGCATATACACACACAATGATCAGTATCAGTATCAATAATACTAAAGATATGCTGCGCTCCACTGTGGATGTGTTCTGAGTCTGTCTGTTTAAGAAATCCAGCAGTACCTCCCATTCCATGATTCCATTTCAAAACTCTTTTAACATGTCCTGGCCAAGTTTGATTCACCACTTAGAAGTGTGTCACATCTACATTAGACAACTGGCCGCTTGCAGCAAAAGGGGGGTTGGGGACAGTGAGGAGTAAGGCTGTTCAAAACTAGAAATTTTGGAGTCAACTCCAAGAGCTGCTTCCACACAGCAATATCGATTCTAAATACTTAGACTTAGAAGAAGGACATCTGGCAAAGTCGAAATTTGGAGAGCCATCACTAGCCAAATTAATTTAGCTGATGTGGCTGGCTAAATAGTACCCGATTCTCAGCTGTCAACTGAACAGGGGTGCACAACTCCCACTTTTGAAAAGTAAAAGATGTTTTAAATGTATTCCTATGCGTGATGCTAAATTTTTGAGCAACACCAGTGCTGTCACCTAAAAATGTAGCCGGAGCTTTACATTTTTTTCAGCAAAAATAATTTTTTTCCTTTTTTGCGTTTTTTTTCCTTTCTCTCGGTTAACTGGACATCTGATCATGGACTCTCACGGGAACTCAAATTTTAAAATTACTCGCAATACACATCCAAATATGCAGTACACTAAAGCATTACTTTCAGATGATGTATTTTGTTAACAAGTTTACTGTGGTTTTAAGACGTTCAAAGGCTATATAATGAAAAATACATAAAATAGCATCAATGATCAATGATATGGAGGAAGCAAGTTGACCATTCCAGTTAGTAACTACTGTGCAACAGAAAAAACTGCAGCAGCAACTGCCTTTAACTAACAGCAGTAGAGAACTGAGAAGCAGGAAACATGGAGATTTGGGCAAAAACTTATAAGCCCATCTGTGCAGGGGTATAGAACCCCAGCTGGGTTAAAGTCTCAATGTATGAAAATTAGGAGGAATATGGTAGTGGAACATTGAGCTGTTCGTCTCTCCTTGCTCTCAGAGCTGCTGTGAAGATCTAAAATCAAGGGCTAGGATCTTCTATGATAAGAGCTATGCTACATCGCTAATGCAGACTTGAAAGCTGAAATTCTCTTTGTCTCATGCAAGACCTTCTACAACATCTTTTGAACTTACAGATATAGCCATATGTGCAGTTTTGATATACTCTGTTGGAAAGTCCTTTTTTCTTTTTATTTGAAACGCATTACATTCTGTCTGTGTGCTTCAGTAAAAACACACACTGTGAACTGAGGAAAGTCTCAGATAATGGTTTTGTGGACAGCTGGACAATTGTGAGTGACGCTAATTACCAAACTTGGTGAACCTATGACAGGAGCAGTTTCTCTTCTATCAAAAGTCTCAAAGGATCTTCGAACCTTTTCTGCGGTGACTGCTTTCCAATGTCTTGCTGCCAACTAAAAAGAACAGGTCTTGTGTTACCTAATCAAACCCCACAGGAGATAGGGTGACTGTTTTGATCTCAGCCAGTTGGCTAAGAATTAATTTGGCCATATTAGACCCACACAGACTGAACTGGTTCTCAGCATAATTAATATGCAAAGGGGTAACTTTACCATATTAGTTGCTTCAACACTACAGCTGCAGATTTAATTGTCTCCATGTTATAAAACTGTGATTGCTCAATGGAGACACTGCATAATAGAGGCTCTGTATCTCTGTAGCTCCCATCAAATTTTGAACCACATTTTTAAAGATTAAATCGAGACTGTCACCATTACTTGATTAAACTTGATTACTCAATTTAATCACAGATTAAAATATCAATGAATTGGTAGCAAGTACTTGGCAGTTTGTATGATTACAATGCATCTTTTGAATTCTTCTACTGGTTTCTTCTACAGGTGGAGATGACTATTTATATGAATATTGATGAATATATGAATATATATGAATATATTGAATTTCACCACAGTGTTTTTAATACATATATATATACACACAAACAGTAAGAGTATGTAATGTAAGTAATACTATACCTACACCTAACATTAACCTCAGTATTGAAAAGGCAATTTTTTTGCTCTTTGCTCTTTTTGCTTGGTGAAAAATTAATTACAGTTTTTGTTACATAAAACCACACAAATGTCTGAAGTGGACCTCAGGGGAAAAAATAAAAGTGGGAACTTGTGCTAGTTCCTAGCACAGGGTACTCACTAAGCTATAGTGAACTAGGTAAGCAGTGAAGTTGATACAGATTTTAACCATTCATTTCAGACATCTGACATAGTGCTGTTAAAGGTAGAGCTCCGCTTACTTAGCCAATGCATACTTAGGTATACTGTTATAGTAACTAGGCAGTTAAATGCGAGTTTAGCGATTGTGCGCTGTGTTGAAAATTTCATTTTATTTTTCTCTTGTTATGAAAGCTTCAGTGAAGTAGGCTAATTGGCTACTTGGTGGTTGTGAGCTTCACTCTATTGATGTCTCTGGGACATAATGCTGGCCTCCACAACCTGTAACAAGCACTTCCTAACCTCCAAAATGAAATTCTGGCTACATCACTGATCTCCACACATCTCCCAATGTAGCCCACAAAATCTCAAGTGGTTTTAAATCCTTCCTGAATTTCACTTAATGAACTGTGTGGCGTCTTGCACTGTCTTGAAAGAATATCAGTCATTTGTTATTTTGACCATGGCATTGGTGCCAGACTCACTAGTTTGAGTATTTCTATAACTGGTTATGTCCTGGGATTTTCATGCACAACTGTCTCTAGAGTTTACTTAGAACAATGAAATAAAACACCTAGTGAGCATGAAGTTTTGCAGACAGAAAACTAAGAGAGGTCAGTGGGGAATAGCCAGACTGGTTTGAGCTGACAGAAAGGCTACGGTAACTCAGATAATCGCTTTGTACAATTGTGGTGAGCAGAACAGCATCTCAGAATGCACACATGTCGAACCTTGAGGCAGATGGGCTACAACAGCAGAAGACCACATTGGGTTCCCACTTTGGTCGGCCAAGAACAGAAAGCTGAGGCTGCAGTTGGTACAGGCTCACCAAAACTGGACAGTTGAAGACTGGGAAAACATAGCATTGTCTTATAAATCACAGAGATTGTAGGGTCAGAATTTGGCACCAACAGCACGGACCAAACCCTCTCCTGGTGGAGGTGGTGTAATGATGTTGGGAATGTTTTCTTGGCACACTTTGGCTTGTTAATACTAATAAATCATCACTTGAATCCCAGAGCCTATTTGTGTATTGAGTATTGTTCATGACCATGTGCATCGAATATTGTTCGGGATCATGTGTATACCTAATTGAACCTTTTTGCCAAGTTTCACAACTGAGCCAGTTATTAAAAGTAGATGCAATAATTGGACTGCTTTATTGTGCATTTATCATATTTTTAGAAACTGACTTTATTTTTCCTTCATAGACTTCTTTTATGGTTTACAAAAATAAATTTGCTCTTCTATTCCTCTGATTCAAAATCTCCATTTCTAATCACCTAATAAGTAATCTGTTTTGTACAAAGGCCAGATTTCGAAAAGGTCTTTTCATAAGCAAGCCTACTGGAAAAGCAGGTGTTTGCTGTTTCTATCAGGCTTATAATGAATCTGATTAGTTAATTTAGCAATAAATTATACATATATATCTGTATAACTGAGCATACAGAAATATTTAAAATGAAAAAGATGATTTTCTAAGTAAAAATAAGTACACATCTTCTAAAGATAACACACATTTAATGTACAATTACAGTTTAAAACATAAAATGCGACATGTAATAATTTTGGGACATTTTATATTTTTATTAAAATATATATATATATTAAAAAATAAAAAAATAATTAATAAATATAAATTGTGCAGAGAAATGTCATATTTAAGACTGTAGTTGACATGTTTACTTATTTTTTACTCAGAAATCAGCCAAATGTAATTTGACAGACACAAGCCATAATTTAACAGAGGGTATTTAAACTTTAGCATATGACTACATATTACATATGTATACTACAGGTCAAAAGTTTGGAAGGAACAGCAGCCCTGTAAACAATAACAGAGTCCGATTGATATACTGATTGGCCAACAATTTCGGCCAGTACTGACCACCTGCAGTTCTTGTTGGTATTAGGGGTGGGAGTCTCTAGGCACCTCACGAATCAATTCGATTACAATTCAGAGGGCTGCGAATATAAAACGATTATCGATGCATCTCTTTTTCCTATACAAGATTTATTATGTACAGCCAAGATGGAAAATTGGACTCAAAAAGTTGTGGCTCCCAAAGTGGATTGATTTTTGTTGAAAATACAAAATGACTCTTATTAACATTTGGGCTGCGACCCCTGCACTAGCTTTTAACAGAGAACTTGCAGAGAGTCATAAACCGGCTCTGCTTTTAATGTAGTGTGCACGCCACAGACTGTCCGTTCCGTTAACATTGAGTTATCAATTAAAATCTAGACATTTGTGAATCGATTCAGAATCGTCCATCGTCCGCATCACAATGCATCTAAGAATCGATTTTCCCCCCACCCCTAGTTGGTATCAGCAAAAATATCACAGATAAATACCAGTTACTTTTCGTAAGCATTACTTGTGACCTGTTTAACTGTATAACAGTAACACTGGCTGAACAGGTGAATCTAAATACAAAACACTAACCTGTTTTTTACCAATTCACAGTAAAAACACCACAAAAGCTACAGATAATAGCAAACATTATTGGTTATAGCAGTTTTTAGCACCTTAAAATCAGTATTAACATCAGCCACAAAACAGTCATATTGACGGGAGCTGAAATAAAGTGATTTTTTTTTTCTTTCCACTAGTTTTCACTGCAGTTTTATCATCTACTTTTGAGTTCCAGTGTCTCCAATTTCACTGCTGTACTGAGGAAAGTCATTCGCATTGGTTGAGTGCACCATGTGTGAAGGAAGAAGGCATAAATCCTTGTCATGTCTACATGGTTATTTTGATTCGCTAAAAGAAAATGACTGGCTGGTATGTGAAATATAATCCCAATCCCTTTCTCAAGACAGGAAGGCAGAATCCATTTCTGCTCTGCCATGGACCGTACACCCTGTGTGCTCTCTCTTTTCTACTGAGATTAAGGGCTTGCACTATTTATTATGTTGGTAATCAAAAAATGTACTGATTTGATAGTTAAATCAAGAAATCAGAGTTTGAAAAAGAGGCCATGCAATTATAATGGACTTGGAAGTGACCAATGACAAACTATACATAGTCTTTGAAAACACTCCAAAATACTGCAAGAAGATCAATTAGGAAGCCTTTAAAAAGACTTTATGGAAAATATATAGCGAGACATTAGGTGGTAAAAATGCAGATAACAGGTGTCCATCAGGCTCTGTTTCTTACTGCAAGATGAATTTAATTTATACATTATATCTTTCAAATGTTTGGAATCACCATTTACCACCATTCATGAATAACTTTTCTGATACAATGAAAGGTTTTTGCTAAAGATACTCATATAAAATGCTTTTGTTAATATGCTAAAATATACAACTTTGCAAGTTTCAACAAACCCAGGGGTGACAGGGGTGTCTCAATGTCAAGTGTGGCATACCAGCACAAAATCATTTTAGTAGGCCAATAGCACAACACCACCTCATAAATATGTTTATTTTGTCTAAAAAAAAATAAATTCTGAATGAACAAACAAAAACAAAGCAGAATAGACAATTAGGATAAAGTTGCAATGTTAGACGCTAAGGATATGTTGTCTTTTATCAAACCTAAAAGAAAGCAACATATATGCACACATATGACTGCATTAATATTCATCTTCAAACAGAATATTTTAATCACAAATATGCTATAATACTTCATAGTGCTCTTTTAATCTTTAAAAATGTATTAAGCCATCAGAAATGTCAGCAGCTAAGTGAAGAAAAGCTAACTGATCTTAACATTGTTCTGCATAGTTACTTACCATTAGACATTGCATCAAAATGGATGTTAGCAGAATACGGTGAAAACTGCGAATGGTCAATGATTATTTTGAAAGTAGTCAATTACACTCCACAAGATGTTTTTAATTTAGGATTTAGGACTCATATTTTAGGCTTCATATATTTCACAATACAGTCTATGCCTCTACATGGAACACAGAGTGAGAATAGCCATCCTGCTTGAAGCATTTTTACAGGCTAGTAGTTCAGTACAGAGCAGTTTTTGAACTGTGCACGTGTGGGTGTAAGTGGCTGTTTAGCTAAATAGTTAAGTTATGTGGGACAGCAGTGTTCAAACTTCCTAGGCTTCTAACAGTACATTCCTGTCAATCTATTTATGTCACTTTGGCTCTACTCATGTGAGATAATTTGATCTGTTCTGTTATTGCAGCCTATAATGAAATGTTTATTGCGGAAACTCATACAACAAAAAACAGAACAAATTGTGCAGACCTACTTTTAATTGATTATTATTTTTACAATTCAGTAGTTGTGACAGCCCTACTATACTTTCATATAAAGCACTTTGAAACCTCAGTCTGATGCACAATAACCATTATTTTCACCCAGCTATAAGCTGGGGTCTTGTCAGTCATGTAAATTAGTTGTGTCTGATGCGTATGTAAGGCTGTGACAGATGTGTGTGTCAGTGTCATGGTTCTAATGCACAGCCTGTGATGGATCTGTCCTGTAACATCCGTCCTGCTTGTGCAGCGTGCGACACTGATGCTATCACTCACAACCTATAGGCATGGAAATGTCTGGCTGATGGTGGTCCTGGGGTCAGCAGGCGTAGAGTTTGGTAAAAGCCTGCTAAAACTGAAGCATAGCTGACAGTGCTGCACTGAGCTTAAACAAAATCTCACTCACACACATAGCATGAGAAACTGTGTCCAAAACACTGTAACACATTCTTATGCACCCCATCTCATTAAACTGTCACACTCCACTGTGGTACTGTGTGTGTGTGCACTTGTGAGAGAGACAAAAGCACACACACACACACACACACACACACACACACACACACACGTGACACTGTGTGCATTTGTGTTATAATATATTTTCTGGAAAAAAAACATCCTGACTTTGTAGTGAAACGAAAAAAACAGGACTAATCTACAGGACTTCATTAAGAGTTTTTTTTAAAAAAATTTCCACAAAATCTCCACGTTTCATTTTTAGGGGTTGCACAACCAAGTTGTGTCACCATTCTGTAGCCACCGTCATGCCCGTTTTGCTGTATGAACATTTTTCTTCTGAGCGTTGCCAGATCCTCTATAAATTCCAAGGTCATGTAGAAGCCAGAACAGGACTATTACTACAAGCAAGCTAACACTGCTGCACACTGAATTGACATCAACAGAAAACCTCACCAAAACACCCCACACAAACCAGCAAGCTTGATCAAGTGTGTGTAGTTAAGTTGCTTTGGCAGGTTTAGCCTACAGTTTAAATTGCTGGTGTATATAATAGTGTTGAAGTTTATTAGTAGACTTTCTTTCATGCAGTGTTATTTCAGTGCACAGGTGTGTTAGCTTGCTGTTACCCTGTATGTATTATTATTCATATTTCCTGTAGGTATCATTATTCGTACTTTGACTGCTAAGCATACTTATAATTCCGATGACCCAGTGACGATTGGAGGTGTGGGTGGGGTTGGAACGCACACAGGACAAAACATATCAGGCATGATGGCTATTACAGAATGACACTCAACTTCAGAGGTCTAACTCATCTCACAGTTTTCAACATATTAACACAGCTTTTAGATTGGATGTATGGTTTCTGTGTAACAACTGTTAAAAATCAGATTTTTTTCCTATAGAAATGAACGTTTCCTGTAGGAATGAAAGGATATGCACCCCTCTTATATCACACACAAGCAACATCCAAGCAACCACCCTGGATTCTATAGCAGTCATTTAGCAACACCCTAGCAACATATATGAAGACCACAGTATCCACCTAACAACACCCTATCAATCACCTGTAATACCACAGCAACCATATAACAAAACCAACAACCTAGCAACCACCAGAAATGTCAGAGCAACAACCTAGGAACCACCTAAGAACTGACAAAATATCTTGAAAAAACATCTTGCAAAACCTAGCAATACCACAGAATTGCTTAAGTTATGAAGTCACTCTTCATTTTCTTCAGGAAAGGCACTTTTTCTAGTTTAAAATGTAAAGAGTTTGGCTCCTGAGGCTAGGGTTACTCTCACCATGCTCTGTAGCAGGCCCGTTCAACAGGCTCAGATTTAAGCCACTCTAAAGGAGGGTTCATTATTGGGGCAGGGATGGCAAGAGCTTCAGTCATAAAGACGGCTTAACTAACAGTGCTAACACTGCGTCCACTCACTGTCCACTCTATTAGACCTTGTCAGTCCACCCTGTAGATGTAAAGTCAGAGACGACAGCTCATCTGCTGCTGCACAGTTTGTGTTGGTCATCCTCTAGTCCTTCATCAGTGGTCACAGGACGCTGCCCACAGGACGCTGTTGGCTGGATATTTTTGGTTGGTGGACTATTCTCAGTCCAGCAGTGACACTGAGGTGTTTAAAAACTCCAGCAGCACTGCTGTGTCTGATCCACTCAGGCCAGCACATCACACACTAACACATCACCACCACATCAGTGCTGTACTGCAGTGCTGAGAATAGTCCACCAACCAAATAGTACCTGCTCTATGAGGGTCCATGGAGGTCCTGACCACTGAAGAACAGGGTGAAAGGGGGCTAACAAAGTATGCAGAGAAACAGATGGACTACAGTCCATCTGTAATTGTAGAACTACAAAGTGCACCTATAGAGTAAGTGGAGCTGATAAAATGGACAATGAGCGTAGAAACAAGGAGGTGGTCATTATGTTATGCCTGATCAGTGTATGTATTATTTGACCCCACACCTTAAAAGATACACAAACAAAACTATGGGTGTGTGTATATGTGTGTATACAGTACTGTGTCTGGACATGATGAGCTGTTGCAGTAGCACCAAAGAAAATCACATGCTGGAGGTGTGATGGAGAATACTGATCACAGATTACCACTCTATCTCTCACTCCTGCACACACACACACTCACACTCACTCACACACACACACACACACACACACACACACACACACACACACAGACGCAGACGCAGACACACAGAGACAGATACACAGAGACAGACACACAAAATCTCTCTGACACTTTCTGTTCTGGCAGTCTTCAGCAGATCTTTAGTGCTGGGTCATTTCTCTTGACACTGTGAAGTATCTAATGTGAGCTTGACTGTGACAGAAAGTGAGTTTCGCTCACAGGCTCTGCAGCAGGAATCAGCAGGTAGAGCCCCAGAGGACTAAAGCCTATAGGGGGTACTCTAAATGCACAGTACAGAACCATGCTGAGAGGCTAACAGGTCACAGTAGGGGGACTTACAGAGATAGGCATGTTGGACTGGGCTGATCTCTGCTGCCACGTCACAAACAGGTTCTCAATCTTCATCTGTTTCTCCAACTCTGTAATAATAATAACAAATAATAATAACATAATATTTGTTGTTTTTTTATATTCATTAATGCAGTGTAGCACAAGATCATTTCAAAACATCATATAATGCAGTTGACCATGATCACAGACAAAATAATATAAAACAGGTGCATGAGTTAACACAAGATACACTACGTTCACATTATAAGTCATATTGCTTTTAGTCCTGTTTTTTCTCAAGGCCAATCTCCCTGTGATACAGAGCCATGTGAATGATCCTCATGTCATGATTAAAAAAAATGAACAAATTAGCAGCACAAGCCATCATGGCAAAGATCATTAGCTTGGAACAACTGATTAGAAGAGAGGGTGAAAATGGCAATACACATCAAAGCAGCATTATGCGAGAATCTGTATTTTTTGCTCTTGCGCTTCCTCTACAGTTGCAGTGTATATATTTAACTTTTATAGCACTGTTGTGAACACAGATTTTGCTGTGAGCCCCCCTCTTGTACATGCACATTTGTTGACAAGATTCTCCTTTGTGTGCACACGTGTCACACAGGCATATGGATGCGACAGATTACACTCGCGATTTCAGTTTGTGTAAATCTTTTGCGTCCATATACCTGCGTGATGCGTGTGCAAACGAAGGAGAGTCAGATTCTGCCAGCGAGACGGAATTCGGCACAACATCTGCAAAAAAACATCAGAAGCAATTAACCATGTTGACTTAAAGTAAAAGTAATTTAATAGGATTTTATTACAGGAGGTTGCAAAAAGGCTTATCTGGCATGATATTGACAAAGACTAACCAAACTTTTTGTCGTGAAATTAATTTATTTCTTTGCATGCTAGCCTGAAATGGGACTGATGTTAAAAACTTCTTGAGACAGGGATGACACAGATAAGGTTACAGCCTATGTCACAGTCTTTCATTAATAACATTGGTAGAGATATACACTCAGATTTTTGTTGTTTTCCTATTAGCCATAAGACTGTCTTGTATCTTTTTATCTCTCCTAGGTCTCAACAATGAGAAAAAGCCAGTGCTAGATTTACTTATGTCCGGTCTCTTGCTTGGTCACTCTGTCTTTTTCTCTTCTGGGTTATAATGTTATCTAAGATGTTCGAGTGAGAAGAAAAAAAAAGCAACTGGTTAATAATGTCTCAAAAAAGAACATATGTATCAGGAGGAGAAAATGAGGAGAAGGGATTTAAGATAAAGGCATTTTTGGGTATTTTTTAACATCATGCCATTTGTTTTGGCTTCTAGTTGGAGAACAAGTAGTAGTTGACCTGGGGTCTGTTTAATGAAGCAGGCTCAACTCAGACAGGCTTTCTGGAAGCTAGGAATACCCAATTATTTACCCTGGGCAAACAGCATGCCTAAATCATCACAACCATTCAGTGTAATTTTCCCCACATCATTTTGATTAGTAGGCATTGAAATGAACAATATCGCTGTGGTTTTATTTTCCTGGTCTGCAGAGAAGTACCTACTCTGTTGTAAAACTTAAAAAGTCCTGAAACTATTGCTTAAGAACTAAAAATAACCCTGGTTCCTCTGGTGGAAACACACATGAAAATTCCCGAAAAGGTTCCTGCAGTGGAACCATGCCTTATGAGATGTGTGTGAGAGCTGTGTGTCTGTATAAAGTCTCACCTCGGCGCTCTGCAGCTTTGACCTCCAGAAGCTGAGCTCCATGTCGGCCTACAATGTCCGCTCCTTCCTGATTGGCCAGCAGGCGTCCTGCACTCACGTCCCTCAGAGCCTCATCAAAGGGCATGAGGTCAGCAGGGAAGGGCAACGGGGGCAGCGCACGGGCACTGCCCAATCGAGTGGGGTCCTTACTGGGCACAGGGGGCACAGATACACGCAACAGAGCTTCAGCCTCCATAGAGGAGTTCAGGAATGGGTTAGGCTCCTGCAGAGAGAGAGAGAGAGAGAGAGAGAGAAAGAGAGAGAGAGAGAGAGAGAGAGAAAGAAAGAGAGAGAAAGAAAGAAAGAAAGGGGAAAGGAAAAGAGAGACAAAGAGAAAGACGAGAGAGAGGAAGAAATATAGAGAGGGAGAAGTACAGAAAGAAAGAGAGACAGAGAGAGCAACAAAGAGAGAGAAAAGGAGACAGAGAGACAGATTGTAATACTTTAAATAAAGATAAGTAATCAGATCACACAGTTTGCCAGAATGAGTAACCTTACTAAAAGAATTAGAAATGCTAATTGAGCGCAGGTTTTTAAAAGCTGCTGCAGGACCCGGAGGAATGCAGAGAATCAACTCTGGCCTTCCTATCCTCAACTCTCTTTCATGTAAATGATTGAAGCCTCCTTTTCAAAGAGCATCTCTAAAACACGTGGCTTTTCCACTGTTAACCCTTCAGCAGCCAACCAATAACAGTTTTTCAAACTCAGTTTGACTTCAGGAATGTCGAAAGAGATGCTGTGCATGAAATCTAGTACTACAGACTACACACTACATGCTGTAAGTATATAAGTACAGTGTTATAATGAATGTGGAACTTTGCAGACTGACTTAAAACTAGGCACTCTGCAAAATCTAAATGTTTGATAATGGAAAAGTAGGCCTGTCACAACTATTACATAACTCAATCCAAATTATTAGAGCTGACAGGTCTTAGCTTTCACAGTCTGCAACAAACAGAATGTAAACTGCATGCATTTTTAACAGTTGGGTTGAAAGCAGGAGCACATTTAGTGAGACACTTCATGAGTCTTACAAAACAAAAAAGTTATAGCCTCTGACTAATACTGTAACACCTTTAGAGGGCAGCAGTGAGAAATATTTGTTTGTGTATTTCCATCATTAGTTGGGAGCTACTAAGTATCAACATAAAAAAAAAAAATCAAAAGTTTGGCCACTTTAGGCTTAGTTGGCTACAATGGAAAAAATAATAAATTGTTAATCGCGAATTATTTATATGGCGCTTCATTATCAGCAAAAATTTCAATATCTTGACAGGCCCATGGAAAAGTTCAAACAGCTGGGCTGAGGTAAATTTTGAAAGCTTCTATGAGCGTTTAAAATTAAACATTTATCTCAGTGCAACAGTTACACACTAAAATCTAAAAAAAACTCTTTTCTTAGAATTAAGATACCAAGACACCAGTTATGAGAAGTCAAACCACTCATAACTTTGAGATTTTGTGAACGAATTGTGTCCAGTATTTTTGCACTTTTACAATTTTTACCAGAAAGAGTATATTATCTAGCTTATTGACTCTAGTTGACACCTGGCATTGGGCATGGCGACCTTCAGTTCATCATGCGGCTGATCTAGAGCATCCCATTTTATTAACAATGCTTATATAAGCTGTGTGTACAACTGAATACCTGCATTAGTAGTGGGTGCAGCTTAAAGTAGCTGAATTCACTAATTGAAAGGTGTGTCTGAATACTCCTGGACATGTAATTTTTGCACGTGGAGTCCATAAGATCCTAGTTTAGAGCATGAGCATGCAATTTCAGATGAAGTCTGGAGATAGAAGAGAGAAATATGGAGCTTCCTGCTAGACAGACAGTTCATTATCTCTCTTCATCAGGCCTAAGCCCCATGGAGTTCAACTCAAGCCAACATGGCTCCTTCCGTTCAGGCATCCAATTAAGAAACCCCGTGTCTGACCCAGCACAGCTTCAGAACAGGATTACATGCTTCACGCTGAAACGGAACAGGAGTACAGGCAGCTTACAGGCTCTTATGGCTTATGGGATGCCTGCTATGTCACCCCTGCACAACCTTTATACCCTAACTGTGCCACTTGTGGGAACTTTTGGGCGAGTTAGTGTTCGGCACAATGGCCAAAGTACTGCAGGGCGACTTGGAGGCCTCAGAGGATGTATGAGGGTTGGAGATATGCTGGATAAAGGCAGTCCAGATGACCCAGCAATGCTGAGCTGTATACCCATGTGCCAAAGCATGGGGTTGGTTGAGTTAGGGGTTAGCCAAAGGCTAACTAGCGCATGGACGCTTCCTCCTGGGAGTCTGACAGATGATTGGCAGCTAGGGCAAATTTTCTGCAGTGCTGGATCTGCCTTCTGTCGCTGCTTGTTAGCGGAAGAGTGATTAAACAAGTGAAACCATCGATGAGGAAAAAAAAATCCAGAAAGGACTGTGCTATTTTTCCTTCAGGCATGGTACGCATGTTTCGTTTCATTTCTCCTTCAGTGGCAGTGTTAGAAGTGTTCATCATCATAGCTCATTACGCTGAGAAGACCATGGTGAGAGACAAGAAAGTTAAAGGAAAAAAGAAAAATCATTAAAAGCAGTGATCCCTAAGAGGACACCCACAAGCGCATAAAGGAAAGGACATTTTCTCCAACTGTTGAGAGAACTAGCTGCCAAACTTTGAATATATAAGCCCATTACTGTGCTAATAACATCACATATGTTCTATTAAGTCCCATAGCTCAAGCCTTTACAAGCCAAACAGAAGCACACTGCATGTTCACCGTGTTGCAATTGTGCCTAGACCAATATAGCACAGACGAACAGCACTCAGGAAGCATGGGCTCATTAACTCTGTTCATGCTAACTGAAATTTTATCTGATTTCATTACATTTTTGCAAAGTATTTTGATACTGAATATTATTAATAATGCCCTGCATTAATTTCAAGAAAACTAAAACCTAAAATCCAGAGGCCATATTCATGAAAGCTTTCCCAAGAAAAAAAAATATGGAAGACTTTAAGACAAACACTGTTTACACTTTGTATTAACGTGTTTTCTGTGTGCTTTCACTGTGGGAAAAGTACAATTGGATCTCATCTGGTCACACTGGAAATGCATCTTAGTGAAGAGAGTAATCCAGCCAAAGTTTATCGAAATAAGATCTGGACACAAAGCACATATTAATACAAGTTCTCAAATATTCTCTTAAGAACATCTTATTTATTTTCTTGAGAAAATCATAATTGTTTTAATGTGTAGGATAGAGGTTGTCATGATGTTATCTGTCATGTATCATTCCATTTTACAGATGACTAGATACGAGACATTTTTGTTAGCCATTGATTTAGCTTAATCACTTCAACACAAAAGACAGCAAAGTGAAGGTAAAACAAAATCAAACCAAACGTTCAAAAAAATTTAGCCATCAAGAACTAGAAGTGATGATGGAGGAAACAGCCAAGAGGAAAACACCTCCTTTGTTTACCGTAACACGTATGTATGAAGCCCATTAGGAGTTACAGTTTAACAGACTTAAACTGCCAATTATTACGTCAAGAGTGAGACTGTCTTATGGTCAAGTAAAATATTTAAGAACAGTTTTTTCAAGAATACCATGTTTTTACAAGAAAGAAAAGGTTCCCTGCCTAAATCTTTAAAATATATCTTCAAAATAAATGACTAACGACAGAGTCTGCAAAAATGAACCCAACCTCACCATACACGAAATGATACACAAACTTCAGATCTTTTTTCACATTTTGGTACTTAGGTTGGCCGAATAATGACGAAGAACTGCTGCCGCACTGTCTGGTACGAGGAGGGATTCTCAACTTAGAATTCTCTGCTGGCAGCAAACACCCTTGGCCACCACCTCCTAAAATTAAAAAGTTGTCCAAAACGGCAAATTTCAAATTCTGAAAGGTGACAACTTTGCATGTATGTAACTACTTAAAAAAAACACATTTGCTTTTGCCTGTGCTCTCCTGCAATATTTACACAATTTTCACAATTGCAGGACATAACAATATAATTGCTACTATTTATTTCACTTTGTGCAGCCCTAACATTAAGCTGCTGTGAGATATTAGCCATTGCTTTCGTTCTGACGTCCACAACACCGAAGAAATGGTCCTTCTTCTTGGTTTTAACCACTGCAACAGAAGCTACAATACAAATCAATGTAACAGGACAACTCACAACAGCATTAAAGCAGACTGTCAAGGTATGTGGCTGTTTTATTTATTTTTTTGGTCCATAAGAACTTATCTGTATTATAAAGTGTATGTGGCTGGAAATGAGGAAGAATGTCTCCACCAGGCTTTAATCTTCAGAAAAGTGGAAAACAAGCATCACTCTGTATTTATAGTAATGATGCAGTGGATCGACATCATAGAGACAAACTCAGTGGCTAGATCAAACAAGCATGATCATTACCTACACAAGCAGAAAGGATTTAGCACAAATGCTACAAGAAGGCTTTGCAAAAGCCAACCAATCGAGACTCATTTTGCATAAACACCAGACTAGTCGTGTTTGAGCGGCATCATAGCAATGTGGTTTCTCAGTGTGCAAGCTCAAAATAGCACTAGAGTAAGTAATGTCAGAAACAATTCTCAAACCCAATAAACATGAAAAACACATGTGCATCCTTTTTATATTTTACCTTTAAAGTGACAGATTGAAAAAAATTAAGTTAGCATCACATAAACTTACCTCAAAATATTAAGTAAAATCTCAAATAGATTTGCTTTTGTGGTTTCTGGCACAGTATGACAAATGTACATTACACAGCTACAACAGCAGTATTAGCCATTAGGGCTGTGTTAAAAATATCGATATGGCAATATATCGTGGATAAGCTAGAGGTGATGCGCACATCGATACAGTGATGGCTGTTTTTATTAATTTACTTTTACACAGTGCATGTATTCACAAATTAAACTGAAGCTGCATTGAAATCTGACAATGTGATATTTGCAGTACCCTGTGTGAAGCAAACATGTGCTCTAATAGTTATGACTTTTTTGATTTTGAAACTTTGGTGAGGGTAGGGGCTGAGTTGTTTCAAAAGGACATTTTTGTGTGTGCACTTCTGGATGAGCTCATATCAGTTTATTTTATTTATTTATTTATTTATTTATTTATTTATTTATTTTAAATACCATTATAAACAAATATTGTATATTGTAGCAACTTGACTGTAGGTAAAAAAAACTATTTCAATGACCCTAAAGATATGTGACTTGATCATCAATAACCACAGTCAGATTTGAAGAAATATTCAAATAGAGCTAAAAACGATTAAAAACTCCATATCAGGACAAGGAGTGGCTACAATGACCATGATGAAGCTGAAGTTAGCTTCTTCTTCATATTTAATTTTTCTGGTACAGGTGTCAGAATGTAATGGATAAATAACTTAGGGTGGATTGGAAAATTCAAACACGAAGCTACCAAATAGAAAGCAAACTTTTACCAGCCTCGTTTTACCATGGTGGTGTGTTTGAGACCAATGCAAGTAAAAATCTGGTAAGTCATCCAAACATGCCTTACAGTTGGCAACGTATAGCCCTGTGGGGTGGCTATGACAGGTGGCAACAAATATGGTTTCTCTCTATTGGCATGACCTAGCTAACATCAGCTAACAGCAGTAGCTAGCCTAGTTATTTATACAGCCTTTACTAAACAATGTGACCTTGGCAAGATACTTACGTTGAGGCACTGGTGTTCGAAAGAAAAGTGTCGTGTAAAATCCTTATGTACAAGTATGAGCAAAACTGTCATTCTTCACTCAATAGTTAGCCTGTGCATTTTAGCATGTCTTGAAATGTAACAAATACCCCATCAGTGATTTCAGTGTTCGAATACTGGCACCTCATATGATTAAAACTGTGCATGAATACCTGTGCACAACCCTAACTGTATAATGAAGCATGCTGACAATACCTGGACTTAGCAGACTTCTTAATGCCTGAATTTTGCCTATTTTATTGGTGGGGTATAAGCTTCCACATTAGGCTCACAGCTCAAAGTAAAAAACTAAATATGCAAACTTCAGACACCGAACTTGTTTTGGCTAAACGACTACATAATAAGATAAAAGCAAAACTGTGCTGACTTTTTGCCAAACTATCACTTTAAGACATGCCGGTATTCTAGAAGCCAATGTCAAATACAGGAGACTGAGTGATTGGATCTATTATAACACAACATCTATTTCCCTTCCTTTTTCTGTCTGTGACTTAAAGACAAAACAAAAGGGAAGGAAAAGAAGCCCTGACAAACAGTTTATAAAAAGAATGGATGAAAAGAGGAGTTGAGAACGGAGGTCACGGAGCAGGAATCAGAGCAAATGATAATAAACAGAGAGAGAAGACATAGATCTAAACTAGGTCATGGCATTTGCTATCAAAGGCCACAGAGCAGTCTATCTGACACTACACTACACATTCCACCCGAGCCAGCAGAGCAAACACTCCAGCGAACAAAATGCATCAAAACTCCCTAACTGACACAACTGATCCAACACCTGGTAAAAGTGAAGATAGGTCTGTATACTATCTTTAGCGTCAAAGAAGCACCAACTTTGTCTGAGGTTATCGTGAGCACATTATCTAAATAAACAACCCAACTTCTGGACATCAGCTGACAACTCTTATTAAGTCCCTGTTCAACCTCTTAATGCTAAGGCAAAAAGACACTTTTTTTCTTTTAAACTATTATTCCCTTCTAATAACATGATGATTTAAACTTAATCCTAAAAGAAATCTGGAGGTGAAAATTTGACAACCTCCCCAACCAATCCCCCAACGCTGTGCCGCACACTCTTCACTTTAATTATTAAGGCACTGTATACATATCATTTTAACTTTATTTATTACTGTCACTGTTTAAAAATACCCACTGTTTTTTACTTCTTTATTTGCTCAGTCAGTTTATGTGTGTATTGATCACAGCACTCAGTAATAATCCAAAGAATCAGAAATAAGTGAATTTTTATAAATTTGTTCTGCATGCCAATGTTTAAATGTACTTTAAATCTTCGTCTTATATAGTGTGCAAAGAACACTCTTGCATGACCAACTGTTCTCTGTTTTTAAGGAAGTAAACTGTTTTTATTTATTGTCAGCTTTTTCCATTGTTCAGTGGCTTGGCCCAATGTGTCCTGAAGTGCAGTTCTGGCCAAGAATTTCTTTTCAGTGTCATTTAATGTAAACTGAATGGACACTAACATTTTCCTACATTCAATATAAATACCAGTAAAACCTTAACATGGAGCTAAATATGGCACCAGGCTTAGGACTACACACCTCTCTATTCCTCGTGCTGGATTATAATGAGATCAGAGAAGGTAAAAAATTGTATGTGAGCATGGATTTTTATGAAGAAGCACTTGAATGTCACTTGATTGACAAACAAACAAACAAACAAAAAAAACAATATATGTGTGTATGACTTTACCCTAAAAGCTTCCAAAAAAAAAAAAAACAACCACCACCATCTGACTCCAAAAATACATCCTGACATTTTGGTATGCAATCTTCAAAAACAACTGACATCTGAATCAATATAAAAAGAAAAAAAGGACAGTGACAGATGCTGCTGAAACTATTTCTGTTCAGGCACTTTACAGGGATGCATAAACAAGTTCAAGGTGTTTTTTAGAAAAGACAAATAAAACACCTTGATACAGTCGCTCTGGACATGGTGAAAGGCTGGAAAGCTGTTTGATTTTAGGTCAGCTTGTGGCCAGCATGCTGGAGGGGAGAAAGGCCAGCTGTTAAGACATGTTGGTGTGTGAGTACAGTGTGCTAGCAACTAGTTACCAGTATATTTCATTTCTTAGTGGCCAAACCCCTGGAGCGGTGACAGCTGTCTTTCACACTGATGTTGTGGAACCTCAGGCACTGCCAGGGTTCAATGTGCAGGACACAGTTATACACACAGTCAAACACACAAACACACATGCGTACATACACACTTTAAACCCCTACTGATGTGTACACTTCAGTCTTGACAACCACCGACACAGCTACTGTGGATGATGCAGAAATGCAACAGCAGTAAAATAAATAAATTAATTAATAAATACATAATCTACTTAATAAAAAATAGTACAATATGTTCTTATTATTTTATTTAAGAATATATTCTTAATATCTTATGTCAGACTATAAAATTCCATCACTACTAACGCACAATTAGTGCTTATTTGCTAAATTTAACAAACGTCATGTGAACTACTTAGAAAGTCCGCAAAACATGAAATTTGACCAGTGGTATGGAAGCTTTTGCACATGACTATATATATGCAATGATCATTATTTGTTTCAATAATCTATATGAAAATACAACAAAAATCTTGCAACCCAGTTTCAAAATAACACTATGTCCATAGTTCTCCAATTAGACCATTAATATACAGTGAAAAAGGGAATTATTTGTGTCTTTCAGCTGACTTTCCTCTTAACATGGTTAACTGAGCTTAAGGGACAAGGTTAAGTTTAGGTAGGCATGAAAGTATTTAGCTACGGGAACAGTTTGTGTGGGTGTGCATGTGTAGCACTGACCTGTTTGAGATCCTCTTGTGCGGGTGTATCTGTGAAGCAGTAATGGTGAAACAGGCCCATTTTCTGACTCAGTAGGCAGTGCACTACGTGGGCTCGAGCATTCTGCCACTGCACCAGCCGCACCAGGTCACGATTTAGAGACGCCCCCAGATCCACTGACCAGTTATAGGTGTACAAAGTCAACTATAGCCAACAGAGACAACAAACACACATCGTTTTCACAAAAGTAAGTCAAAGCACAGTCGTCTACATCAGAGTATGGGTGCTAACAATGCAGTCTAGTTCAGTGGTTCTCAAACATGTCTCCAGGGCTCTCCAGACAGTCCACATCTTTGCTTTATCCCCAGGCATTGTGAGTTATGCTGAGACTGTCTCTTCAGGGAACTATTTAAGTGGAAAGTAAAAAAAAAAACATAACTGTAAACTAAGCTTTAGACTTCAGGATTTTCGCTTTCAAAGTTTTTGACGGTTGCGAAATTAAAATGTAGATGTTTAGCTTTAAATTTATCCCTTAAGCATTTATGCAAGTGGCCACAGGACCTGTTGCAATTTGAAAAAGTCACAACATTGGTTAGAAAAACTGTAATTAAATATTTTCTACAAATTATTCTTCCCTATGTTAGTGTATGAATTTGTTCACTTGAATCACAAATTCTGTTCCCAATTCCAACACAGCATGCGTCTTCTCTGCTCCATCTCATCTGAGTCTTATCATTAGGTGATTATCCAGGCGTATTTGAGCATGGAGAGCTACAGGAGGAGCTACAGGAGGGACATCATCTCTATCAGCAATGCTGAGTGTTAAATATGTTTCACTTCCCTCCTCACCTTTTTATCCACTATATGCATGTGCAGAAACCTCTGGCGCGGGGCCACACCTCTCCAGGACTGACCGGGGCTCAGCCAATCACTGTGCTCCAACGCCTCAAACCTCTGAAGCCCTTTATGAGCTATAGTGTGAAACAGAGAGAGAGGGAGAAAGAGAGAGAGAAGAAGAAGATGATACAGATGAAGGAAGAGAGGGAGAGGGAGAAAAAGAAAGAAGACGGTAGAGAGAGGGGGGGAGAGGAGAGAGACAGGGAGATAAAGGTGAGAGAGGGAGAGAGACATGAAAAGAGAGAAGTAGTAAGAAGTATGAGAAAGAAGGGAAGAGACAGAGACAGACAAAGAAGGAGAGAGGAGAGGAGAGGAGAGAGAAAAAGGAAAGGGAGGGAGGAAGATAGGAAGTATGAAAGAAGGAGCCAAAGAAAGAAGAAGCGCAAGAGAGAAAGACCGACAAACAGAGAAAGTGCAGAATGAGGGAGATAAAAGAGAAAGGAAGAAAATAACAGACAATAAACAGTAGCACCACGCCTGAATCCTTCCAATCATCTTTAGCAGTGAGGCTGATTAAAGGAAGAGCACCCCAGGAGAGGAAGTGATTTGGAGAATATCTGCTGAGATTAAATCATAAATAGGCCTCATTAAGTACACATAAAGAAAATTCTCAGCAGGGCTGCTTAATCCCTCGAGGCAAGTAGCACACAGCTATTTAAAGAGTGTGTTTGGGGAACAAGAGCAGTACTCTCACGTGCAGTAAAACACACACACTGCAGACAAACTCTCTACATTTGAGGAGCATCGCTCTCCACAGATGCTTCTCAATGACTTCAGCCTTATCACCAAATCACAACTAATAAGCCAGGACTCAAAGCTTTAAAGTCTTTTTAAAAACAAAACACCTGGGACCTCATCTATAAAACATACAGGAGTTTCTAAATTTCAGCATTTGTGTACAATTGATTTATAAAGGCAAAATGGTCTTAAACAATGGGAACACTGGGGAATTTTCTCTCTAACTGACCTCGATCATCTCAAATGCTTTAATGAACTTGAACAAGAATTTGGCATCCCTCAACATCACTTTGATTGGTACCTCCAAATTAGTAGACTGATGAATTCAGCTTCACCCCATGAGTTTTAATATAATAGGGAAACTGCTAAGGCCTTATTATCAATTATTATCTTTCTGGTTGTTAGAATACACTGAACATGCCAAATTCACTAAATACTGATACCAGTAAAATTGGATGGGAAATAGAATTTAAAATGGTGATTCCAGGTGAGAAATGGGAAAACATTCTAGGTCATATCCACTTTAATCTAAGGCTACATTCAAGCTGAAGTGGCTCATCTGATTTTTGCCTTAATGTGACACAGATCTGGTGTTTTCAGAGCTGTGTGGACACACAAATCTTTTTAAATCAGATACGAGCCACTTTCATATGTGGTCCTAGTTCAGATATATATCTCATTCGTGGCCATGTGATCTTAATAAAAATGGGCAGATCAGATTTTGTGTTTTCTCATCGGATTTACTGTGCATGTAACATTATTCAGAGTTAACATGGCAGCAAGCGTCTAACTGGAAGTTAGTGCCAGTAAACGCTGCAAAAGCAATGCAGGTGACTCTTTTTCATCGTCATCTCGCTTTAATCCATAGGTTATTTATAACTCTTGACAAATTGCTTAAACTTGACTAATCTAGATCAGATCTATACATTAAATGTCAAGAAAGGGTATGTTCTCTCACCGCATGGGGACCTGTTCATATATAAATAGATTCTGGGGAAGGATGTGTTCAGAAATTAAGCAAATATTATCATATTCCTGTGCTACTTAACCCTGTGCTCTTAGTCTTGAATGCGCCAATTGCTAATATCATGTCCAATCAAGATCTATTGAGAGTTAGCTATTGTTAGCTATTCTCATTGCTGAAATTATGGAGAGTTAAAAAGAGGTAAATTTGAGCTTTAATGTCTCACAATAAGAGTAGATGTTTTTTTTTATTAAGAAGAAAAATAGATAAAAAACAGATAAAATAATGATTTACATAATTTGTATATTTTACCAGAATACAACTTTTGACTTAAGGACCTAAAAATAGATCTAAAAACTAAGGCTGTGAAACTATTAAAATACTTAACCATGAATAACTGCATTATTTTGTGTAGTTAACTGTGATCTCTACCATTTCTTAAAATAAACATTAGCTAAAATGTGAAAGAAAGACCTTTTTCCATTAAAAACAGTGCATTTCACTTCATAAGTGGGCAAAATAGATTACATCAGAATGTATTTATTACTTCCAATAATTCAATAACATTATTTTCAACATGTGAACACAGTTCATCTGAACATGAAAGTCACATGATTTTCAACAGAGGCTGATTGTTCCAACCAATGACTGTATGCATCATATATATCTTATATACAGTTGATGGTTGCTACTCTTCCATGACTGTAGCCCTCTGGCTCTCCTTTATACAGCTACAGTGGAGGCTCTTGAGGAGAACTGTAGCTTATTACTTTGCTATTGCTCTGGTTGGCACGCTGTTTGTTGATTTATTCATAGGTTTACAGCAAGCACTGTTCAGCATAGTTTGTTGAAGGTATTGTTTTAAAAGCTATTTAAAAGCTGCACTTGAACAAGAGGACTACAGTCATGGATTCTATCACAGTAACTCACAGCATGCATGCAGCTGGCCTCGGTCTGAACTACAACGGATGGTTTGAAAAGTCTGTGACAGCATTAAAGTTATAGATTTGACATTATAAACACATTAACTTTGACAGCATTAAATACATATTTATATACATAAACATATAAAGAATAATTTGGACAAATATATCCATATAGACTTTAAATGTCAAACTTGATAATATAAACTTTACTAAAGAGAGATCCTCAATATCTAGAGTTAGACTAAACTCCTTTTGCTTTGAATTACCCTATGCCTTAATTATGTTTATTTTATTCAAACAAATTTCATAACTCAAAAACGCTAGCCTGCGCATTACTAGCAAACATAGCTTTAAAAAGTTGTACATACATAAAATCAATGTTTTTCATTAAAACACAAAACTATTTTTATGTTAATATGTTTTTGTAGTGACAATTCTTAACAATTCTTGATTGTTAAGATTTTCTGACTTTGGGGCACATTTGCTTCAAAACAATGGGATCTAAATGTTCACCAACTGTTCTGGCCATCAGAGACAGGGATACAGTCTCAGTACCCTATAAATGATTTTGTGTATATTTAACTTTTATTAATATAAAATTATTATATTTTATTATTATAAAATTAATACCTTGGGCTTAAATAGATTATAACATAATGCTTGTAAATATCTAAGGTCTTAATATATTTTTTACTGTCGGTCTGTAGTTTGTAGAATGTTCCATATTCAATGACAAAAAATGAATTTATTACACTTATTACTTGTGGTTACTTGCATTTGTAACTGAGAGTGTGTAATGCAGGAGTGAGTGTGTGTGAATGTGTGAGTGAGAGATGCCAAGCTGAATCTGCTGGCTCTGCTCAGGAGGCCAAACTTACGTGTAAATTTAAAACAAAGCACAGGGGGGCTTTCCTCATCTGAACGCTCTTCTGTGGGCAAACAGAGATAAGCACGCACACTGCATAGCAACTCTACACACACTGCTAATTTTACACACAGTCATTCACACTCTGCTTAACAATTCTACACGCACTACTAAAAGGTCATTAAAACACTGCAGTGGCAAATGGTGTCCCACTTCTTTTGAATTAAAATTTGATCATTTGTAGATTATTTTAAATATATCAATATAATTTTATTCTGCCTCAAGATTTTTTTTTTGTCTGTGGTGTTACATATAAAATATCTTTTATTTTGTAAGTTCTACACAACTCTGTGAAGTCTTACAACTTTATTGATGTTGTGTAATATAACAGACTTCACACTTATTACAGTACAGTGCAAAAGTCAGAGACCTAACCTAATTTATTCAATTTCCAGTCAAAATGGCCATTAAATACACGTTATTTTTCAGTGACAGAAAAAAAATCAGAAACATTTAACATAAAACTATACAGAATCCCCAACAAATAAATATAATGTAACTTTTTCAGTGTATAGCACATCCATAGTTTGCCCTTATTACTGGGTTTTCAGTGTTCTTAGAGCAATGGACTATGGAGTCCACAGTGGCCAGTCCAGTTTTAAGACAACACCAGCAGCTTCTTTGTTTGATCTGCAAATTTTCTTCTTTTTTACTCTTTTCTTTTCTCATTAACAGCTTCTTGACAGCTACACATCCTTTCAGACACATAGCCTTAAGTTGTCCTCTCACAGTGGAAGGATGGACAGAAACACCTGTGGATTTTTTCAGAGTTGAAGCAAGAGTGGAACTTGATTTTCTTCTCTCTCTCAAAGATTAAAGCTTTATATACTGTTTATCTGATGGTGGCAGTCGTTTGTGGTCTAGGTCTTGAGTCCCTTTTTCTCTATAGCTTTTAATAACGTTTTGAACTCCTTTTTTTCCACTTATTTTTCATTGACTTTCCTAGGCCTGGGTCATCACGTTATTGGACCACAGATGTTTGACTGGCCCCTATCTGGCTACCTTTCTGGAATTTTTTATGATATCAAAGCAGGTTAAGAAGGCTGTGCAGTACCACAATGGTAGCATGCTCACCACTAAAACTGATTTTATTCTCTAATCGAGAAAACAATAGCAAGGTTACTTACACATTAAACAAGCTGAAATGAAAAACAGCTGAAAAATACTTACACATTAATGAGAACACAGGTTAACATAAACTCAACAACCAATGAAACATTTCCCTATAGTCCCTAGAGTCTGCTCTTGACAAACACCACAACTACCATAATGGAGACAACAAATTAAAACAGGCAGCTGAAATGTACCTAATAAAGATGGAAGAAAGCAGCAAACTTAAAAACTCAAACCGTCATGCAACTTAGCTAAAGCATACAGAGGTTTGTTCCCTATTTGTGCCTTACCTCTGAAGACTTTATGTGCGGAAGTAGACAGTTACCTGATCACTATTGACAAGGATGATGTTACTTTTTTCTTTAACTTGGGTGGCTGACATTTTGTATTTGGCTTTGAAAATGGGCATCCACTACTCCATTGAAGTGTCAGGTTTCACTTTTACAGTTCCTCCAGGCACATCTTTTGAATATCTGGAGCATCAAATTCAAAGTACGTTTAAAAAAAAACACAAAAACACAGAACACATCTCACTACTGAAAAAACCTGAAAGATTAACCAATGTAATGGTGTATAGTGAAACAGTTGGCATGCAGTGATTGGCGGAGAAAATGAGGCAGAAGTTTTGGAAAGATGTGGAGAGCTTCAACATTATGATCGACCGCAAAAACAATGACATATTTACAATTAGCTTGTTTTTCCGCTGTGCTGTAAGTAAAGTTTCCACTGTGAGTCAAAACTGCTCTTTAGATTTTGTTATAATTGCCCTGGGGGTCGATTACTGGCTTGGGCCTTATGGCACACACCCATAAAACCTATGAGATGATCTGGGTCTGGACTTTCGTCTTCCATATTGCAAGTGGATTATTTTATATTTAATCTCCACAGAAATCTCCTCAGAGATTAAATAAATGAAGGGTGGTCTCTGACTTTCACTGTACATATTAACATTTATATAGCCTATTTGCCACCATAACAGAATAGAATGACCCGAATGTTACACACACATAGCCATACACACACTGCATAGCAATTCTTAACACACCTGTACACCCACACACATACTCATTCAAACACACTTACACACACATAGAACAAACATGTCCACACACACAGGACAGGAGACACTGGCAAAAATGAAAACACTTGTTAGCAATATCAGAAGAAAACAAACCAAAAAATCTAGCAAAAACAGAAGCAGCAGAGAAAAGAGATGGAATGAGCAGTGTTGAAGGTAGGCAGGTTCAGATCTAAACATAAGCTGTTTAAGGCTGAAATAATGAGCTGATTGAGAATAAATGTGGGCCTGTGAGTAGTTTGTTAATCCTTTCATCATTTACTGACTGTCTGGCGTGATTACTGCAGAAGCACCAGAGAGAGAGGTTAGTGAGGCATGGCAGACTACAGCAAAACCCACTCATCATCACATGCAGCACAGTGGTCTCAATCTCAGTTACAGAGGCCTCTGATAAGGCCTATGCGCTTGGAATCACATTAAAATCACACCCAGAGATAAAAAGTTGTAATTTTCATTATTCTTCACTTGTATCTCTGATAAATGTTTAATTAAATTACAGAACAAGCAGAAGCCATATTGATTTTGGCCCAGGACAGATAAAGTAAAGACCTGGCTGGCGAAACATACCTTGTTCAGCACTGTAGTGCCACTGCTGGAAGTTTCGGCCAATCATGATGAAGCTCCTGAAGGTGGCTGGTGGCTGACTGATGTGCTGGACGTGCGACAGAGGAGCAAAAATGTCTCCTTGAGGACAGCTACAGAGACAAACAAGGAAAAGGTAAAAGGCCACCTCACAGGCGAACTATGCATCATAGCTAAGAGTGCAAACAGCTATTTGTTTACTTATTCATCAGCAACAACACAAATCAATTAACATAAAGATAAACATGGTAGTGTGCACCGTCCGTGCCTAGAGACCCACCTCCCCACCTGCAGAGGTCGCTTTTACCTCAGTTCTAGTCTGCTCACTGCACACCTGAATGTTGTTTAGTAATCTGTTTCCCTATTTTTAGCCTGTGTGTTTCCCTACTTTTTTGAGAAGTGTCAATTCTGCGCCTGGTTGTTTCTTGTTATGTCCCCTTGGCTGTGTTTTTTTGAGTTTTTGAGTTTTGGACATAATATCAGATTTGGTTGCACTGAACTTCAGATATTTCCCTTTTTATCTGGACTTTCTTTGGCCTACGACCTTTGAAGTTACCTTCCTTGAAAATAAAGATTGCTTGCAATTGGATCCTGCTCACTTCTCTTCTTCGGCATTACATAGTGTTAGACAACTGGCTAATTTTCAGCTACAGGGCCAGATTCATAAAACGCACTGGCAGATTTACCGTGACGATAAGAGCAAATATTTTCACGGCAACATGTTTGCTACAATTACCACTGTGTTTTTGTTTTTCCACTTTGTCTAATATGAGATGTGACCGTGCTTCTAATATGACACAATCAATGCAAAAAAAAAAAGAACAAAACTAAAACAAACAAAAAAAAACATCTGAACCACTCTGCCAGTGATTTTCCCTGGCAAACCTTCTAACTGCTATTGTAGGAGAACATGAAGAGGAAGAATTGTTTGAGCAGGATTTCAGATATTGACAGATTTATGTGGCATTATTGTACTTAAAATAGCCTCTTCTTCCTGTGTCAAATTTGATTTGATTTTTTATTTTTTCAAACATGTGGAAAATACATTATTTTATTAGTGAAAATTCATCTCTTACTATTTGCATTTGAATTTTTACTAGCCAACTTTTAATATTTACTAGTGCAATTTTAATTTTCACATGGATAAATTCAATTGCTGATGTCAAGAATTAAATATTTACTAGTTGAAATTAGATTTCACAAGAGTAAACTGAATTCCTGCAATCAAGAAAAATAAAAGCTAAAACAGCTTTCTATAGTAATTTGAATTTCAGCATGTCAATTAAATATTTGTGTGAAATACAAAATAGCACAAACTTTAATTTTAGTATCAAATGTTACACCCATTACAAATAAGTGGAAAAAGGCTTAAACTCTTACCAATGAGAAATAAAACCTTAGATGCCAAGATATAATTTCTACAATTAAAATATTATTAGATGTTATAATTCAATTTTACAAACCGGATTCCAAAAAAGTTGGGACACTAAACAAATTGTGAATAAAAACTGAATGCAATGATGTGGAGGTGCCAACATCTAATATTTTATTCAGAATAGAACACAAATCACAGATCAAAAGTTTAAACTGAGAGAATGTATCATTTTAAGGGAAAAATATGTTGTTTCAAAATTTCATGGCGTCAACAAATCCCAAAAAAGTTGGGACAAGTAGCAATAAGTGGCTGGAAAAAGGAAATTGAGCATATAACGAACAGCTGGAAGACCAATTAACACTAATTAGGTCAATTGACAACATGATTGGGTATAAAAAGAGCTTCTCAGTGTGTCAGTGTCTCTCTGAAGCCAAGATGGTAAAAGGATCACCAATTCCACCATTGTTGCGCAGAAAGATAGTGCAGCAATACCAGAATGGTGTTACCCGGCGTAAAATAGCAAAGACTTTTAAGTTATCATCATCAACCGTGCTAAGCAAGCTCCACAAGCTCAGACGTTTGCACTGGGCCAGGGGTCTTTTAAAATGGAGTGTGGCAAAATGGAAGACTGTTCTGTGGTCAGATGAGTCACGATTTGAAGTTCTTTATAGAACACTGGGACGCCATGTCATCCGGACCAGAGAGGACAAGGATAACCCAAGTTGTTATCAACGCTCCGTTCAGAAGCCTGCATCACTGATGGTATGGGGTTGCATGAGTGCTTGTGGCATGGGCAGCTTGCATGTCTGGAAAGGCACCATTAATGCAGAGAACTACGTTCAGGTTCTAGAACAACATATGCTCCCATCTAGACGTCATCTCTTTCAGGGAAGACCCTGCATTTTTCAAGAAGATAATGCCAGACCACATTCTGCAGCAATCACAACATCATGGCTACGTAGGAGAAGGATCCGGGTACTGAAATGGCCAGCCTGCAGTCCAGATCTTTCACCTATAGAGAACATTTGGCGCATCATAAAGAGGAAGGTGCGACAAAGAAGGCCCAAGACGATTGAACAGTTAGAGGCCTGTATTAGACATGAATGGGAGAGCATTCCTATTTCTAAACTTGAGAAACTGGTCTCCTCTGTCCCCAGACGTCTGTTGAGTGTTGTAAGAAGAAGGGGGGATGCCACACAGTGGTAAAAATGGCCTTGTCCCAACTTTTTTGGGATTTGTTGACGCCATGAAATTTTGAAACAACATATTTTTCCCTTAAAATGATACATTCTCTCAGTTTAAACTTTTGATCTGTGATTTGTGTTCTATTCTGAATAAAATATTAGATGTTGGCACCTCCACATCATTGCATTCAGTTTTTATTCACAATTTGTTTAGTGTCCCAACTTTTTTGGAATCCGGTTTGTATATACACACATCTTTTTTGATTAAAAGTTAAAAAGTCTTTAAAAAAATATATTATTATTTGTCAGCACTTCCTCCCTAAAATTTGTAGCTACGCTTCTGAGAATTTTGGTTTTCTTTATTTTAATTTTTATTATCATATCCATCTTGGCAGCCAAACTGGTGTGGCTCTTAGGTGTGCATGGCTTCACTTGCATGTGGATTTTTATTAGTTCCCCTTCAAGAAACTGGGCATGTGCAATCATATAGAATATATGTTTAACAAAGGTCCGCATAAATGTTTGGAGAAACTGCTTCCCATTTATCTAATAAAGTGTTACTTTTTATTTTACTAAATTTATATACTAAATTTTACTAAATTTGTTTTAGAACATACCTGATCCTCTCAAAAATCTTCACTGTGGTGTCCGGGGCCAAAGAGGTGACCAAATGCATGACCTCCGTTACAATAGAGGGTAAGAGGAAGAGTGAAGAGATTTCAGCTGTACAGTGTTGGATGGATGGACAGCCTGAGACAAAGGGGCAAATAAAATGATACAAAATGAGGACATGTTGACATTTTTTTAGTTTGCCGCATAAACAGACACCTAACTTCTCCTTTAAGTACATGTTTTAAGGAAAAAATCACCAAAAGCCATTTGACAGCTAATGTTGTCTCCTTGTGGAAACTGTATAGCCTGTGAAACATTATTGAGTTCCATGACACCCTTCAGTCTAAAAACAGTCAGGGTTCCCTGAACTGCTTTTCTTTTCATGCTTGCAGTCAGGATACAAACATAAATGTGCGTACATTTTTCAATACAGGCCTACAAAAACAAATAAACATGTACTTAATTCCTTATTATGATGCAGATTTGTTGTGAAAGTAGTCATTACTGCTTCATATGTTTTACCATTATAGTCGGTGCATTTTACACTCAACACAGTGAAAATCACATTTTAAGCATTTTTTAGGATAGGAGTTCAGGATACCGCCATTCTGAGCTGTGCATATATGCCACTTGCTTTCCACATGAGAGAGCAGGGTTCAAGCCAACTGCAGGGAACCACTTGTTGTTGGTCATTCTGTCAATCTAAATACATCCATTTGGTAGTGTGTGAAGTAATTTGATCCGTTTTCGCAGCCTTAAGCGTTGTGTTTATGTCTACACTAAAAAAAACAGTCTGCGTGTTAAGTTTCTAAACAAACTAAGGATGCATCAGCTATTAGTTTAAGAATGTTTTAGCTACACATTTTACTCCGGTGTAACACATTTAAAATGCAATATCAGCAGCTTAGTGGATCACTCTAGCAATTTCCCTATAAACTCCATATAGTTTCCCTGTAATATCATTTTGGTTAGTATCTTTAGGAAAATCAGATAAACAGCCAAATAGCTCTCTTTTCTCCATCTCATGGAGTTTCTCCTCGTCCATTTTTGGCTAGTTTAACTAGTGTTGTATTGTTACTGACAGCATATCGGTATCAGCACTGCTACTGGCACTTAATGCAGTATTGGTATCGGAGATGGGGATACTGATACCTATGAACGACACCATGAAGCAATTTCTGATGTGCACATACGCACCAGTAGATGGAGTTTAACAACACATCAGCAGTGTGAGCTGACAACTGTGAAAATGCTCATGGAAAAATCTGTAATGCCAGTATTTGGTGGGGAAAATACACTAATGTAAGCCCTCACCTGAATGCCTGAGGCAGGCTTCTTTCTTTCTTAACCTTGATTTAGCCTTTAGCATAGCAGCCCACTAACTGGGCTAATGTGTGTGTCCACTAACTATATATATATATATATATATACACACAATCAAGCTGATAATGTTTTATTTGTGACGCAGAACATAGATTTTATCAAAATAAAATATTTATAAATGTAACTGTATAAACCTCAGGACTTACAGATTAGTTAGGTTAGATAGAGTTAGTATCGGCACCGGCACTCTGAGTTGGCCAATATTTAAGGATCAGGCATCGGTGTCATAAGTGGAAAAGTGGTATCGGTGCATCCCTAAGTTTACCATTTGACAAAAGAGGTTCTGGCTTAACCGCAGTATTTCTGTTGAGGTGGAATATCATAACAATGTGATGTGAAACATGAAAAATATAAACAAGGCATCCATTAAAAACAGCACGCTGCATTGTGCTGTGTCAAGCTCTGACACTTGTGGCTTGTGCAGACAAACTCTACCTTCTAGACAATAACTGAGAGAGCTTAGACACACTTTCACATTAGGAAGACAGAAACTCACCCAGTTTGGCCATGAAAATCACCCAGGGCTGGAAGGTGGATTGATAGATTGGGTGCAGAGTGCCAGTATCACCTTCCTCTAACTGAGCCACATGGCGTTTGTATAGCGGCCTAGAGGGAGAGACAGACAGAGACAGAGACATAGACAGAGTGCAGGAATAGGTCACATATGTTTGGGACATTTAATGTTTATGTGAGTGTTATAAGTGTACGTGTGTGTGTATAGATATGTACAGTGTGTATCTGTGGCTGTATAAAAATGTGGTTGTGTGTCTGCTCTAGACGGCTTTGTAACTGTATGTTACACTAGCAAGATATAAACAAAAACGAAGAAATATTAAAGGTGTCCAGTATGATGAACAGAGCTGTAGATTTTAAAATGCCTGAGAAAATGTATAAAACAATAAAAATAAAATTATTATTATAATTTATTACAGTATAATTAGAATATTTTTTTTTCCATTTTGAATAGCAGCATATGTCTTCTTGCATTTGAGTAAATTTGTATGCATGTGTGTACCTCTGGGTCAGCTATATTCCACTCTAAAAAGCGATGCGTTAAATAACCGCACATTTATCAGAGATACCCATTTGAACATATATGTGTCAAGTTGTTTTCTTTTTGAACAAAAACAACTAAAAGTAACGCAAAACGTGATGTCCTTAACTGAATACACCAATGTCTAGTTAAGGACAGAATGTGTTGCTTTTAACACAAAATCTTTGAGTTTTAATGATAATTAATGATTTTATTTCCATACAGCAGTGTTTGTTTTTTTTTGAGTAATGCTCAAAATCAGCTAAAAACTGCTGAAACAGTCACTACCAAAACATTTGGTAATGTGTCGGCAGTTTTATAATTGCTTTGGTAGTGACAAAATGCAATGTCATATATTTTAATAAAACAAACATAACTATAGAGTCATTCCAAGCAACAGACAAAGAGTCTAAAGTCCAAATCAGTTAAAAGTCCGAAATGTGTTTTCAACTCTTTGAACCAATTCGGTAGAAGGATCCATTAAAGTGTGTCTATGTGCTGCTGACCTCTGCTCCAGTTCTACTGCTGCTACTCTCTCGTGGCTCCACTGCTGTTTTACACTCTCTGTTTTGTGTCTCCTCCGGGCCAGCCGGCTGTCCTCCGCTTTCTCCTGTACAATGTCGTCTGTAGTCTTCGGACTGCCCAGCTCTGATGAGTCTGGCTTACTCTAACACACACACATACACGCACCAATAAATGTCCCAGTCATAAGAGAAAACTGGCAATGGGCATAAACTGATGCCTCATTATTAGCATCAGCATTAACATACACAGCAGATGCAGACATCAACATAAAGACATACAGATATATACAGTCTTATGCTAAGTTTGAATACCACCGGTAAAATTACATATTTTTTGTTTTGTGAAAATAAGTAAAGGTATACTCTACAGGGAACATAAAGGTATATACTGAAAAAAATAAAATATACAATATAAAATGTGCCATAGCTTTTGCACAGATCATGTCCTTTTCACAAAATTTAAAATTTCATCAAATAAACAGCAATTGTGCATTAAAATGTGCAGAAGTGTGTTCTCTGTGGAGGACGTGTTTCTTAACTAAGAAAATCAACAAAATATAATTTGACCAGCGGTGCCAAAACTTTTGCATTTAACTGTACACAGACACATGTGGCTAAAACAAACGTACAGCATTGTGACCACCCTTCATTTAATTAATTTCCAGTCAAAACTGCCATTTAATTTACTTGTTTTTCAGGTGATATTTCTAGGGAGATCAGGCATAAGACAATCTACTCACATAATGAAGCAGAAAGAAAAATAAGTGACACACCAGGAGTTTCCAAAACTGGAGTTAAAGATTTACAAAAAATGGGACTCAAGCATGCAAGACCTGGCAGTCCCATAAAACTATCAGATAAACAGTACTTAAAGCTTTCAGCCTTGAGAGAAAGGAGAAAATCAAGCTCCACTTTTGCTTCAGATTTGAAAAAAAAAATCATAGGTGTTTCTGTCTATCCTTCCACTGTGAGAAAATACAACACAATGTTATGGGTCTGAAAGGATGTGTAGCTGTCAGGAAAGCTGTTACTGAGAAAAGGAAATAGACAAAGAAAACTGCAAATCAAAGACACTGTTGGTGCTGTCCAAACAAAAGACTGACCACCTGTCTAGACCTCAACATCTCTGAATGCATTTGGGTTTACTTTAAAGTTTGAGAAGCAGAAAATGCAACCAAATTCTATGACTGAACTTTAGAGGTATAGAACAATATCTCTGTAGATTTTACAGAAAACGTAAAGCAGGTCTTCTGAAAAGAATGGAAGCTGTAATAAAGGGAAAGAGCAGACAAAAATACTAAAAACAATATTATATTTAGTTACTAAGGCTTCTGTGTGATTTCCTATTAAACATGTTTTTCCTAATGCAAAAAAAAACAAAAAAAAAAACTAAAGACATACTTAATTGCCATGTTGCCTGGAAATTAAATAAATGCAAAGCAGTCTCTGATTGTACCATATAGTGTTAAATAATGAAGTCTTTTTAAAGGCCCCCTAGTTTACTTTTCTATAGTAAAGCATTTTGGAATCTTTGAAAGCCTGTGACTTGTTTAACCAATTTTCACTACTTGGCCTTCTAACTACTAACACAGTCCATACTAATGACAGCCCTAGTGCACACCCATATCTAAATGTATAGATACAAACACTCCCACACAACAATAAATGACCCAATTATCAATGAAAATGGCAGAAAACTAGTGTGTCTCATTATTAGCTTTGCATGAGTGTCTGTTCAGGTCCAGAGCAGCAGGGCCAGGCTGACCATCAGCTGTGTTTTGTAAAGCGAAGGAAAGCCATGCTGACAGCTTTAACTAATGACAGTCATTTGCTGCTAATCAAGACACTGCACTCTGAATGGGCACATGTGCGTGTGTGCGTGCGACAGACGCACCAGGATTTCCCAGAAGCTGCGGCGGATGGTTTTGCCCGTGGGCGTGGTGGACTCCGGTGTGTTTGATCCAGTGGCAGGGGTGGAGCTGGGGGCTGGAATAAGTGTGATGGGGGAGGGGCCAGTTTTAACACTGTGAGCGCTGACTGGTCTTCGAGGGCTTTCCTTTACCTCTTTCACCTCTGGCTGTGGAAGACTCAGAGCAACTATACCAAAAAAAAAAAAATATGTTTAAACTAACATTCTGAAAATTTTCACATACATTTCACATTCAATACTGTAAACAATTGAATGTGATTTTATTTGTGTAATTTATTAGGATGACAATAAATGAATTTGAGCAAATCTCGTACACCAGACCCAAGTTTTCAGATGGTGAAAAAGAGACACTACTTTATTCCCCTGTTTGTTTTTTTTAGCGAACTTTCGCCAGAAACAAAAACTCTCCAACCAATCATGGTCATTTCTGACAACAACCAAGCAAAATCTTTAAAAGCAGTTTAAATGGTGCTCAAACAGAACTACAAACACCCGAGTAAAGTATAGAAACACTCAGCTTTAAGAAGCAAGAACATTTTAACAGATATTCTGAATATTTTTCCACAGCACAAACAAAAAATTGCATTGTGTCCTGTATATGCAATTTTTTTCTTTTGCAACTATTTCTTGCATTTTTGTGCTGTTTATTTATGTCACATTTAGTGTAATACCTTAATGCTTAACTATTACAAGTCACCACTGATATTAATTATTGCTTACTCGTAGCTCATTAAAACAAAGAAAGAGAAATTCAGTGGAAAGTACAGGTTCTACATACCAGAGTATATACCAGAGTATAAAGCATTTGTGTTTGTAATAGAGACGATATATCACCATTACTGTGATACGTGCCATGATACACTTTTGTCAGCGCAACATGGACTTGATCATTACTTACAGAACATTGAACAACTGCACGGGTCATAAAAAACTGATGCGTATTTGAATATAAATGAATTTAGTTTTCTTAAGTAGTTATTTTTGGCAAATGTAGATTTTAACTAAATGCCTTAAAATAAATATCTTGTTAAACATTGTGCATCATGAAAATGTATCATCACATTGTTTTTTATTTGTTTTTGCAATACTGTTCAGACTTACTTTGTTAGTGGAACAGGACGTATATTTATTATAATTTGAATTTGATGAAAAGTTATGGTTGAGCATACAGTCTAGTTTTACAGATATAAAAATCATAATTTACATGTTTTTGTCATTATTTTTACACTGAAAATAGTTACACTGAAAAGGGCTGCATGATTTAAACCTGTCAAAATCAAATGTCAATTGAACATAGTTTATTATATAATAAATTACCTTTATGTTATTAATTAAAGAATAATGCAATAGTCTTTAAAAAACAATGTACTGTAAACTGAATGTACAGCAAAACAACAAAAAAAAGACTCCAGCCTTGTAAGAAATAAAAACACAGTACAGTAAAAAATAGAAAGTAAGGCGTGGAAAGAAACTATACATTTTTAGAATCTACTATAGAACTAATTTGTAAGTTCTGTATCTATGTGAGTGAAGAAAGACTATAATAAAAGCTGGACTATAAAAAAAAAATTAAGTGTTCTCTAACCGTTAGCCTCGTCTCTCTGGGCAGTTCTGGGCATACAGAAGGTCTCTAAACACAGTGGGTTTGGCAGAACTTTCATCTCCATTACGACGTCACAGAGTGCATGCCGCAATGCCCCTCGCAGTTTGTCCATCAGCTGCAGGGGGCTAATGTTCCCCTGCTCCCAAATATCAAACCTCACAGACACCGCACCTGTAAACACAAACACATTTATAGGTGTTTTTGTGTGTATTTGTACTGTGTTTTAGTCTCATTTTGAGTACTCAGACTCCATTGGATAATATGAGAAAATATGTCATGTCTAATACTAGGGGGCAACAGGCAGGTCTAGATGAAAAAAATTGCCTTTTTTGATAAAGTAATGTAGTTATGTAGAGTTAAAGAACTAAGTATGGACCACATAGCACCCTTGAAACTACTGGACACCTGATACATGTATGTACATGTTCGGAATTGAATTGTTGTTTTCTTCAGAGCACAACTAATCATTCGCAATCTAACATATTTTCTTGCTAATTACAAATGCTATTTTACAAAAATGCAAATATTCTATTCAACTCTATGTCAACTTCTGTATTGCGTTAGCAACAAGTTAACTAAGGCTTACTTTCACTTTTACCCTGGATTTTAAACTGCTTACGGCAGTTCTAGATATGATGACAACTGAACTGGTAAGAAATACATGTAACATATTCTTTACTTTGCCAGTTTTTCAGTGAATCCTTCACAAAATATTTCAGCTTAAATCCTTACTCTCAATGGGCGTCATTCACCAACCATTCTTAAGAAAATAAATTTTAAAACCCACTTACGCAGAAGATTCTAACATTCATCGCTGTTTTCTTATTTTGGGATCTGTTTTTAGGATCTTTCTCAGGAAAAACCTTACGAAGATATTGGTGAATGAGGCACAGCTTTATTGACGGAGCTTCTAGCCTATTAGCTCTCTGAGCTATCGGATAGCTATTAGGACATAGTTAAACTACACCACATTGCTACACAGGGTATGTTTATGTTTCAGACATTTTACTTAATATACACACATAATTTGTGAATCTAAGAATAAGTTATTTGCATTCCTATATTCAGGTTGCACACTTAGTCCAAAATGAATGAAATAAATGGGTCAGATAGCCTAGATTAGATTATATTATTCAAAAAATAAAACTTGTACATGGATATTAATTATTGATTATTAATTAAATTTTGCAGAACAATCCAACACACCTCAGCATTTTATTATATCTGCACTGTACTACACACACACATTGACCGACCACTTCATTAAGTACACCTCCTTGTATCTGCAGTCCTTGCCTATTTTATCAGGTCCACTTAACACATAAGGACACTTTACAGTTCTACAAGTACAGACTGTAGTTCATCTGTTTCTCTGCATACTTTGCTAGTCCACTTTCACTCTGTTTTTCAATCATGAGGTCCCACCCAACAACACCACAGCACAGGTATTATTTGGTTGGTGAATCATTCTTAGCACTGCAGTGGCAGCACAAGTGCATCAGATACAGCAGTGTTGCTGGAGTTTAAACACTGTGTCCACTTACTGTCCACTTTATTAGACACCCAGTAGATATAAAGTCCACCTTGTAGATGTAAAGTCAGAGACAACAGCTCATCATTGATGGAAAAGATTGAATAAAACATTGGCTGACTAGATAGCTTGGAACCCTCCTAAAAAGGTAATATAGGGAAGCAGACTATGGACTGTATGCAGCAGACTCTCTAACGGGAAAAGAGTTTCTAGGCCCACAGAAGAGAGCTGTATCAGAAGACAGTTTAGAGCTGAGGTACACTCTTGTACGTAAATGGAGAGTGATGTAAGATGGTCCTATGGAGAGTTGTGCAAGAGGGCCCTGTAAGGACAGAACAATCTGGTAAGAGTTAGACCAGAGTGGGTTTTTAAAAAAAGACATCTTATGTGTTTGGTTTAAAGGTTACCAAAAAAAGTGTAAGGTTTGGATATGATGGTGACTAAAATGGTATGGAATTGTGTACAAGGGGTGGGGAGATTACCTCATCACCCCAGAGGGGAATAAAAAAGGATGTTTTGAGATGATATTCGCATTGTGGTTGACCAGGAACCATCTTGCCATTTGATGCTCAATAAAGCGAAGGCCTTTTCCTTCCTTCCATAAGAACTCAGTGGCTGAAGTCTTTCATTTTTGTTAATATTCTTTGATTTGACTTTTTGAAGACATTAGATTACAGACAGTTATGTCTGTAACGATTTCCTTCTGGTTAGATTTAGCCAAAAGCAAAGCAGTAAATATACACAGTTCAACTAAAATCTCCAACTCTTAACACATGTAATCACAGCTGCCTTGAAATGTGCTTTTTTCCCCCCCAGTCACCACATGTGCTTAACCCCTTAGACAGCAAGTTTTATTTTCACTTATTAATTTTAAGGTGCATTATTCAGTAACTGTCTTAAATGAATCAGAAACAACTCAGAAATTATTAAGTAATTTATGCGTTCTTGATAGTGAGGAAATAAACTCTGGACCTGCTGACAGATCTTTACAGTTTAAACGCTTAACCAAATATCGTCTTTGAAGTCCAGTAAAATTAGCCTCCATACCTGTGCTCTGGCCAGGCGAATCTATTTTAACCACAGTTGTCAGGGCTTCAAATTGGTCTGGCTGGAGGGAAATGCTGGAGGAATCCCCTTTTGGAGCATTATTAACATCCTGAGCAGAGACCTGCAGTGGACAACCCTGAGCGTCCACAAACGACAGGGCAATGCACGCAATACCTGCAGAAAACAGAACACAAGCATGGCTGTAAGAATCAAGAATAATGTGAGCTCTATAAAAAAGATATCATTTTATTAAAATACATAACATAAACCACATTCACCTGCCAGCAAGGGCTTTCAACACACAAAAAAAATTATTTTGCTTATGCGAGAACAGCAAGGTTTACAGAAATGCAGAGCAACAGCACAATCTATAAATCTACTCTTAAATAACAAAAATGCAACACAGAAAATAATTGTGAAGGCAGCAGCTGTCATATGGAGTCTGGATTATCATAAATTCGTGAGGCTGTTTTCATCCTCTCGTGTTAGATACAAATCAGGTTACAGCATAAGACCACAGGGCCTTGAGAAAGTGAATAATCTTCTAGAAAGGAAAGAGAGAGGGACTCTCCTTCATTAAACTCTCTAATCAATTATGTTTATTATGGTTTTTGCTTATCTTTTTGTTTTCAGTGCACAAATAGAGCTGCATGGCTATGCTGAGCACATTAAAGTGACAGTCTGGCAAATTTACACAATTGTCCCCTTAAAATTCTCAACGTATTGTAAATGTAGTTGACCAGTCAGGACATCTTTGGCACCAGAAGTTTGCTTCTTTAGTTTTAGACTGGAGCTATAAAGCTACAAAGCTAACAAGTAATTGTAGTCTATAAGCAATTAGCAAACTGCACTCCTAAATCATCATGCACTTGCCTTAAACTGGGTCAAGGGGAATCTCAATCATTTTTCTGCACAAATTACATAGTTAATACATATACAAAGTCAATCAGAATGGTTTGATGCAATATATTTAGTTTTACTGAGTCTGGGTTATGAGTGTGCTCCTTGATGCCCGAGACATTATTTTACTCTTGTTTTGCAGATTTTGGTCCACAACATATTTAGAGGTATACGCAGGGTGTTGTAAGGCAAAATAGTACAAAATCCTATCTCCACCACTGTAAAGACATTAAAGTCTTCTCTACAATGTACCATTTCATATCAAACCACGCCGAATGACTGTTACATCTCAACAATTGAACTACACAGAAATTTGGGAAAAATAGGTGATAATATCGAATAGACTTGCTTATGTGCTTTCTGACACTGTATGAAACATTGTTATCAATAAAAACGCATAAAAGCATGTCATAGATAATAAAAACAGTTGTAGTAGTCATGTTGAAGTCTGAGTTCTGTTTGTACGTTTAACCAGTTTTATAGATAACAATATATCACACAGCTATCAAATGTGTCTGGACACAATGGACAAAAGTACATGCAAATTTCAAAGATAGTTTCTATCACTGTTTTCAGTAATGAAGTAATATTGTATATTGTAATGAAGCTTTAATATACAAACAGCAAACTCCAGTCTGGTTCATCAACTACATTCGAGGTAAGGTGCAACATTTTTGCCAAGCTATCACTTTAAAAAGCAATACTGGCATACGGATGTATGGATTTATCTAGCTGCTGGAATTAGTGCACACCATTAGCTTTTTGAGGCATGCTCCTTACATGATGGATGTGTGAGAGGGTCTCTTCTCTCATATTCACTCTCTCAGAGGGATAGGGGGATATGCTACAATGCTCATGCACCACACACACGACCAACAGGCAGCCACTCCTCATCCTCAAGCCACTGAACATACGGCTTGTGTGTGTGTGTGTGTGTGTGTGTGTGTGTGTGTGTGTGTGTGTGGTACAATCACTCTGATGATGGAGTAGTCATCTCCACTCCGAGCCTTTCCCCTTTGTTTGGTGAAAGCTCCATTTACCCCAGAATATTAGAGGGGGCTTCATGAGGCCTGGCCATGTCCTTAGTGACCTCTAGGCAGTAATGGGTAAAAGACACTTCGACAGACTCTCACTCTCTCTGGTTGGTCTTTAATCAAGAGAGACTGAGCAGAACTCTAAGGTTTAAGACTGAAGCAACTGATCCTCAACATCAGATAGTAGCCAGTGAATAAATCCAACAAAGTCAGTTTTTTAACCTACATAATTAAGTGGTTTTACTAGGTACTCCTAACTGTGTACACTCACAGGTCATTTCATCAGAAACACTGACCACATAACAGGGGCACTTTGTAGGTTTACAATTAAGAAATGCAGCCAATCTGTTGTTGCAGAATTTATCAGCCCCCCTCATTCATTAATGGACCACCATACAACTGCATGCAAAAATTGGATGCCCTTGGTCAAATTACATTTTTATAACATTTTAATGCACAATTACTCTTTGTTTGCAGAAATTAACATATTAGCAGGAACAAAAACATAAAATGTGGCCTGTACCTTTTCCAATATGTTAAACTCATCAAAAGGAATTGAGCACTAAAATTAGCAGAAAAATGCAAAAATTAATTTTTTTCCCGGTAAAGGATGTGTCAACTTATTTCATCAAGAAAACATGTCATTTAACCAGATGCACCCAAACATTTGCATACAACTATGTAACCACATATATTTGGATGGTGGTTAACTCTTAGCCCAGCAATGACACCAATATACATGGTAGTGGCTTAACAGTGTGTGGTGCTGGTATTAATGCATCTGTTAAGTGCTGAGAACTGGTCTGAAGAACAGAGGTTTCGTTCCAGATTTCTTCTTAACACCCCAGCCATCACATGGATTTGTTTAATTCCATCCGCAAAACTATTGATTTAATTTAATGAAGCATTAATGAGCCAGGTTTTGGATATTAACTAACAACACTAAAATAACACTTGCTCAAACTTTTCTCAAGAGGTTTTAAAATGGTTAAACAAAAACATTCAAGCCTTTTGTATCAATGTTATTTGTTTTTATTCTAATATTAGTGTTTTTATGAGCAAACACTGCTTACTGACCAGACAAATAGCTTTTCAAATATAATTTTATCAGGTGCCTAAGACTTTTGCACCGTACTGTATATTTAAATACAATGGTGCATAAAGCATTTTGCTTTATCAACTATTATAACCGAAACAAGAACTGTATTTAAACCAGACGACGTTGAAAATATCAATATTGATGTTGAAAACGCCACTCTGAACCTTCAGAAAACTATTTGAAATGAAGTATGAAAGGTATGAAACTGTGAATGACTACAAACTTTGCAATGCAAAATCCAATTAACACATACATAAGTAAATAAAAAATACTAATAAAATAAACACTGACAAACATACTGATCTGCATGCAGACTGTCCCATGCAGGAGTGAGCGTGAGCCTAACTATAAGGGAAGCTCATTGCTATGGCAAAATGTTAAAATAAAGCACCGCAAACTAAACTGAAGAACATCATGGGAGAACCACACACAGCCAGCAAAAGGACGCCACAGTGCACAGGGAAAATGGGCTGGGATCTGGTACCTTGGAACTGTGAGGGAGGGAAGAGGTTCTGAACGAGCTCCGACATTGTACCTGAGTCACAACACACACACCCACACAACACACACGAGTGAGCAGAGGACACGACAACACTGAGGCTCAATGAGAGAGTAACCATGGTGGGGCAATATGGGCAAAATATTTTTCCGTATCATTCGATAACAACAACTACTGATAAATTATATGCATTTCTTAATGCTCAATTTTATGTATATAAACTGTGTTTTAAACCTTCAAGAAACAAAAGACTTATTCTGGTTGGTCTGTGTTGATGCAGAGGATGTGTTTGATGATCTTTTGTTCCAAGCCATTTTCCTCAAGCTCACAGCCTCTAAAATACGACATTTTAACTGCTGGAAACTGTTCTCTGTCAACAAGTGTTCTCCCAAATGCTTTTAAGACTGCCTTGTTACGTCTTTACTTAGAGTAGCATGGATCCGGCCATACTCACTAATTTTAGGCACATTTCAAACCTTCCTTTTTTCCCCTCCTAAGTAAAATTTTTGAGAACATCGTTTTAATAATATACATATCTGGTAACAAAATATTTAAGAAATTGCAGCCAGATTTTTGTCAAGTGCTGATAAAACAATACTATTCCATGTTTTGAATGAAGTTTACTGCTGATGCACAAAATCCTTCTGTTTTGGTCTTGCTGGATCTTGGTACAACTTTTGATCATTGAGAAATCATTCATAAAAAAAAAGACATTTTTTTGGGGAGTTTTCCCTCATTTTTCTCTTTGTACATATTACCTCTAGGCAAATTTTACGTTGTGCTATGCTGTCTATACTGAATTACACATTTCCATCCCTCTGTTGACAGGCTTACCAGAGCGTCATATTTCTCTTGAAACTGAAATTCAGATTAGTCTGGACTAGACACAACAAGGATAGAGAGAAAATGGTTTCAAGAGAAGTGGAGCAGGGGATCTATATCAGATTTCTATAAAGTCAATATGTGACAATGCTTACTGTAAAAAGAGCTACACTAATGAAATAGAACTGAATTGTTCAGCTCAGATCTTTCATAGGGCACTTAACAGTGACAGACTTTTAGAGCAGCATCAGCTTTTAGAACAGCCTCATTTCATTTCATTTTACAGGGAGAGTAGCTGGTCAAAGATACTACTGACATGTTTGGAATCACTTTTCACAATAATATAAAACCAATTTTGATGAGTATGATATAATGCTAATAATGTGCTAATAATCACTTTAATTAATTTGCATGAAGCTGTAAAAAAAATAAAAAATACAATTTTGAAGATTCAAAAATGACAGAGAAAGCTGATAAAGTTTTAATAAAATTAACATCTATGCCTCAATGACACATTTTAAAAGTTGTGATGAAATCATAAGGCAAAAATGACAGACAATAGATAATTGCAGTTCATCATTTTTCATTTAATTACTTGTTGTTACATATTATAATAAGTAAAAGAAACATCTATCAGAAAGACTAAAGACTAAAAATACCATTTACCATCTACTTCATAATATTTCAATCTCTATATAAATTATTCTTGTATGTAATAAAACAAAAATTAACATGACAATTGATTCCAAAGTTCTGAATGTTTATGTTAGGGGGGTCCAGTTCTGGTCCTGAAAGGCTTTAGTCCAGAACAATCCGGTTATTTTCTGCTCCTGAGTCAATTCAGCAGTTAGTTATCAGGTTGGGCACAGAAATCACCAAACTGTACTGGACACTGGCCATTTAGGACTAGAGCTGAACACCCCTGCAACAGAGACATTCAGCCTACCTCAAAGGACACTGCACTTTTATTTATTTTTTATTTTTTAAACCTGAGGTCACAGGGTTACCCCACATTTGAATGGTAATGCCCTAAAACTGCTGTTTGGATTTTGCAGATAAAGCACCACACTAAGATTGGCCCACTGCAGCAGAATGGGAGAGCAAAAGAGCAAATTGAGTCTAGACTAGAGATGAAGGACAGAGAGAAAAGGGTTTTAAGTGAAGTGGAGTAGAGGATCAGGAGAGCGATAAAAAGACAGAACGTGAAAAAAGGAAAGGATGGATTCACCTGCTGACAGACAGAGTGCACAGTACTCAGAGGATTTCTGGCAGGTTAGAAACGTTTGAATGGTTAATCAAAGATGTGCAGCTCTGCCTGATATGTGGAGGTTTGTAAGAGATGCTGCGGGCTGTGGTCTATTTCAAATAACCCTGATATCACACCTAGGCTACCACACTGAAAATACTGACCACACCACTTGAGCAATCTCTATTACACTTGGTTTCTGACACCATATGACATACTGTTATCTATAAACATGCACAAAAGTAACCCAGCCTCTCAGATTTATTGGGACATCAATAAATGAAGAATTCTATTCCAAAATGCTGTACATTCATTTGTTACAATTGTGGATATAACAACATTTTTAAAAGAATACAAGCTGACTTATAATGGAAAACACCTTCATATTTCTTTAATAAAGGTGTTTTTAACCATAATATAGCATTGATATTTCTTGTATATGTAAATCTCATGTCTAACAACATATATCCTGTGGCATGACACCTAATTTTTTGGAACATGTTGCTGGCATCAATTTCAGAATATGTGTATATTTACAAGAAATGAAGTCAAATATAGGTCAACATAGATTTATAAATCACTGCTTTCTGTATGCATGTATGTATGTGTGTGTATGTGTGTGTGTGTGTGTGTGTGTATCTATATATATACTATATATATATATATATATATATATATATATATATATATACACACAGATACACATATGTAGATACACACACACACACACACACATCATGTTCTCTGGGCCAAAGAAGCAAAGTACCACCCAGACTGTTACCAGCATAAAGTTCAAAACCCAGTGACTGTCATGGTATGAGGGGTGCATCAGGAGGTAACTTGCACATCTCTGAAAGCACCAATAATGGTGAACACATGAAGTAACATATCACTGTTGTTGGAAGAAAACCTCATATCTCCAAAAAGGTAACTTTACAGGAGAAGGAAAAAACCTACTTTACTTTTAATGTAAGTCAATGGAACCAGAATTTTTTCCAAGTCATTTTGGCCCGTTTCTTTTGGTCCATTCATCATGAAATTTACACACTATGTATAGGACAACAGGCATTTTCAAATTATGTCCAAAACTGTAATATGACAAAAATGGAGATACAAGGTTTTCTTCCGACAGCAGCGGAGTCTTTTTCAGGGATGGCCAAGCTTTATTTCAACATGACAACACCAGGAAACATTCTGCATGCACTACAACAGCATGGCTGCATAATCAGAGAGTGGGAGTGCTAAACTGACCTGTCTGCAGTCAAGACCTGTCTCACATTGAAAACTTGTGTCTTATTAAGCTCAGAATATGACAAAGACTTGTAAGACTTGTACAACAAGTGAGTATAACAGAAGAGCGGCAAAAAATTCTGCTTTTAAAACTGGATTAAAATTGTGTTTTCTGTCTCCAAATGATTATAAAGTGTTTTTAAAAGACAGGTGATGTAACATAGTGGTTAACATGCTCCTGTCCCAACCTTTTCAAAATGTGTTGCAGGCATCAAATTTAGAATGAGCATACATTTACAAAAAACAATGATGTTTACTAGGTAAAACATAAACTGTCTTTGTACTGTTTTCAATTTAATATAGGTCAAACAGAATATACAATTTTTTAGCATTTCACATACTGTCCCAACTTTGGGTTTGCTGAAATCTTCACAGGCTGTTGTTCAGCACAACGCATTCTGACAAAGTATACTACCAATGGAAGGGGAAAAAAAAAACACAGTCCTTATTATCTGAACTGACAGCTTGTGTAAACAACGTATGAATCAACAGCGTTCTGACACACTGCTGCTAACTTTTTAAGACCCAAGGCATTTGCAGGCCCAAAAGTGGCACCTGAAAGATTTATCTGGCAGGTATTTTAAAAAGCTGTCACTTAATTAGCTGGAAGAATATAACAGTAGCTTCAGGCTGGATTTACCTACAGATTCTCTGTCTCTATCTGACAATTATCCCTCTGTAGCCAGAGATCAAGTCATATCAGAAAGCTTAAAAGCCTTGTTGTGAGTCATTTCAGTATAATGAGCTGGACTTGCAGTCATTACAACGCAGTTGGACTTCATATAAGAAATAAAAGCACAGGCACAGGGGGTTACTGAGACAACCGTGTGCTCTAACCCCTTAATGTTGAGATGCAAAAAACAGCTATTTATATTTTTATATTATTAAATGCATTTTAATTTCCTTTATCTAACAAACTGTAAACGCCATCATCAGACCTATTTTTGACGAACCGCATTTTCAATGTCACAAATGTTTTTCTTGCATGAACATCAAATGAACTATTAGCATAAGCCTTTGTCGGGAAGATAATATGCTTTAAACAATGCTCTGTTGCGCTTTATTAGAGTAACATATGACGTGGCTCAGATCTGATTAAACAGATCAGATCTGTGTGTCCACCTAGCTCTGAAAACGTCAGATGTGTGTCACATTAAAGCGATAATCAGATTTGCAGCAATTTAAGCTGGTAATGCCAACATAGCCTTAGGCTGGGTTTAGACAAGTAAAATGATGATGAACTTGATGAATCTGATTTAGGTCATTCACATCATCTTTTTAATGTGCTCTATATCTGACATTAGTCTAAACAGATCTCAATCCTAAAGTGACCCACAAGCACAAAAGAACACCAATCCACCCAGCACACTCATCCAACAAACACAGTTGTTCTCTTCCTTAAGACTAACACACACCTTTCACACAACATCAAAATGAGCTGTGTAAACTACTACTTTAAACTTGAATGGCAAACAGCAGACATTAAAATGACCTGGTGAATAAAGCTTACAGAAAGAGTGAAAATTGTGATTTGCTGTGGTTGTTCCATTGTGAAAGCCAACCTAACAGAATACTGGATAAAGAGATAAAGTCTCCTTATGTAGTATAAAGTGTGTGTGTGGTTCCTTTGACTCTATTTTTTATTTCTTTTTTTACTAAAATATCCTGGAGGAATAACAGATTTTTTTTAGGAATTGAAAATAAGTGTGGTGCAGTTCTCAGTGTAACTTTTGTTCCTGTTGCTTTCAGGTCATTCTGCAACTCTTTTGAAATGACTGCTGGCCTTACATTTCTTCATCAGCTGGAGGCAGTGCTGTAAAATATTGCGTAGTGCATCTGTCTGGGCACAAATAGTTTTGTTTCAGTGAACTTTCCACGTACCTATTATCAAACAAGTTGTATCGACAGGAGTGTTTAAGGTATTTTTATGTAACCTTTACATACATATTTCTGTTCCTTTTTTTTCCTTATCAATTTGGAGAATTAAAAATAATTTGCATGAAATATATCGGCTGACATCAGTTATCGGAATTTAATTTGTTTTTGGTATCGGCCACAAAATTTTCATATCAATTGGGCACGCAGAATAGATCTGTATTTTATGCAGTGATAGGCTTGTGAATGTATTTTGGCCCTATTCCGCAGTTCATGTGCAGATAAGTGACTTACTCGTTGTTTGATTATCAGTAAACTCCCTTGTTGTCTCACAAGTTTTCCTTTATTAGTACCACTTGTAATACATATATCCTGCTGTGTTCTCTGTTGCTTCCTCGTCAGCTGGTCTTTCTATCAGTAGCACAGTTGCTCATTTGCTGCTCTTCTCTCTTTCTGTGCTTGTGGCTTATTTTGGAGGTGCTTCTCTGCCTGTGCCTTCTACAAGCAATTAAAGTAAAGCAACAGTGCTGGTGGGCGTTTTTGTTGCTGCCAGGGAGACTACAGTCATCAATGAGTGGAGCAGCCCTGCTGACATTTCATCTTTACTAACCTTTCAGCTTCCACACTTCTCTCAAGCTTGCCTATACAATAATACCTAATTTATTCAGTGCAGTGACTGGTCTGTTGCTTTTCTCATACCTAATCATGTCATTTCTGGGCCCTACAGCCAATTTTCACAAAAAAGCATTGCATGAGTTCACTCTGGTACTTTGTTGCTGCAGTTAACTCCACCCATCATGTCTGTTCTGGATTTGCCATGATGTTGTTACACTAATGTAACCTTTAACAAGCTTTCTTTAGTGACCTCCAGTATCTGCCAAGACATCCAGAGGTCCAGCTTTAACCCTTTTAGATGTATATTAACTCAACAATTCGATGAAATGTCAAATGTACACGATGTACATACAACAGTTCTCCCTACATGACATTCAGGCTTGAAGATTTGTGAAGTTCCCACTACTGTTTTAGTTATGTGGCATACTTCTGTCCATTTTTACAGATAACAGTATATATATATATATATATATATATATATATATATATATATATATATATATATATATATATATATATATAGTGACAGAAACCACATAAGCAAGTCTGTTTGAAATTACTTAACAACACAGAGACAAAATAGTTCTATTTTGGTCTGACTGCAAACAACTAATCATGCTATTTTGGTCTGATTGGATACAATTAATCACAAGATTCTACTCTACCTTGAAAACTGGGGAGACATCTCAGGGGCAGTTTAACAATGCCTTAAATCACGTTTAATGAACTGACAGCTTCTGGTTTCACTAGGAAATTGTGCACCAAAATTTTTAACTTTTCTTTACAGAAAGTGGAGAGGCTTATCTTGTTATAGTGTTTCTAAACTGTGGAACTCAATTCCACTTTCTATTTATTTAGTCTTATTTACAGTCTGCTTGACTACATTTAGAAGTAAGAAGGTGGTGTATATTTGACTATTCACTTTCTTGTACAATACTCCTGGACAAAACAAGAAAAAACACTCCTACACAAGAGAAAAGAAGGTATTTGTGCACACACAACCTCACTAGACACTCCTATACACTACAATAAGAGATTGTAGTCCATAGACAACTTCAGTAAACACTCCTATAGACTAAAATACAAGATGTTATTCCATAAACAACCCCAATCAACATGTTGTGAAATAAAACTGATCTATCTACAAAATGACAGAGTAGCAGGGCAAACTGGGCATTTTTGGACAAAGAGACAGAGTTTGATGAGGGAAGGTTAGTAAAAATTTATCCAGCATTTAATGTAGACGATGTAATAAATAAATGCTGCAGTGATCAGTCAGCAAAACCCTGATCACTGCAGTCAGACTTAACATACAGAGTGAGAGAGAACGAGAGCACAGAAGAGCGAGAGAGAGAGAGAGACAGACAGAGAGACAGACAGACAGACAGACAGACAGACAGACAGACAGACAGACAGACAAGCAGGCACTGCTATGCCAACATGAGCCAAGGTGAGGAAAAAAAAAAATAAGTAAACAAACCAATAATAAATTATTTCAGAAAGGTAAACAAGCAAGGACAGTTTATTTATGAAGTGAAGGAATTTCAGGTGGGGAGCGAGATTTAAGGTGTATTCAATATGCCAAAACAAACAAATTAAACCAGATGATGAGAGAGACGGACAGAGAAAAAAAAAGAGAGAGAGAGGGAGGGAGAGAGGGAGGGAGAGGGAAGGAGAGGGAAGGAGAGGGAGGGAAAGAGGAAGCGAGGGAGAGAGGAAGGGAGAGAGAGAGGGAGTGATAGTTTGAGAAAGAGATACTGACAAAGAGAAAGTGAGAGAGAGAAAGTGAGAGAGAGAGAGATGTGTGGGAGAGAAAAGAGCAGAAAGGAAAATAGAAGTAGGTGTCGAGCATCTTGCTGAGAGAATTTCATTACCTTTGCCTCCTGTCCCTTGGCCCCCAGGCTTATTGTAGAGGTAGATATCAGAGTCAGGCAGATCACTGTTCAAATGGGAGTAGTGCTACAGAGACAGAGAGAGAGAGAGAGAGAGAGAGAGAGAGAGAGAGAGAGAGAGAGAGAGAGAGAGAGAAAGAGAGAGGTGGAGAAAGAGAGAGAAGTAGAGAGAAATTAGATACCAATGTAATTAAAGGAGAATTCCACATATTTTTCTAAATTTCTGCATAATGTAACCATTAAGAAAATGACCAAAGTCATTTAGAGGGATTTAATGTGAAACGCATCTAGACAAACTTACAAAGCCAAGACAGTTCACACCAGCAGTGACAGAAACTCGATGTCTGAAGATTTTAATGCCTCTTAAAGCTACCACGCAGAAAGTTATGGCATGAAATGTTTACATATCCTGGTGTCTGAGACTTAAGACCTAAAGGTGTCTGAAACTCTGAGACCTAAAACTTATTTTTTTTAATCCATTCATGGTGGAGTGGTACAGGCAGGGTGTTGTAAGGCACTTATAGGCACCTTTTTTTGGATTTGCCACTGCTTTACCATTATCTGTTTAACATACGAAAACTAAGAAGATCTGTAGTAAATTTGGATAGCAAATAATATCTCGAAATTTGTGTTGCAGACATTGTGAAGCCTACAATTACAGTTCCTGTCATCATCGCTGTAAAGAGGAGTCAGTAGGTTTCCCTAAAAAGCACAATTGTACAATTTTCCCCACACTGAGTGATTGTGTTTGCATCTCTACATCTCACAACTGAATTATGTAAAATGTTGAAATGCTGGTGGAATTCTAATTTAAGCTAAATGTTTTCCAGCCTGAAACCTTCAAAAGATTGTTTTAGACCATTAAATGGTTGATTTTGTAAAAGCAGCATCTGTTCATTGAAGATCCTGCAAGACAGACATTACATGACCTAAACAAAGTATATTACACCTTCCACCTTCTTTTAGAATTTACTTATTTTTGTTTAGTTGAAATATGTTTATTTCAAACGTTTTACGGAGTTTATATCATACCATTTTTAATGATGTTTTATTAAAGGCTGATCTGTGGATGTATATAGTCGATATTTAAAAGAAGGGAATGTTCAGACCATTCAGACTATGTGCATCAGACTGTTCTACAAGAATTTTCAATGTTTGTTTCATCTGCCCAGCTAGCACTGAAGTTACCTTGAAGTGGTGCTCCATGTTACTGTCTGTGTATTTAGGGATGTGGAGGAAAATGAGAAGATTCTGGCGCAGATAGTGGGCCAAGGCCCGGATCCACGGCAGGCTGTACTGCGGCAAAGAGAACTCCATCACTTCTGTAGCTGCAGAACCAGGGGGCTGAATAAACTGGGCAAGAGGAAGAGAGAGAGACAATGAGGTTGAATAACAAAAACCGGTTCCAAAAATGTGCAATGCAGAACTCCGCCACAATTGCCAGCAGAGGATCCAAAATGCACTAAGTGGCCAATTATCCCCATATAATCCTGTTGTCTCACCACTATAAGCGCTATGAATAGAAGTGCACCCCACACACTCATTCACATTGTGAATAAACTTTAGCATCCAGGTCCAAACAGCAAAATGCAACAAAGATGTAAGGGCCTAGCCTGTACTCTGTTACGTGTGTAGCTTGCCTAGAGACTCAGAAAGGCCAAACGTTTGTCTGCAATCTTAATAAATATGAAAAAATGTAGCCCTTTTAGCCATTTATAATCACCACATTTCTCCATTTTGCCACAGAGAGGATAAAAGAACAATGGAGAAAAAAATAAACTCTTCAATTAATACTGCTACTGCAGAAATACAGCAATGCACAACCATAAATCCATACAGCACCTGTCAGTTGAAAACAGTCCAGTTACAATATGCAGATTAAATCTGTACATACTTTAGGGTAACTACATTCAGCCACGAGAGCATTAGTGAGGTAATTTCTAAGATCTGGATCACAAATGTGTGTGTGCAATTGAACATTTGTAACAGAAACAGTGAAGTACCTCCACATCTGCAGGGGTCAGCTTGCAGTTCCTGACCAGCATCACAGTGATGATGTCAAGTGTAGCCTCGTCCAGCCGCTTCCTAAGAACCTTAACCAACTCATCTGTGATCTCAGGGCCTGCCGATGAAAGAAAAGTCATGTCTGAATAAGATGTGCCATTAAACTATGCACTTTGCATACGTATGCAGTTCAACAGTACAATCTATAGTCAGTAACAGCTTCTTGACAGCTACACGTCCTTTCAGACCCATAGCGTCGAGTTGCCCCTCACAGCAAAGGGTTGGACAGAAACACTTGTGATTTTTTTAAACCTTAAGCAAGAGTGGAGCTTGATTTTCTCCTCTCTCTCAAAGATGAAAGCTTTCATTTTCTCCTTCCTTATGCAAATGGGTTATTGAATACATAATCTCTTCAAAAATATCTCTGGAATAATAAATAACATGTACTTAATTGCTGTATTCACTGGAAATTGAACATACAACACACAAATGACATTGCTCGTGATTAAACTGAAAATCAAAAACTTGAGATTACTTGTTCTCATTAGTGAAAAACAATTAGCTGGGTTTTGTCCTTCAAGAATTAATGCTAAATTGACCCATCCATGCTCCACACAAAAATTCACACAAAAATTCACAGAATGTTGGTAAAAATCTCACTGAACCTAATGAGAGCGCATAACTTACATGTATTTGTATTATGTATTTACGTTAAAGGACCTCATGTTGTGATCCACACAGCTACACTGGATTTCAGTTCACAATGCTTTCAATAGGACAAAAAAATGTTAACTAGGCTACATCATTCCATTCCTTCATACAATCCCATATTTCTCACTGCATTTCCATTGTGCGGATGGAAACAGTCCTACAAAGAACTGTAACTACTGTCCAATCACTGCCATCCATCACAATCAGGGGCATGGCTTTAATCACTCTCCAATCATAGCAGTCTGCCAAACTCAGAGGTATGGTTATAATTGGTCTTGGAAACTACTAGGTGAAGTTGCACATGAATGCTTATTCAAAATCAGATTTGTGGCTTGAATTAATCTCAGTTCATGGTAAACATAATCATTCTTTAATTAAAGACTCTGTCAATTTCTCCAGGTTGAAATGCGCTCTTGTTTTGAGCTCCATCTTTGGAAATCAGCACACTGACAGGTGTCTGGAGCCTAGGCTGAAACTACCATGAAAGACGAGCTTAAGGCGGGGAGAAAAAAAAAAGAGAGAGACACGAGAAAACTTCAAATCCCTGTAAACAAAAAAAGGCCTCATAAATAAAGAATGTTGTTCTCTGTAGTTACACTTCAGGAACTGAGTGAAAACAGGAGGAACATAATAAATCACTCTTATTGTTTTAGCTCACAACTTCCAGATTGAGAAAGAGAGAGAGCATGAGTGAGGGCATACTGTGTGGGGTAGAGAGAGAGAGGGAGGGAGAGAGAGAGAGAGAGAGGGAGAGAGAGAGAGAGAGAGAGAGAGAGAGAGAGAGAGATCATGAGAGAGAGAAAAGCGAAAGACGGAGAGTGAAAGATGGGGGGAGTGGGAGACAGAAAGAGAGAGAGAGAGAGAGAGAAAGAGACAGAGAGAGAGCAATATAAAGGGAAGAAGAAAGAAAGATGTGGAGAGAGTGACAGAAAAATGGGGGGAGAGAGAGAAAGATGGAAAGAGAAAGAAAAGGAAAGAGAAAGAAGAAAAATGGAGAGTTAGTGCGTGTGTGTGTGTGTGTGTGTGTGTGTGAGAGAGAGAGAGAGAGAGAGAGAGAGAGAGAAAGAGACAGAGAGAGAAAGAGAGAGAAAAAGAGAGAGAGAGAGAGAGAGAGAGAGAGAGGGACATAATGACATCATGGCCTGAGGACTGAGAAGGCTGTAGAAAGAGCAACAGTGCCCCCCGTCAGGCCATGAGAGGTACTGCATGCAGCACTGAGTGTACAAAAATGAATCTGCACCTTCATCTCTTCTGGTGTGCACAGCGTGAGAGAACAGAAACCTCATCACTCTGTGCTGTGTTATGCCTGGCCCACACTACAGGATAATCTGGCTGATTCTGCGGCCGATTCGCCCCTCACAAAAATGGGAAAAGATGTCCCGATTTCCGGCTTAAAACGATTATCCATCCAGATTATCTTGTGGTGTTGGGTGTGTATAATCCAGTCTTTTCCTCTTTAATTTACTCAAGTCATGGCAGCCCTGATTTTGAGTCTTAAATATTAAACATATTCAATATTTATGGCGCAGCATCCTGTAGTGTGGGGGGTATTCTCTCATATGAAAGAAAACGTTGACCTTATTTGTGAAGTACCGCTAACAAATGAGAGCCAAGATAAACCAAGAGCTGATCTGAATGGAAGGATATATGTATGTATGTATGTATGTGTGTGTGTATTTGTGTGCGTGTGTGTGTGTGTGTAAAAAAAAGAAAAAGAAGAAAATAGTTATTTTCTTTCACTTTTCTGAAATTCTCTAATTAAAGTCTTCTTAAAACATTGATAACATGTAAATTAATCTTATGGTAACACTTTACTAAGGAGCAGCATTCGTAAGGCTACATGAAACATGTACACAAAGCTTTCACGACAACTGACATAAACCAGCAGGTTTATTCCAACAAGTGTCATTTGTTGTAAGTCCCGCATTTGTCATTTTCAGTGCCACTTCAGAGTAAGTGCATGACAACTGAAACTTGTTTGTATAAGCCTTGATAAATATCTATATATGTTTAAATCAGTTGTCACAAAAAGCCAATGTCAGTGAATATGCTGCCTTGTTTTCTTGCCAAAGAAAGTTGGCAAACCACCTGTCAGAGGAACTCATATTACATTTTTTTAATTCTTCATTGACAGGATGACAAAAATAGCCTGCAATTACTGGCTGCAAGGTCATAGCAGGGGTTGAAATCAAAAGTTTTTGAACTATGGCCGCAGCACACAGCATATCAAAAATTACCATTAAAAGTGAATGGATGAGACGTGTGCAAAACAGCTTCTCGCAATAATGTGAACGTACCTTCAGGTAGCGGTTAACTTGGCACAGCATTCATCATACATTTGCGGTAAGGCAGCATGCAAGAAGTATGTCTCTGCAGCGTTGACCATTGTTAAACGGCATGAGCATAAGTCAGGCGACATTACATTACTATTCTTATAATCTTATTCTTTTACAAACATACCAGTATTACAGTGAATATTATACTGTCCACCACTACTAGAGACTGTTTTGTATGAAAATCCAAGGAAATCAGCATTTCCAGAAAAACTCAAACCACCCAGTCTAGCACCAACCATGGCACAAAGTCACTTATATTTTTCCCCTTTCTGAGGTTTTATGTAAAATATGGGATAAAGGTTTGTGGTCAGATAAGACAAACATTACAAGCTTTTTAGCCAAAATTCAAAACGCTATGTGTTGCACAGAGTTAACACTGCTCATTCCTCAGCAAAAAATATCCCAACAGTGAAGTATGGGGGTGGCAGCATAATGTTGTGGGGATGCTTTTCCTAAGTGGGAACTGGGCATCTTGTTAAAATTGAAGGATGGATGAATGGTGGAAAATACAGGGGGGCGATGCAAGACATCCTGCCTTAGTCTGCTACTAAAGTTAGGCAGAAACTTCACCTTTCAGCAGGACAATGATACCAGGCACAAGTCTAAACAACACAGGAGTGGTTGAACAAGAAAAAAGTAAATGTTGTACAGTATCTAAGTAAAATCTAATCAAGAATCTGTGTCACAATTTGAAAACTGCAGTGAACAAGTGTCATCCAACCAACCTGAACAGCCTGGAGCAAGAATGGGTGAAACACTCTCCCAAACAGTGTGCAAAGCTGGTTGAATGTTACTGCAACAGACTTGAAGCTGTTATTGCACCAAAGCTAGAACCCAAGTACTAGTGTGAAGAGCATGAATACAAGCAGCATTTTTCAGTTTTTTTTTTTTTGAAAAACAATCTATGTATACGTCATTTGTAATCCAGAGAAATATATAATATATATATATATATATATATATATATATATATATATATATATATATACGCACACACACACACACACAGATTCATACATAAATATTCTCTCTTGCTCTCTCACCTGCACGCCCCACTCCATGAACTAACAGCAGAATGTGCTTGTCGACCTGTCCAACTGGCCTTGAGCCCTCCATAGATGTGCGCGAACCCTGGAAACAAAGAAATATTACTCTCTCTCTCTCTCTCTCGCACACACACACACACACACACAACACACACACACACACACACACACACAGAATGCACTCACAAACAAAAACACATGCACACACAGGCACATAAATCCAATCACACAAACACACACAACCTTGGTGGCAAATTTTTCGTCTATCATGTCTGAATTGCTCATAGTGTTCTCTGTTGTGGTTACGCGCCTCAGGAGGAGTGTGTGAGAGGCTCATAAAGCCTCTAAAGCCTCTAAAGCCAAGGACAGACTGCTATTTGGTAGGCAGCAGGTAAATCAATGGCTCAGCACTAACTGGCCTTTCTGCTGGCAATGGAAGTCTTAACGGCTGCTAGAGGCTTTCAGATGCAGCTCCTGATGCTTAATGCATGTGTTAAAGCAAAAATACATTTGAATACTGCAATCGCAACATACAGGAAAACGTTAGTATATGAACCACTAAATGATCAAGCAGAAATTAAACAATAAAGAAAAACTTCAGCAAAAACTCAAATTTAAGCAATTTTCCCCTTATCCCAAGCATAGTGGATCACCCAAGACATGTTTGCTTCTTTTGTTTTGTACTGGCGCTTGCACTGTAGCTAACAAGTAATTGGAGCTTAAACGTCACTCATTAGCACTATGCAAACTGCATGCCTAATCATCACACACTTGTCGAAACCATGTAGAATTGTTAAAGGGATGAATAACCACTGTTCTGTCCAATAAAATCCAAATTTACACTCTCTGAAAATGAATATTACAATAATAGTTCAAACTGTCCCACTGTAGACTGAGAAATTCTCATATTTATTCCTATTGATTCCTTTTGTGAGATTCATGTTCCATAATGTAATATGTTAGTTAGCTATTTAGACACTCTCAGAGAGGCATGTTTATCTACAAGGACGTGAGAAGTGAGACAACATAGCAAAAAACAGCAGCAGGTTTATTTTGCAATTTAGAATTTTTTTAGATTGAAGAATCTGGCAATAAACACTCCTCATCATCCTCAAAGATGAATTGGGGAAAAAAACATTGAGTCTAGTGAGAAAATTAGCCTGCAATGCTTTTCTCCTAACAGTTGTAGCTTGCTCGTTTATCAACATCAAAATATTTTTCACGGTATTTAGCTATATGACCTTTTATCCATTTGCATTATGTGCACTGGATGCTATATGTTAAAAGTACTCTTTTAAGTGCTTTGGTCATTCATATTTTCAGCCACCTCATTTTTCAGTCAATGCAAAAGTTCCTGCAGTATAGCTAGTTAGGTAACAAATGCAAGGCATCCAGTGAGACGGAAAACTCCCGTTAATGAGCAGTGATTGTGTGCGAATGGTACCGTAAGGTCTTCAGTGCCCAGCGGCTCCTGGCTGCGAGCCAATCCCACAGAGCGCGAAACATGGAGGTTACCGTCCAAATCACTGTACTTCCCCGTCTGAGAGGTCTCTGAGAGCCTGTAGAAGAAAGAGAGAGAGAGAGACAGAGAGAGAGAGAGAGAGAGAGAAAGAAAGAGAAAGAAAGAGATTGATTAGTCAGTCCCTGTTATTTCAGTGATGCTTTAGCAATACTGGTAATGGCAAAAAGCCTAATAAATTTAAAGGAACTGAGATTGAGAGACAAACAGATAAAGGAGAAAAAACTTTAAAATAATGAAAAAAAAAGGGAAAAGGAGAGAGCAAGAAAAATGGAAATAGATGGTTAAATTTGTGGTTATTGGTCAGCATTTTACCACTGTGGTGTTGCAGTTATTGCAGCAGCCTGACTTGAGATGCTACTTGTTATAACTAGAGATTCCATCACGTTGCTGGAGGAGCAGAAGCTCAGTGCAATGGAAGAGACAGCACAGAAAAAAAGCAGATGGAAGCATCAGATCACCAAACTGACCTGAGGTAGAAAACGGATTTGGTTGTGCGCTCCTGGTACACAAACATGTTCTTGCGGTTGACCACGCTGAAGGCACTCAGCACAGAACGCAGGGCCTGGATAGCTGCCAGAAAAAAAGATGAGAAAATGCTTAAAAATCACAATCCGCTCTTTGTTTCACCAGCCACAACTTTTTAGCTCTACCCTGCTGCTATACAGTTAGAGACTGTAGCCCATCAGTTCATGCACAGTTTGTGTTAGTCATCCTCTAGCTCTTCATCAGTGGTCAGTTTCTGACCACAGAGTTGCTCTTGAGCATGCCCCACATACTCTACTGTGCTAGGGTCACTGAGGGGGAGTACAGTAACAGATTGGCTACAGTCTGTCATTGTACACCTATATAGTGGACAAAGGAGTACAAATACAAGTAAGTATGTACAAGGCAGGGGTTACTAATGTGGATGGAGAATGAAGAACATTATTAGATTAATTTTCAAAGATAATGACAGATTTTCTCCATCCCTCATGTGTTCTACAACCCCGCAGTCTTGTGTGCAAAGGATTTCTTTGGTTTGGCCTAGTTCAGCCTTATCTGACAAGACAACAGAGATTTAAAACAATACAGAAAGCAGTTTTAAAGAATTATCACAAAATATTATAGTGTCTACATAATAATAAGTATCTATTATTATAAATTTCGTCTTAAAACTCTCAGTTTTCACACAGATTCTGATGTCACTAATGTTTTCTTATTTGGGATTTGTTCTTACATTAGAACAGAATCTACAGACACTCATGAGCACAAAGATGCGAACAGTTTTGCGGTTTAAGAACTTATTATGAATCTGGTGTAGTCTTTTTCTTTGGACCTTTTTCAAGAACAAATTTAAGAAAAACAAAAACCCATGAAGAGATTGGTGAATGAGACCCAATGGTTTCTTGTGACAATTACTAAAACTTCAAGGTCACTCAATAGTTTAAAGTTTTCAATCATTTCAGTTTGATTATCTTCTTCTAATTAACCTCTTTCAATCATGTGTGTAACCCACTTAAAGTGAGGGTTTATTTTCATTTCATGTTTGTACTACACTTAAATATACAGGTATAGTTGTTGCAGTTCTCGAAATTTCAGATTAAGATTTTTAAGATAGTCTGAGCCAGCTGGGAAAACCTGTCCAAACCAGTTTTAGAAAAAAAAACAAAAAACGAACGAAACCACAAAACCACTTGCAGCTTAGCTTCGGATTTACTACTCTTAAGAGCATTGAATTATTGACCTAGAGTGCGAATTTGCAGATATGAAGACTAGAACTGAGACATATTTTACTTATCTCACTCTGTAAAAGTGAAATTATCCATCAAGATCTTTTGCTGTCGATTATTTCTCCTTTTAATGAGCAACTCCGGTGAGTTAAACTCACCTGTTCTCATGCTAGTCAGTGTGAGTTAGCATGTTATGCTGCTGACTATAAAAGAGTAGGATGAAAACTGTTCAAACGGTTTATTATTAGAAAGAATGAAAGAAAAGCCAGTTGGAGTTGTGATTGTACTATGTTTTGGTTTTGTAAATGATTTCAGGTTAATGTTTTTATAAGTATTCTTTGGAAAGCAGAATGCTAGCGCTCAGATTTGTTAAGAGCAAACTACATAGTTAAATTTGTCTGTACTGTAATTCAACGCCTAACGTACAAATTTACAACAGGAATTGAAGATTTTCAGCTGTAAGGTCTTTAGAATTGATATTGAAGGAATTCGTAAGATGTCAATAGTAGAATGTTCAATACGTAAAGCATTTTTTTGCTGTATAGAAGCAAATTGTTTGCTATTCACAGAATCTTCTGTAATGAATCTACATAAGAATTACTTGTTGAGAAGTTGAGTAGTAATGGTTTTATTTTTTTTATGTAGATTGTGCATTGAGTTTGGATCCTTCAGCACGCACACGCGTCAGACTGTGAGTGAGACCAGATCGGCGAGCCAGGACCACGTGTTCAAAGCCGTCGGCCTTGCGTGTTGTTCCTTCACGGGCAGGGACAGAACAGGAGAAACAGATAAGCTTTTCCTTACGAACTGAACTGAGATTCATCCCAAAGAAAAGAAAAGAAGCTGCATAGCAGTCTTGAGCTTCAGATTTAAATTCAGAGACAGTGAACCCGAAGAGCTCTTAAGGTGGGGTCCATTTTTATTTCTTTTTTTGTCCTTTGTGTAACTGTTTGTTTCCTTGTTTTGTATATGGCTATTGAGCTAACAATATATTCATTTTTGTTATTTTCTTCCAAGCCTTTGTTGCATCTCATTCTTTCCATCCTCCTTGTTTCGAACCTAGCAAACATGACCAAAGTGGATTTCTCCATACCAGTGAGAGGGTTACATTTGGTTTTGCAGAAGACTAATCTCACTACTTTCCATTACAGCATTTAACCAGCAGTGAAATTCTTAATTCTTGATGCATGTTGATTGATCAAGTCGGGAAATTAAATCTGAGTAGCATCACTGTCCAAAAAAACCATCACTGTCCAAAAAAACATGAATCTCCAACCATGTCAGTGCTCCAAAATCACTTGGAGTAATGATATTCAACAATACTCTACTTCAACACAGAAAAACCCAGATGCCCCATCATAAACTTACTATCTTACAAACTTATATTTCATGAGTTGGGAGGGTGGTTATATAGTTTATACTACTCACCTCGAGCCACCCCCATGTTAGGCCCCATCTTTAAGCGTGGGTGAATGTGTATGATGGTGCTCCACACCACATCACAGGCAAAGTGGCCAGGCATGAAGTGCATAGTGGCAGCCAAATAATCTCTTGGTTGATAGCTTTCATCTGCATTATAGTCTAGGGAGGGAGGGAGAGAGAGAAAAAAAGGTGAGAGAAAGCAACAGAGATGAGGAGAGGGAGACAGAAAGAAAGAAAAAAAGGTGTTAGAAAGAAAGAAAAGAAAGAAAGAAAGAGGGAAAGTGGCATTAAAGAGGGGAGGAGTCACAGAGGGGAGACAGAAAAAGAGAGATTTGAATATAATCCTATAATAAGTGAGAACAGCTAAAATTGTAGCAGCACAATTAGTCTCCTGGATCCAACTCATTTGCTCACTCTGAAGCAGAACAATCAATTATTAGGAAACTTAAGAGGTAATTCAGCCTCAACAACTGATATAAAATAGAAAAAGGGAGATTGGGCACTCCTGTGTGTGAGTATGTTGCGTGTTCAAGATATGCTTTACATCTAAAACAATAACTAGTGTATCCAGTGTCTTTACCATCTGAGTTGGCCATTCTCTGCCTGTAGAGAGATTCATTTTTCCAAATGTCCTCCTCACTTTCAGCCACTAGGAGAGTGTTACACACATGACTGTCATGCAGATCCTGCAGCAGGAGGCGCTGTGGAGCCACAAGAGAGGTTCGTTACAGTATATAAGTATCGAAGAAAGAAAAACCTTCAATCTAGAGCTGTGGTGCTCAATATTTGAGACATGACCTCCCAAAAATGTAGGTTGCTGTTTACAACCCCCTCTCTCTTTACAAGACAACTCTTTCACATGTCAGTCATTTAAAGAAAGGGATGTCTACTTTATAAGCTGAATAACAGTAATAGGCAGAGAACCACCTACTTTGACAGGAAAGGGTCATTTCCACAGTAGGGATATGCATTCTAAGTAATTTTGATGTCTGAGCATCCACAGAAGTTTAAGAACAGACTATTCTGTAAAACAGACTCTAACTGTGGAGAAGGAAAAATACAATGCCATAAAAAAAAAAATATTGGCTGAAATTAATGTAGAGCTGAGGCTTATCTTTTTAACTTCGCATCACATACAGGGGTACATTTCAAAACTTGTTTTATTAATCAAGTACAGTGGAGGGAGTTTGGTGGGTTTTCATGTCAGACGTGTAACATAACAGATTTCTTCAGATGAGCTAATGTGCTAAAACTATGGCTAACTGGTACAACAGTGGACGCTGATGAAGACTCGTCGTTTTCTGTAGTTATTTTTTTCCTTCATCAGTGGACGATGTACCAACATGTTACATTGTCAGAAATAATACATTTTCACTGTTTCTGGACACAACATCAGCCTAAGTTATTTATGAGTATTAGATCATGTGAAAGAGTTTATTACAATCACTGGTAGTTTTTGTTAAATAATTGTTGAATTACAGTTTTCTGTGACATTACTACTGCACAGGGCAATTTTATGATACCATTTAAACAATATATTGCAAAGCTCTAGTATCTGTTCCAGTGAGAATGTGACTTAATATATGTTGATCTAAAAGTACAGAAGCTTTTACCTGATTGACTATTCTGCATATTTCACCAATCTTCCTCACAACTTCTTGATGAAGATATAGGTACTCTGGGATTTCCTCTTCATCCTCTTCTCTCACCCTTTCCTCTTTCGCCTCATTAAAACTCCTGACAACAGAAAAAAGTAAAGGTATAAATCTGTCCATGGTGGAAGGGGTTTCGAGGGGGGTAATACGATGATATTTTATAGTGATAAATGTTGTTGTTACAGTGACAAACAATATGCTTTTCTGATCTTATTGTGGCTATTATCAGTACTTATAGAACACCTTGAGCTTGGAAGTTCTTAAAAGAATACTTCAGCTTTTTTCAACCTAAACTCTATCTGCTCTGTTTTATAGGGTTGATTACAATAAACAGTAATTTCAACATGTTTCCCTGCACTCGGTAAAAGAACATAAAGCCTGTTGACTCGAAAACACACCTATAATAGAGGTCAATGGAAAGGTGGTGAAACTTGTGTGTTATTAAACCCACTTGTATAATAAGTGTGTTTACTCTATACAGGGAAACATATGACTCTTGGTGGTAATTAACCATATGCTACAGAATATGCAGAAGCTTAGGTTGAAAACCCTGGAGTATTTATTTAACCACATCGAGTTTAGTAATTCTGAAAACACAAATCTAAGTTTGTTTTTCATAGCTAAATGTAACCCAAAAAATGTCTATAGGTAGACAGTAAAAGCCACAGTATCCGAACTAGTAAACTTCTCTACTCTCAGAGATACTACTCCCATGTGAACGGCACATTAATTACCAATGTCAGCCATTGTTACCAATAACCCCAGTGATTTTAATCCAGTGCGAACAAAGCTATAGATTAATTGGTTCACTGTAAAGTGTGTGCCTGCGGACCTGGAGTGGGAAAACACCTCCACCCTGTCCTGGTGGATTTGGATGATGAGCCAGAAATCTGGCATCAAAGGAGTCTGGACCTCCTGCTCATTCATGGTGGGACCATCACACTCTGAATCACTGCTGCCTCCATCATAACCTAATACACACACATATGCAATATTTCATTATTATATGTGTAAGGATGTGCACTGACTCAAGTAATACAAAAAACATAATGTCCAACCTGAACATTTAAGGACGATTACAGGAATGGTTGAATTTTGCTTCTTTAGCTTTATGCTGGAGCTCCAAGGCTAGACTAACAAACACTAGAGGTCAATATTCACCCAAATCTTTTTTCATAAATACATGCCCAAAACATCTCTCAACCTGATCAAACTGCATCCAGCTCTTTATTGAGACGGCACAGACTTGTTCAAGTTTAGGGCAGAGTATGACTTATTGTGAGCTATAAAAAGTAGGCAGCCCATTTGGACAACAGGGGTGCTGAAATTCATCTGCCTGTCACATGTGGGCATGTCACACAGATATGGACAGCACAGAGTATTACCCGAATCTTTTCCACAAATGCTTCCTTGTTTCTATTTTTGAAATATGTATTTTCAGTTATAAAATTCAAGGTTAACAAATATTTATGAAAAGAAACAACAGAAGGAAGCATTTGTGGAAAAAATTTGGGTAGTCAGGAGCTTAAAATGACATTCTGGACCTCTTATACATGCAAGTGACAAAAAACTACAAAACCGATAAAACAACTATTAATTGATCTATTATACCTTCTGCAGTTTCCTCTCATTTTACTCTACCACAGACTGTACCAGTCATTATATAACAGTGCTTAATGTGGAAACCTTTAATTTATTATTTATATTATTAATTATATTATTTATAATTTAATCCAGCAGCCTCTGTTGATCAAAAAACATCTGTGGCAATAATGCTGATTTTCATATTTTGAGAATATGAGATTCTCTGTTCTGTGAATGTAACGACAGTGCAGGTTTTGTCCACACTACACTTTCGTAGTGCGGTTTACTGAATTGTTGAATACCAGCACATGTGCACGCCTATACATTTGTTTTTACATAAAACAGCATCTCAGCCATCTGACAGCATATTTGTAACAATTTCATGCAATAACTTTCTGGGATTTAGATTTCAGAGGCATTAAATGCTTTAGACACCTGGTTTCTATCACCGATATGCACAATTCAATATGTGAGAAATCATAATTCAGACTCTCTAAAATAGATAAGGCCTATTCTAGAGAAATAATTTTCTCTAGAATAGGCCTGAGTGATATCTAAAAACAATTAGGATTACTATTAATAACATTTCAGACTGCAAGTGATTTCCAAAGCCATGCCTACGTGCTTTTCTAAAGTTCTAAAGCACATTGGGATTTTTTTTTTCAATTCTATTCATGTATGGTAAAGTAGAAGGGGAAGTCATCTGGTAAAGCTAGCATTACAGATTTTAGCAGAGAGAACTTACACAGGCAGTTTCTTAACAAACCTCTCAAACAGAGAAAAAATGACTACCACACAGTGCGTGTCCATACAGTTCTTAAAACTTAACATCAATTTCCCAACATATTTACAAGCTGTTTACAGTAAATTAGCCCTCTCTGATTCTCTCTCAGTTCTTTTCCCAAAATGGCGATTATCACCTTTTACACATCAGCATCGGGTTACTTGTCCATGACAATATCTGATTACATCGCCCTCTTGCCCAGGCCTACTCTAGAATGGAGCTTTTCACATCAAACCATTCTAAATGACTTTATATCTTAACAATTTCATTAAGCAGAATTTTGAAAGATCAGTGTATTCCTGATGCATCAGACAACTAATTAACTGACAATTAGACAATTAAATTAACTGCTGACTAATCATCACGGCCATTATACAAGCATGCACACACAATTATGAGAATATTACACTGTTTGTGTGTGTGATATTGTGGCATACAATGTGATATGCAAGTTCTTACCCAACATGTCTGAGTCCAGGCTGCCTTGGCTGGAGACCACGCTCTGAACTCGACTGGGCCTGAGCTTTCCACTGCCTGAAAATACAACACACCAGCCACCATTCACTTTATACTGTTTCAGACAAACTGCGAATCCCTTTAACCAAAGGAAACCTCACACAGTGCTCTCCACCAATGACTGCAGGAATAATCAATACTATATCTCCTTTATCCATTTTCGTCAGTCCAAGTCCTTAGCTCCTCATGTCCGGCATATTTTTGTTAGACAATTTAATAACCTGCATGACTGAAAACCTTCACAGTCATTCACCAAACTATAACAGCGAAACACCACTTATATACAGTCATCCAACAAAGAAAAAAGGACAAAGTGTTTGAGCAGTTTTTTATAGAAAGGCTTAACAGAGCTATTAGAAGAGACTCACTGCATGTTGCAGACTGTACAGATTCAGCTAGGCTGACTGCAGAGGGCGTTTTGGGTGGGGTTGTATGGTCAGACGCTCGGTCATTGCTGCTGCAAAGCTGTTGATTTGTGCTCTGAGATCTGGGCTCTTCTGCATCGGCTGGTCTGACCCTGCCAGTGTCTGTGCGCTCAGAGTCACTCACAGAGTCAGCTGCCAGAGGCCTCACCTCTGCTTCAGTATACTCATCCTGCTCCTTCTGCTCCTCCTGCTGCTGACTTGCTTCACCAGGCTGACGTTCTTCAACCTGCTGAAACACATCATGATTGTCCTGTGCATGCTCTACTCACAAATGTGTCTTTTTCATAGCTAGCGGTGCAAGGTCGAACAAGCTGTACAGAACGCTGACAAAAAGCCCAATCAACCATAAGCCACATCTTTAGGACTGAAGTGGTGCAGTTTCTGTTTTTTTCTTTGTTCTCTACAGTTTTTCATTACGTGAATTGGATTTTTTTGACAGTGAAGCAAAATACAAACAAAGCATTAGGAAATAGCTGTTCTATATAACTTCTATATAAACTTTTTCAGGTAAAGGGTGAAAATTAAACACTACTCAGAACATTTCAAAAGAAGGAAAGGTGTCCCCAAGCTTTTTTGTCGGCATGTGAACATTTTCATTATGGTTAAAAGTTACCTCCAAGTCTAGCTGATTTTTCTCAGGTTCAACATCACCAACCGGCCCTTTGGAAGGTGGGGAATGACTGGTTATTTGCTTGGCACTAATTTCAGCCTCAGGGGAGTGATTGGTTGGCTGAGAGATGGGTCCCACCCCCTGAGAACAGGCCAGGTTCTGATTAGAACGTCGGGCAGCCTGTATTCTGTGAGAGTGCTGGCGGCTCAGAGAGATGTAGTGGAAATCTTGTTTCTCCGCATTAAGCAGATAACCCGGAAATGACAACCTCCTAAACTCCTGCAGAGAGAAAGAGAATAGTGATGCAGGCAAAACTAACTAAAATGTTAGTTTTATGAAAAAGAAGGTAAAACGTACAATAACATTAACTATAAAACTAGTCAGAGAATTGAATAAGAATCATAAAATGTATTCAGCATTTACCTTACCATATATGAAGAATTAAACATTTTCGTAAGATTTTTTCGTAATATATTCATAATATCATGTTTTCCTTTCTGATCCTGAAGTATCAGCTGACACTGAGCACCAATACCAAAACTATCTAAACTAACTAGCTTAGAAACAAATTACCTTTATATTTTATTTTAGTAAAAGTAACATAACATACCAAGCTTCAGTGAATGGCATTCACCTGGATATATAACAGTGTTTTCAATTTAGGCTAAATAGAATTTAATAATCACTGCTTTCTGTATACATTCATTATTTACTATTATATAATTAATAATAAAATCTATTACAATATCAAATTGTAATCAATATCAAAAGTAAGTGTCAAATATTTGTATTGCACAAAATAAAAATAAACGTAATTAAATAATATATAGAAAAACCTGTAGTGCACACATGAAGGCACCCAGAAACTTCTCTGGCTCGGTGAAAGGAGTGCTAAATGTTGTTTCACACCTGAATTTCACGTGCACTGCTATGCTAAAGGCTTAACCATTCACATGTTCACGTTGAAAAAAAGGTCATTTGGAACGCTGCTGCTTGCGGTGGCAGAATTTCCTGTTACCGCTTTATTGAAAACAACTGAATAATAACTTTGCCATCGTCTGACTACTGCAAACATGTGAATGCAGCATAAAGGTTATCATTATTCCAAGAGTCTCAGCGGTTCATTTCATATGTCTCTTTAATGTTCCCTCCATCTGTCAGAACCTGAACTAACATTAACTCAGACTGTAAGTGACTACATAGCTGGATGAGCTGGATGAGTGATTACTGAAAGACCAGTCAGGTAAACAGCAACCGTTAGCATGTTTCACACTGTGAAATCCGGTGTAAAGGTGTTATACCAGTAAAGCTAACACCTTAGGAAGAATTCCAACTGATATGTTATACTGGCATTAGAGGTTTTGTCAAGAGCATTTTTATGGCTGTTTGTCAATGTGTTAAGTTCCATCTACTTGCCCACATGTATGTGTCACTCAGTAGTGCATATGCACATCAGAAATTGCTGTGTGGCATCGGTGCCCCCAACACCAATACCAATATGGTATCAGTATCAGTGTAAGTTTAATATTTGAATAATATATTCAAACATATAGATTAGAAAACATCTTCAAATTTATCGTACAACATCTTCAATTGGCCAGGAGTAACAATGGAATTCGTAAAAACACACATTGGTCTGTGTAAAAAAATCTATATTAAAAATTTTTTGTACCTCTTTGAACTTCTCCAGGGACTGTTCAGGGCCGAAGACAAACTGCAGTGGGACGACTTCATGGTGGCAGCTGGGTCGTCCACTGGAGCGGCACACATGATCCGAAACTTTCAGCAGAGTGGAGGAACTCAATACACTTGAGTGTCTCAAAGCAGAAACGATTTCATCCTCCAACAACCAACGGATCTATAGGAGAGAGAGAGAGAGACAGAGAGAGAGAGAGAGAGAGAGATAAAAACATTAACACAAAAGTATGTAGGTAGCTAACAGCACAGGAGGAAATTACAGAAGGGTCCTGACCCTCCACTTCATAGGAGGAAGAGAGAGTTGTTTCCCTCGATATATCATTGTAAATATAACTGTATAATTTTAAATAATAAAATAATATGCTTTGAAAAAACTTGTGTGAAGTATATTGACAGCAAAACAATTTGTTTTTATGTTTCGAAAGATTGTAACCCCCCTTTCATATGCCTCACTGTGGTTTGGTTAATTTTTTGCCAATAGTTTCAGATAAAACACAAAAATCCAAATGCAAAACATTACATATCAAAAATAGGTTGCTAATACAAACAATGAGAGTTCAATTAAGTAATCAAACTTTTTTTTCCCCCAAAAAGATTACTACTCAGTTTCTCCCATTCTGATATAAATATATTTTAATTTTACCTATTATTGACTTAATTCTATCTATTTGCTGCTTTTGCTAATATATTTTTGGCTTTTGGAATCACTCTTTTGCGTATGAAATCTTTCTTTTGTTTCTTTGTTTTTGGCACTTTTTAACAGGGGGCAGGTCTTACAAAAGGGTGTTCACCTGCACTTTCTTTTGGTCAAATGATCTGGAGTGACAGGTCTTCTAAATACGTAGCCACGCCCACTGTGTGAGCAGTGATCTGCCTCGATCATGGCAGACCACTTAGTACTGATTGTAGTATAGCAGGAAAGGACTGCGCTGGCGAGATCAACTGATTAATGAGCCCTCCATGAGCAAAATCAGGTGTGTTGGGTCAAGAAATCATTAAATCTGCGGTGCTAGGTGTCAAGAGAAATAACATAGTGCAGTGGAAGAGTGGAAAATACCACAGATTATTGCCAGCTACGAGTTACTGCGTCAGCGAGATAGATGATAGAATCTAATGTTTAATCACTGAAAGGGAATAAAGTTGACATGTCATGGTTATCCATATGTTCTGGGGTTTATGAAGACTGTTATGCCAGACTTTTCTTGTTTCTACCCACAGAATGCCTCAGTGTCGGTCACTGAAACAGGCTTTCTATCCCAGTTTATAGAATGTGCTGCTCCAAATTATTGTCTTCACATTAATACAGTGATTTAACTTACTTTTTATACAGGATATGAGTATAAAACAACACCCTCCACTCTGTCATGGTAGCCTTCTAACTCAGCAGTCACTTCTATATCCAAGTGTTGCTAAAGACCTAACATAAAAAAAAGCTGAAAAGTGGCTAGCTCTGGTGACTAAGCAGTGTTTGGACTAAGGAAAACAGGATAAATCTCGAGATCAGATTGGCGGTTTAGTAGCACCCCTGCCCTGTAGTACGGCACAGTATACGTATACATGTATCCATATACTGGATGCTATACTGTATACTACCATGAAGTGTAGCATGCAGTGCATAGTTTAAAGTATATAGTATAAAGGAGGAAAAGCTTGCGCACTCTTAAAAACCCATGGATGAATGCAGAAATACACCAGCTTAAGAGAAACTGTAAATAGGCAGGTACATTATGATATTCTCAAAGATCAGATCTCAGTCTATAATAATGCTATGAAAATATCCAGACAGTCATACCTCTCTAGTGTAATTAACAGACACAAAGATAATACCAAAATCCTTTTTTCCACCATAGACCAATCCATAATCCAGCGTCTTGAATGCTGGGTTGGCCTCTCGGGCACAGTTTTAGAATGGTTTAAATCATATTTAAGTAATAGGCAGTTCATGGTTTCACTTGGAAATCATTCATCAAAAAGATTTGCCATTTCTTGTGGAGTCCCTCAGGGTTCAGTCTTGGGGCCTTTGCTTTTCTCTTTGTACATGCCACCTCTAGGTGAGGTCGTTAGGAAGCATAATATAAATTTTCACAGCTATGCTGACGACACCCAGCTATACATTTCTATTCCTTCTGAAGATCAAGACTCTGTAGACAGACTAACCAGCTTTGTGTCAGATATTTCTCAGTGGATGTCGCAAAATTTCATGAAAAAACTGATATATTGATCATTGGTACAGAAACTCAGAGAAAAATTATTTATGAGAAACTTGGTTCTTTAGCTTCATAAACCAAACCTGAAGTACGAAACCTGAGTGTGATCTTAGACTCTGAGCTCTGTTTTACCTCGCATGTAAACACAGTCACTAAAGTAGCTTTTTATCATTTGAGAAATGTTACTAAAGTTCAGCCTTTTCTATCTCAGAGTGATGCAGAGAAACTTGTTCATGCATTTGTTACAAGCAGACTTGATTACTGTAATGCTCTTCTTACTGGACTTCCTAAGAAAACTATACATCCCTTACAACTCGTACAAAATGCAGCACCGCGCATCCTAACAAAAACAAAAAAGAGAGATCACATCACTCCCATTTTGAAAGAACTGCACTGGCTGCCTGTATCATTCAGGATAGATTTCAAGGTTCTGCTACTAGTCTTTAAAGTTCAAAATAACCTAGCACCTGCTTACATCACAGAGTGTCTGTAAGGCATAATGTTAAAGGCACAGTTACAAAAACAACCTGTTGAATAAAGAGGCCATGTGAAAATGAATCATTACTGTTTTTGGTTCAAAGAAACATCTTAAGTGGACCTCTGGGGAAAAAATAAAATGCAAAAAAAATCAAATCTCTAAGATCTGCAGATAATGGCCTTCTACAAATACCCTCTATAAAATACAGAAAACATGGAGAGGCCTCTTTCAGTTATTGTTTCTAAACTGTGGAATTCAATTCTACCTTTTATTAGACAGTCAAGCTCAGTGCTCACTTTTAAGAAGCATCAAAAAATGTATCTCTAAGTTAGCATTTAATTATAACTCTACGTCTTGTGGTGTTTATCTTTTAATTTGATCTTTTTCATTTTCTTCTGATTCTAAATAAATGATTTCTTGTATAACTATGTTTTATCACCTGTCTGTAAAGCACTTTGAGCTGCCATCGGCATGAAAAGTGCTATATAATAATAATAATAATAACAACAATAAATAATAATAATAATAATAATAATAATAATAACAATAACAATAGTAACAATAATAATAATGATAATAATAATAATAATAATAATAATGGTGATATGAATATGAATATATTATATACTAGTGCATCATGCTGTATGTAGTATAGTAGTATGCCATTTCGAATGCCTTCTTTACAGTGCATTATGGAGTGTTTTTTAAATGACACAAAAGAAGCCATGCTGCCTCCTACACTTCCTGTAGTGTATATCTGTAAGTATGACTGTGTGGATCATATAAACATTACAGAGCCCTACAGAATGCTTTTAAATTTATGTAAACAATGTCGTGTGAGGTTATCAGTATCGATTTTATTTTAAAGGCAAAGTGCAGAAGTACAACAGCACAGAAACATTAACTCACCTCATCCATGGTAGCTAAAACAGCCTGTTTCTGAGGCGCTGGCAGTTTGGAAAGAGGATCTCCTGTTATTCTGCACAAGAAAAAAAATCAAAATGACACAATTATGGCCTCAACTCCAATACACGTTTGAGGCTTGCTTCATTAGTTGTGCGCTGAAAGTACAAAGCTAAAGTAGCTAAGTAATGGTAGGTTATGACCACCAATTTGCCCCAAACAATTCAGAGCTGTTAAATAATCTAAAATAAACTTGCTTATGTTGTTTCTGACACTGTATAACACCATTATCTAAGGCTGAACCATATTGGGAAAATATGTGAGAATGATTTCTTTGACCAATATTGCGATTCAAATGCAGTGCCAAAACCACCAGCATATCCTTTTTTTCTGGCTTTATACTTGAACACCAGTTAATTATTTATTATTAGTTATTAAATTTCCCCACTTACAACTTAAGACAATGTTGAATAATGTAGGCTATAATTAAAATTTCAGCTCTTGCAATTTAAAAATTGCACTATTTTAAATTACAGTTTTAATATTAAAATGATCAAATGTTTAGCCCTACCATTAACTATAAAAAAAAAGTATGTTTGTCTGTATTTTTCTCTATTTGTAGTAAGAAATGAAAGAAACACCAAACGTGTCTCAGTTGTTTGACTACATTTGAGGTAAAACGGAAATGGGGAAAACTGTTTTCATTTCAAAATTTCATTTTTTTGCTAGATAGAATGAGATGGAGATTGACAATAATCTGGCAATAATTTATAAGTTTGTACGTCCTGTAATTTTTTTTTCAGCATGTACATAATCTGTCTTTTGTTTGTTTGTTTCTTTTTTCTTAAACAAACATAACTTACCCATCCATACCAAACCCACGCAGGCCATCCAGATTCTCCATGAGTTCCTCATCAGAGCGGTAGGAAGATGGCAGGCCTGGAGAACGGTTCATAGACACACTGCTCTCAGAGGCATACCTGCACACACAGACACATAAGTGCAGAGAATCTTAAATACTCTGAAGTTCAATTTTGCTATAGATACGCTTCTGGAAGGTTATGACCACCAATTTGCGATGACGATTTAATTGTCTTTTCTTGTTCAATGAAAGCAACAATTAAAGTACCAGTCAAAGTGGCCAAAGTGGCTGATTAGCCATCGTGTTGCCTAGGTATGTTTGATTAGTAGCTAACACTGGTTGTACTGTCAAAGCGGTACAGTACACTATTGAGCATGCACCCATACTCATACACAATGCATGAGTGGGTAATTGGGAGAGTCAGGAGGCTGGTAGTATTTAGGACTGGTTGCTGTGAGCTAATGCTCAGCTAAACTACAAATGTTACATCCAAGTGTCTATCAGTAGTAATTCAGGGGTTAAACTAGCAACTCTCACCTCTGGTAGTACAGCCCTATTTTGCTGATTGTAACTGTGTCTTGTACAGTTGACAGAGATTAGATGAAGCTGAAGTTAGTTGTACTGTTTAAGGTGGAATGAAAACTTAAATAAGAAGCTAACATTAACTCAAGATGTTAGTGCATCACATTCAGTGTGACAGTATTTTTTTGCATTACCGATGCAACATTTTTTCATGCGTGAATTTTAAAGATGGACAGCTGTTATAAAACAAGGTGGCACAGAGAATAAAGACATTAACGAAAAAGCTGCTCAAGGAGGACTAGCAGGTGGGCAGCGAGACAGGACCTTAGATATTTTAGCTAGCATTTGTAGCACATTGGCAGAATTAGCTACATAGCCAACAAACACACCAACATTACTCAGCATTGCCCTTTAATTCTATGTTCTTGTTGGAGCACCCAGTTAGAAGTTAGAACTTTTTAGTTTTCATAAGCCCCATTATATCTCAAAGAATGCCTTTACTGCTTTCGTTTATTCAAATTTATTTGCCTCAGCCCAATGCACCCAACTCACACTCTGCTTGTAGCAGACTGTGAAAAATTATTGTAGTTCTAAATAATTACAGTCATATTAAATAATTGTGATAATCTCAAATAACTGCAATTAGGTGATTATGTAATAATGCAGACAGCTATATTTCTGACCTCAAAGACTTCCAAAATTAAGAGTTTATCAGCAAGCATAGATTTCACTGCAGAAATACTTTTTTTTTGGAATGGCAAAATACTTGCCTGGTATGGTGAGGGTCATGGGGCATAACCTCTATTTCTAGAGGTAATGTCAAAACAAAGATGTCCAAAGTGACCGACAGCTCATTTAGATCCACAGACTGAAGAGATTCTGCATTCTCCAGACAGCTGATCAACTCACCTGCACAAATATACCAAGCAAACACAAAATAATGTTACAGCAAAACATGTTTTGGTATGTAACTTTTTCTAATGGAGAATCCAGCTCTCTACAACATTTCTTGCACATCTGTGAAAGCACCATTAACACTGAAAAATATGTACACATTTTTAGCAACATACGCTGCCCTCCAGACAAAATCTTTTTAAAAGGTGTCCATGCTTTTTTCAACATACCAGTGCCAAGCCACATTCTGCATATAAACAATAGTTAGAATAGTATGGCTGCATATAAACTTGTCTCACAAAAACAGAATGATTGTAACTGTGTCTTGTACAGTTGACAGAGATTAGATGAAGCTGAAGTTAGTTGTACTATTTAAGGTGGAATGAAAACTTAAATAAGAAGTTAACATTAACTCAAGATGTTAGCGCATCACATTCAGTGTGACAGTATTTTTTTTGCATTACCGATGCAACATTTTTTCATGCGTGAATTTTAAAGATGGACAGCAGCAACGATAAAAAAACAATACACTCAGAAAAAACAGTAAAGTTAATCATTTAAAACATCAAATATCCTGTTTATTTCAGATACTGTGCCAACTTTACTGGAATTATGGTAAGTAAATGATTTTGTACTACAGTTCGCACATCACTCTACAGCAGCAGTCTTTATATTAGTAGCAAACACAAAGTTTTCTCTGTTTGCTACGCTATATTGTTAGTGAATTGTTGGATGTACAAGGAAGCTTGTAATGGTTAACTGAGGCACTGTTGGACTATAAAGCCAAAGTCACACTAGATATTTGCAGTTGATGTTTTCTTGCAAACAACCTTACAACACAATAATTACCACTTGTAACTGTGCCCAACAAAATTTACTGTCAGACATCTAGTGTAAATGCAAATTAGAAGTGCACCGGATATTTTCTACTATGCTTTTTAACACCAATACAAAATGACTCTCGAAACAGTGCATAGGGAACACTGCATAATTTAAAACACTGCCTTGGCCACTTACCCAGACATGTGGGCAGCGTCCTCATGGGCATGGAGCCATGGCTGCTCTTAACATTGACTGAGCAAACAAGGTGGACAAACAGAGGGGGCATTTCAGGCTGAGGTCCAGACGGCTCCAGCAGGGAGTCTCCCTCTAGGATGCTGAAAGAGTCCTCGTCCTGATTCACTGTGTTTGAGTCCGAGAGAGACTCGTCCTCTGTCCCCTCCTCCACTCCTCCACGTTCCTCTGCTTTTTCGTTCCCTTGTTCTTGATACTCAACTTCCAAATCTGTGTCGCTCTCTGATACGATACAGCAGCCAGACACATTCTCTGCAAATTGTAGAGAACACAAGACACACATGCAGATTATTCATCTATTAAAGTGATAGCTAAGGCCTAGTAAAAATCTAATTATCAAATCTAATTTCCACATAACAGAATCTTATGGCCACCAATTAGCATGTTGTAAACTGCATGCCTAAACGATCACATAAACCACGTCCAACACTTTTCTTGCATTTTATTTTTTCCCCAGAGGTCCACTTAAGATGTTTCAAAAACAGTAATGATTCATTTTCACATGGCCTCTTTATTCAACTGGTTAAACAGGTTGTTTTTTGTATCTGTGCCTTTAACATTATGCCTCACTCAAAAAGCAGTCTGGGATAAAACTAGAGCCGGTTTATGAGGAGACTGGCCACTTCCTATTCCCCCCGTTATATCAAAAACAGCACTGCTAAACAGCAGAGTGCGCCCGCGAGGGAGTCCTCAATGAATGGGGTAAATAACACTCAACGGCTAAAAACGAAAAGTTTAAAGTTTCTAATCACTTGCCCAGAACATTTCTTTAATTTTAGAAAGTAGAAGGATGTATTCACTACAAAAACAAAGAAATCTTACCTAAATATTTTCTTTTTTCTACAGCAAACAGGTTTTGGGCAGCAGAAGGCGGGCATTACTGCTAGAGCGTGATGATTGATTGGCGAGCGGAGCAGCTTATTGGCTGTTCGCGCTCACAGACGTCATGGACATACATGAGGCACCGTTTTAAACTCCTATAACCTGAGCTTAAAACCTCTTTAAAATATAACAGCAGTGTTAAAATGTGTCATGCTATTCAGTTTTCAGGAAACGATTGTATTCTTTTACATCAAAAATGTTTAAGGTTGTTAATGTTTATAAACTATGATTTTGCTCAAATGCTCCATATCAACACATTCATTTTGGACTCACTCGGGAGCTCCCTCTAGTGTTTGAGAAACCCGGAAGACATTGCAGAGTGGTAATTCTCCTCTCTACAAGTTCTCTGATAAAACATTCCTTATAACTTTGATTGAGAGGAACTCTGTTCCTCTTTCTCTGGGCACTTATGTATTGTATTGTATTGCATTGTATTGTATGGCACTGCTGTGTTTAACTCTGTTCCTCTTTCTCTGGGCATCAATGGTGACTTTTTGTTTATAGCAGTATCTGAGCTCAGGACTAGCTTTCTCTCTAACTTATTGGTAACTAGCAAAGATACTTTCTCTAGATAGACAAAGCACTTTTTGTAAGTCGCTCTGGATAAGAGCCTCTGCTAAATGCTGTAAATGTAATGTAAAGGTAAATGGTAAACTGCCATAGGCTGAATCGGCAGATGAACGTAAATGATTTGTTTTTTAATGACATCACAAAAACAATGAATTCAAAATGGGCTGGTTTTGAGACTGAGTTTCCATATATCGATTGTATGGATTGTGGAGTGAATGCTATGTTTTGAAACTTTAACAGTTTTTAGGTACTTCATCAAACTCATTCACTACTTAAAAAAAGGCCAATTTGGTTTTACCTAGGCCATTTTGATATGGGGCCCTTTACATAATCTCAAAAGAACTTGCTTATGTGGTTCCTGACATTCTATGACATACTGTCATAAAAATGGACAAAGGCACGTAGCACTGGTAAAAAAAAAAAAATAGTAATAGCAGCTAAATAATTTGCTAATAGTGGTTCTAAACAAAGTATGTCCAAGCAGTTATTTCCAGTCTTTCAAGAACAATCCTATTTCTTACAATGAGGAAAGACTTATAAATCCCATTTGGCTCAAATAATGCACAAAAACGTTTTTTCAGGTTGTTCTGGATACTACACATGCACATCTCCACAACGAGACTTTTCCCACTTGCTGGTTTACCCACAAGCCAATTGGCTTTTTTTTTACTGAGGGGTGGGGCTTTCCCCCAATTAAAATATGTCAAGTTAAGTGCTACAAGCTATCCCATTCCTTTTCAACCATACAGCCATACGGAGAACACCTGGTATGTGTGAAGATGCAGAACCAAATTTCACAAGCATGAGTTCCACCTGGAAACCTTAAGCTGTAAGCCACTAGCAATTTAGCAGCAGCTGTCTGCAGTGGAGCCTTCTGGTGTGTCTCATTTAACAGACCATTGCTAAGTAGAGTGCAATCCTTTGCAGTGTCTTTAGCAGCAGTATTCTGTGAAGGAGCCTTCCTTTGCTTTTATAGTGCCAAACGACACAGTCTATAGAGGATTCATAACAACAGCAGCATCATAATCCCTGACCCCCGATCAGCTGTGAGGCTGAAGTTTGAGGTGTCTGAATTATTAGCCAGACTTCAGGAAAGCAGCTATGGAGGTAAATAAAAAGAGGGTGTTTTTTTAAAAACACAAGCTGAAATTAAACGAATTAAACAAGATTTATCCCTATCCACAACCTGCTGCATTTTTGTGCCGGTGAAGAGATTCAGAACAAAGCATTTTCTGTGTTTTCTCTGCTCCTAACTTCAAAGTCACTACTGAAGTTGAACCATCACTGCACAAATTATTTACCGTTAGTGACTTTCCCTGTCAAGTGCAACTGACACATACTGCAAGCTGTACCTACCTCAGGGGGGGCAACAGGACACTAGTTGGAACAAACTGTAACTTGCACTACTACTGTCTGATCAAAATAAATGAAAAGAAACCTAGCCTCACACCTTTGGGTGTTTCTGTTGCTTCTTCCCTATTGTAACAAACATCGAACCAACCCGTAACTTCTGTGTACCATTACAACCCCACTAGATAGCAAGCTAGGTAATATGCTTACTTAGCACAACAGTGGTACAATAATGCATAATTTAGGTTCTTTCTCTCTCTCTCTGTAGTCGTCATGCTCTCTCACCATCCTCTGTAGCCAGTTCGGCCTCAGATACGTCACAGTCCTCACTGGGCCTTCTCTCTCCCTCTCCATCTGATTCCACCTGGAGGTAGAGGTGATATGAGAAAAAAACGAAAAACAATTTTTGAGCCCCTGTCTTGACCACTGGAAATCTGTAAGCCTATTTTTGCTGGGATGATGAGTCATCCCTCAAACAAAATTAATGACAAAATAAAAATCCAGCAATAAAATATCCTGCTCAACACACCTCTTTCTTGGAAGACTGGGGGCAGTAGAAGAAATAGTGTGAGTTGGAAGGAACAGCTTTGAAATACTGAGCACCGATATCCATGAACTTGTCCTGTAAAAGAAGAAAATTAGTGCCTTTACATGTACAAAGTAATCACACAACTCAGGGTGTACATGAGTCAACAATCAGATTCCTTTTTAAATACATGACACACACTACTGTTCAAAGGTTTGGAAGCACTTAGACATATTAAACACAAGAACGTATTAAATGACAAATAATATACTGCAGTTAGGTATTTACAGTTATTCCTTGATCAGTGATTTGATCACTTTTTAATTGCAAGACATTCTGCATGTTAATTTTGAACTCTGAAACTTTTTTTACAACTTTTTTTTATTATGGTATCATATACAGCTCTGTTAATCATTGATGACACATATAACATGAAAATAGTAATACAAAAAAAACAAAACATTTCAGATGAATGGTATGCCGCTTTCATTACCACTTAAACAATCTAGTAATTGCTTAAATCAGATAACGTTCATATTATTGCTGTACATGCAAACACTCATTTATGAAATTTGTGGGGGTAAGCTATGAGTTTCTTAGAGTTTGATGTAGGATACCTGTATGATTTTATGCAGGTTAGGGTATACCTCACACTTCTGCTGAGAGTGCAGGAGAGACAGAGGGAATTCTGGGATTCTGTGCGACTTGGGTTCATCCGAAGCCAGGGGGGACGTGGGTGTAGAGACATTTCCTTTAGACTCCACCTCACTTATTTCCTCCTGATCAACACTAAATAGAGGACATTCAACAAACATTGGCACAAGTACAAATCACTGATGCAGAAATGATGTACAGCGTACATGTACACTTCTATCTAAGGGAGAAAAGTGAACTCAAACCATGTGACCATGTCACTGTTGGGGTCAAGCATTCAGGCCTGTACTGTTCTACTGGTACACTGGTACTCACTCACATGTGGAGAATATGGTGAAGACTTCAAATGTATTATTTTGAATGTATTTTCTACATTTGTGGAGACCAGTGCCTGTGGTTTTCACACCACTGAACTCCCAAATAGTCATTCTTCTTGGTAATGGGGAGTTTGCATTCCAAGTCTACTATAAAATCCCTCTCTCTGTAGTTGTGGACAAACTGTTCATGCTGACACAGTATGGTCACGTCCTGCATTGACATTCTCAATGCCTCAAGAACAGCTGTTCTTCTGTTTTTCCTCACATATCACACAAATGCACAAGCATCATGCTCATTGAATATGTGCTTTTGACCACAATTTCAGCCCTATTTACTGAGGTTTTTCCCCATAGATCTAATGCAGATGTCATTTCAGTCACTGTTGCCTTTGAGACACTAGCCAGTTGAGCAGACTTAATTACTGAAGCTCCTGCAATCTGTGCACCAATAATGAACCCTCTGCAAAGTCATTTAAATCTTCTTCCTGTACTACCTAGATCACAAATGAAGGTCAACTCTACCTGTTCAGCATTTTTATGCATACCACAGAGCATGATAGGGTATTAATTGCTTTATCGTATCATGCACTAAAGCTGTCTGGAAGCATTTGCCCTCATGATGCTTATCCACTGAGTTATTCAGGTTTTTGCTTTTATTTGACACACGTCTATATTTCACTTCTGGGTATTAATTGGGCTCTCTGAACTGGCACATTAAATTTGAAAGTAAATGATGAATGATAAAGTGAGAGCTTTATTTTAATTCCTATATAGTTTAGCCAATAAAGAGGTAAATGACATCAAAATTAAAGCAGATATTGTGCAATTCCTTCTACAATCCTTCAGCAATTATTTCATTTCAAATACAGTGTGCTGGGATGCAAATGTCTTTGTGTGAATAGTTCATGATGAATGGACCAACAGAAATTATTTGCGATTACTTAAATAAATTTTGTCCTTTACAGTTTCAGTTGAAGGAGGACAGGGACTATATGTAAAAATTACATTTACATTTAACTAGGTAATGCAGCCATGTCCTGTAAGTTCAGTCGGTACCTGGATGAGGTGGCTATTGTAGCTCTGTCAGCTCCATCATCTTCGCCACCACCGATGATGAAGGTGGCTGCCAAGCCAGGAGTCTTCCTGGCGTTTTCTTGACCGCGGGGTTCATGGCGCTCGCGGAATGTGCGAATGTGTCCACAAAGTGTCTGCAAGAAGGAAGTGATGTCGATTTCCTGCAGAGACTCCTCACAGTAATCCATGGCTGTCAGAACGTCCTGAGAGCTGACATTGTATGACTGTTGGAGACTGCGGTACACACCTGGGGGCCAGAGCAAACACACATACTCACATACATACGACAATAAGGACACAAAGTGTCATTGATGCAAAGCACCAGCATGTAGTATCCAATTGGTAATTTTTTCTTTGTTATTTGGTTGATTTTTGCGGACATTACCATAACTCAGCTGACTTATGCAGGTTGGGGTAGAATAACGTAAGAAAGTGAAATTCTTCCTAAACTAAATTCAAGTGTTTAAAATATTTAAAATGAACATTTATTGATGTTTAACATATAACTTTATTTATCCAAAAATAAGAAGTATGTGGCTGTGGCTTTCACATGTTAAGAGGAGTTGTGGACATCTAAAAGTCATAGACACGGCATTATAGTCAGAGAATATTTGGGCATCAGCTACACTGCTGTGTCTGATCCACATGTACAACCGCAACAGACACTAACGTGACACTACTACATCAGTGCTGAGAACGATCCACTACCCAAATAACACCTGCTCTGTGGTGGTCCTGTGGGAGTCCTAAACATTAAAGAACAAAGTGAAAGTAGGCTAACAAAGTATACAGAGAAACAGAGGGACCACAAACTACAAAGTGCTCCTATATTGCAAGTGGAGCTGAAATAATGGACAAAAAGATAGATACAAGGAGGTGTACTTAATGAAGTGACTGGTCACACATGCAATGCATAGCAGATCACATTAAAATATGTCTAAGTATTTTATTGTGACTTCCTCTCCCTTCTGTCATTTCCCAAGATACCTTTGAAAAACATACACATTGTAGCTAAGCTGCATCAATGCATCCTTGAGTATGTGGAGAAGCCCTGGGAGAATTTGGGGGTTTTAACAGTAAGTTGAGGACCAAGCAAAATTCAGGAAATCACCTTCATATAAACTATAAAGCAGGGCTGGACTAGGAACTATATTCAGCCCTGTCTAGACCAGCCCCCTAAACTACAGTGACTTAACCCCACAATGACAACTCCACACCCCCACCCCCATCTCTCCCTAGCTATCCTTCACAGTTTAACTTTCATGTTGTCCCCATTAAGTTCAGAATTTAAAAAAACTTTTATTACTTTTTAAATAAATGTATGCCTTATGCCAAGATATACACTGTTAGAAATAAAGGTACTGTGTAGGTATATTATTCTGATCATTAAGATACAGACAATGTAAATGTACCCTCAAAGGTACAACAGTTCTTTTTAGAACCATTAGTGAACATTAGAAAACTAAAAAGTTACATTAAAGTGTTTCTGTAACATTTGCTACACTATGTGTCCAAAAGTATCCAGACAACCATTTCAAATTAGCAAGTTTAGCTACAAGATGTTCCAAGGTGCACCCATTGCTGACACAGATGTTCGATTGTGCACACACAGCTGTTTAAAACTGTACAATCATTGAGGCAGAATGTAACCAAAATCATCAATGTGCCTTAATGTAATCAAATCTTCACAGCAACGTTCATCTAACAGAAAGCCTTTCCAGAAGAGTAGAGGCTGATAAGGGTTGAGAAAGTTCCTATTAAAACATTTGATTTCAGAAGACACAAGGATGAGCAGGTGTCTACAAACTTTTGGACATATATTGTGGTTACTAGTACCTACCATTAATGCATATTATCAGCCAACAACACTTTGTGTGTATGTACTACCTCTGACATAACTCTGATAGTAGTGTTCCTGCAGCAGGCTGCAATAATTGGCCAACTCCTTTTGCTTGTGAGGGTGAGCTGTCAAATCTGTCCATGAGGAGGCGCTACTGCGCTCCTGAGAGAGAGACCTAAAACAAAAACAACACCACCAACTACTGTTAATGAAACAACTTTCAAGCCCTCCAATCCCTAATGGATATTATTCAGGGAGGATACAAAAAGGTAAGAGTAAATTTTACAAAACAAGCTTCACAACAGATCAGCTCTTTCAGGATTTTAGTACATAACTATAGCCTGTGATGCTGCCTCCAGCCAAGTCAAACACTGACTATAGCAGCCATGTATTTAGACTTGGTTTGGCAATTACATAAGCTGGTGAGTGAAGACCAGAACTGTTACTAAACTTTGTTGAGCCACGTTCGAAAGCATTGTAAAATACACAATATGCACACAACTCAACTGAATTCTGTATTAATACACCTGGGTATTCACCACACATTGTATTTTACATTGTATTTTAAATGACAATTGTAGGCTTAATCTCAATGGTTAAAAAGCACTACATGTTGACATATATACATGATATGTATGTGTGCACTGCAGGTGGTGATCACACTAGTCTACAGCTGCTGGCTGAGAAACTAGGTAAAGAAAGCTCAATACAGCAAGGTGTCCAGAGGTGTCCAGCAAGGCGGCTCCAGAGCATCTGGTAACATTCTTAAGCCAAAGCAAAGCAATACATGAAACAAGAAACAAATCCATAACAATATAATTGTACATAATGTCTGATTAAGGAAATTCAGAAACCGTAAGGAAAACAGATAAGGTTTGGAAACAGTGTCTTAAAGTGGAATAAAAAGTGGATAAAATGAGGTAATGTGTCAATGTATAAAAACTACAATGCAAGCCAGTCTGGCTGTCCCCAAACTAAGGTATAGGCGAGCATGACAGTCACTTAGCACTCCACCAAAACAGTAAGGAAAATATTCTGAGATAAGAGTGAAACATTCAAGTGACAGTTCAGTGAAAAATCAAATTTACACAACTTCCCCCTTACTAGGGATGTAACCAAAAAAAAAATTATAACAGTGGCCAGGATAAACCCGGTGAATTTACTGGGGTGGCAAAACAATAAAAAAAAATTCTCCTGTGTGTATATAAGTGCTAAAATAACATAAAGCTGTGGTGAATTTACTCAACACAACTACAGCTGAAAGTAAACTGAACAACAAAAATGAGTGTTTTATTTGTTCCAGACAAAATTATGTACACAATTTAAACAAGTAAATTAAATGCATCACTTTTCAGTGCAATAAGGTACAACCCCAATTCCAAAAAAGTTGGGATGCTGTGTAAAATGTACATAAATGTAATAAAAACAGAATGCAAGCCTGAACCCATATGTACTTAGCTGTAGAAGTTATTAGTGAACATGGCAAATGATTGTAGCTGAGTAATTTTGGATGCTTAGCAGATCTTACCTTTGTCTACTTCAAATAATGTGGCTGACTGAGTGCAGTGGAAACGAAAGTGCTGAGCAAGCTATTGATGTGGTCATAATTCTGAGTAAATTAAAAAAAATAACAATATTGGCTGGTTAACCACATTTTAAATGGAAGAAAGTGTTTTTGTACCTGTTCTATAAAACATCTGACTGGTAACTGATGACAGATTTTCACCTTAAGCGTGACCATTCACAAAGGGTAGGCAGGACAACTTTTCTCTGGTGACTGATTTATTGATAATGGCTGACTGTGTCACTTTGCATAACTAGGGTCAAGTTTCACACTTTGGTGGCACTGGCCACCACTTGGCTGTGCCCCTGCCACCTAACCCAAATGTATTCAATCAGACAAGACTTGTTTGGTGTCTAAAGTTTGCTTCTTATGTAGGCTTATGTAGCTTACAAGTACTGGACTCTCATAATCCACCAACTAGCATCATGCACAATGCATGCCTAAATCATCACACATTTGCTTTAAGTTGTGTGTTTCTGACAATATATGATAAGCAGTTATCTATAAAGACGTACTAAGGATGCACACTTCAGACACCGAAAATGTCTTGCCCAATCAACTACATTTGGGCTAAGGAGAAATTGGTGTAGATTCAATTTTTAGATGAACTATGCCTTTAAGGTAATCTCAAAACTGCTTCTGCAGTATCAGTGCACAATGCACATTCATTAGTTTGCAGTCATTCCACTCTCTAGATGATCCAGGGAAATGCTGCAGGCAGGCAAGCAGACATACAGAGGAGACCAGTTTCAACAGGATAGGAGGTCTTCAGGAGGCACTGCAATTACAGATGGCATTCGTATGCTTCATCTCGTGTGTACAAACACTAAGAACAAGAGAGCCATTATTCTTCTGCAAAGCAGTCAAATGGGTGGGGTGACATTTATTATATTTGTATTATACTGAGGGTTTTAGACCTCATAGCCTATTGTACTGTCTGTAAGCTGCAACAGCCACACTGTATTGACTCTTCTCCAGAGAGAGAGACGGAGAGAGAGGAAGAGAGGAGAAGCCTTAAAGTGACACTTTAGCAAAAAATCAAATTTAAAAATTTTCCACCAACCCCATATTTAGATAATCTGCCATGACATGTTAGGTATCCAAAGTCTGCATCTAATGAAAGTTGTATGTAAAATTAAGAGCATTCCCGGTTAAATGGCATGTTTTGTTAATTTTCTAAGTGAAAATAAGTTAACATATCCTCTACAGGGAACACACTTCTGCACACTGTAATGCACAATTACTGTTTGCTTGCTGAATTGAACATTTCAGGAAAAAAAAAAAACATAAAATGTAGCTATTGCAACAAATATGGCAAATTTTACGTTTCCCTGTAGAAGATGCGTCAACAAAAATGTAATTTGACTCGGGGGTGCATATGACTAGAGCCCAGCAATTTCCAAACATTTGTGTCAAATATCTTATAGATAACAGCATATTATACAGTGTCAGAAGCAACAAAAGCAAAACCAGACATTGGCTGATCAACTACGTTTGGGGTAAGGGAACAATTGTGTAAATTTGATTTACTGCCTTAGAAGTTCCCAAAACTTCCTGTAATCTGTAACCCAACTCTTTGTCCCAGGACTCTGGAAGAGAACAGTGCCCTTTGCCTTTAGGGTAGCAGCTGGAAGCAATAAGCAATGCTACCTGAACTTCAGCTGCTGACTGAGCTCCCACGACTCTGCATCTTGAGGTCTATCCTCATTCAAAGAAAAACAGCACATTAGGACACACTTCAACAACTGCACAGTCACTCTCAGTGATCTAAACCAGCACAGGCCTGAGGTCTAGGTCACTGAAGAACGTCTTAATGGAAAGTTAATCTGATGAAAAATAATTCCAGCTCCAACTCCAGAGTATAGCCCTTTTGGAGCTGGACTGGTTTTACCAGTGCTGGTTCTGTAATGTAATGCAATGCGTAAGGGATTTGTGCCAATTCGTTCAGGATAAAGCATCTGTTATATTCCCACAAACAGCCTGGACTGAGAGGTCACAAATGTTTACATCAGCATTAGCCTACAGACTCCACACTCTGAATTAGACATTCTGAATTAGCATGGTTTGTTATTGGTTATTCCACACAAATCCATCTAAAACTTGGTAAATCACATACTGGATTTTCAGTAAACGTTTCAGCAAATGTTTAATATAAACAACCATGGAAAATATATAAACTGCACTCCAAGTAGATTGTTAGTAGTTTGAAATAATTGTTCTGTCAGGTGATCTTAGATCTGAAACATTGCATTTAGCAGTTTACAGAATGACATGTAGGGTGACTGGAACTGAGGGAACTCCAGGTTCAGATAAAAACAGAAGGCCATACACTCCCCATTTATTAGTCAACACTATAAGAACTGCACATTGCAGATTTGTACTAGATTAAAATAACAGATGTCAATCTTGGTAATCACTTATCCTATATTTTTCAGTGATATATCCCTAATTGATGTCCCTCATTAATCCCCATTGTTGAAATGCACATAAGCAAGCATTCCACAGAACAAACAATAAGTGGTGGTTTACACCTAACAGAATGTGAACTCTGCTTTATTGGCTCTTTTAAAGGAATTTAATAGATCTAATGCAACTCAACAGTTGCACTCTCTCTCATAATTCATTTTTTCATGACCATTTTCTACCTCTATTTATCCCTTAGAATTAAACAGGCCGTTTTTCTTGCTGGGCCTTTAAGACAGTTGAAACTATCTTAAATTTAACACAAATGGGCAGGCTCTTCTGCTGTGGGCTGAATGTGGTGTTTTTGAGATGTCAAAAAACACTTTATTACTTGTTTTCGCAGCTTAATTTCCACGTAGGGACCTCGAAAAAGTGTAAATACTACAATAAACTCAAAAGGTGAGGAAAAAAAGGTCTTCCGTGGTATGGGCTCTTTTAATTACAGAACCTCCTCAGGTAAAACTAATCCAGCTCCAATAAGGCTTACAGTGGTGTGAAGAAATGTTTGCCCCCTTCCTAATTTCTTATTCTTCTGCATGTCTGTCACACTTAAATGTTTCAGACAATTAGACAAAGATAACACAGGTAAACACAAAATGCAGTTTATAAATGAAGGTCTTTATTATTAAGGGAAAAAGAAATCCAAACCTACAGGGCCCTGTGTGAAAAAGCGATTGCCCCCTAAACCTAATAACTGGTTGGGTCACCCTTAACAGCAACAACTGCAATCAATAAGTGCGTTTGCGATAACTGGCAATGAGTCTTTTACAGCGCTGTGCAGGAATTTTGGCCCACTCATCTTTGCAGAATTGTTGTAATTCAGCCACATTGGAGGGTTTCCGAGCATGAACCGCCTTTTTGAGGCCATGCCACAGCATCTCAATCGGATTCAGGTCAGGACTTTGACTAGGCCACTCCAAAGTCTTAATTTTGTTTTTTCTTAAGCCATTCAGAGGTGGACTTGCTGGTGTGTTTTGGATCATTGTCCTGCTGCAGAACCCAAGTGCGCTTCAGCTTGAGGTCATGAACAGATAGCCGGACATTCTCCTTCAGGATTTTTTGGTAGACAGCAGAATTCATGGTTCCATTTACCACAGCAAGTCTTTCAGGTATTGAAGCAGCAAAACAGCCCCAGACCATCACACTACCATATTTTACTGTTGGTATGATGTTCCTTTTATGAAATGCTGTGTTACTTCTACGCCAGATGTAATGGGACATACACCTTCCAAAAAGTTCAACTTTTGTCTCGTCAGTCCACAGAGTATTCTCCCAAAAGTCTTGGGGATCATCAAAACATTTTCTGGCAAAACTGAGACGAGCCTTTATGTTCTTTTTGCTCAGCAGTGGTTTTCATCTTGGAACTCTGCCATGCAGGCCATTTTTGCCCAGTTTCATTCTCATGGTGGAGTCATGAACACTGACCTTAACTGAGGCAAGTGAGGCCTGCAGTTCTTTGGATGTTGTTGTGGGGTCTTTTGTGACCTCTTGGATGAGTCGTCGCTGTGCTCTTGGGGTAATTTTGGTCGGCCAACCACTCCTGGGAAGGTTCACCACTGTTCCATGTTTTTGCCATTTGTGGATAATGGCTCTCACTGTGGTTCGCTGGAGTCCCAAAGCTTTAGAAACAGCTTTATAACCTTTTTCCAGACTGACAGATCTCAATTACTGTTTCTCATTTGTTCCTAAATTTCTTTGGATCACAGCATGATGTCTAGCTTTTGAGGATCTTTTGGTCTACTTCATTTTGTCAGGCAGGTCCTATTTAAGTGATTTCTTGATTGAGAACAGGTGTGGCAGTAATCAGGCCTGGGTGTGGCTAGGGAAATTGAACTTAGCTTTCCAAAGATGTGATAAACCACAGTTAATTTATGTTTTAACAGGGTGGGGCAATCAGTTTTTCACACAGGGCCCTGTAGGTTTGGATTTCTTTTTCCCTTAATAATAAAGACCTTCGTTTATAAACTGCATTTTGTGTTTACTTGTGTTATCTTTGTCTTATATTTAAATTTGTTTGGTGATCTGAAACATTTAAGTGTGACAGACATGCAAAAGAATAAGAAATCAGGAAGGGGGCAAACACACCACTGTCTGTGAGCATAAGCATGTGAGTGTGCTTTTACCTGAGGAAGACATCTCTTGGTTGACGGCTGGAGTGTGGGTGGACAAGCTGATCTTTGAGGGAGTCTAGAGAGCAGTTGTAGATGTAGACGGGACAACGCGGCCGGGCTGCATCTCCAGCACTCTGCTGGGATAGCTGCCTCCCAAAGCTGATGTGGCAGTCCTGCTTTTGGGGCTCAGCAAACTGCACTCCATCCTTCTCCTCTATAGCCAAGGCTGAATATACAAGAGAGCACAGACAAACAGGCAGGATGGACATACAAGGGAAAAAAACAAGCTGCATTCAAAAATTATCACAGTGTAGGTGAAATGGACACAAATTTTTCTTTTGCTTTGACACTCCAACTCATCTCAAAGATCATGTTCAACTCTTTCATCACTTCTGCTTATCCAAAAGGTCTTTAGTGGGGCTTCATCATCCCAACTCATCTGAAAGGTGTAAACTGGAGCTTCATGACTCCAACTCACCCCACAGGTTTTCCATGCAGAGTCATTACTCCAACTTATTCCAAAGGGGTTCAATAGAGCTTCATCAAGTGTCCCATTTTATGGCCAATATGTTTCTGTGTAGATTACACTGCTGTGTGCATGCATATTAACATCTGATCTAGATACTTTTGGACATTCGTATACATCTGTTCTAATCTAATCTCCGAGGGAAAACCTAGCCACAGGACAGCTATGCCGCTGTTTCAGCGACTTGTAAAAAGCTACTGTATGTAAAGAACAAATATAAAAAATATTGATCAGTGACCATCATTATTGACATTTTAATAAAAGCTCACCAGAAAGAAACACATACAAACAAATCCACAAGCCCAAACTTCACCATCACAATAACTATATACCTGCATTTCCATTAGATTGCTCTGAAGGCTGTTTCTCCTCATCCTCTTCATGCCTTGCTGTTTGGGCTTCAGGATTTAGCAGTAACTGACTATCACCAGCTTCCACCATGGACTCTGCCTCTTCAGGACCATTGGCTGAGCTGCTGATTGAGTCACTCTGTGACTGGTTGTTTCCAGGACTGAGTGTCTCCTCCTCTTCATCACCGGCACCATTGACTTGGGGTATGATTCCCAAACCAAAGGACATTAAAATCTGCACATCTGAAGGAACAAGGAAAAACCTCTCTCTCATATATATATATATATATATATATATATATATATATATATATATATATATATATATATATATATATATATATATATATATATATATATATATATATATATATATATATACACACACACACACACACACATACACACTGCCTGGCCAAAAAACCGCCTTTATCTTTGATTAGCTGTGGCATCATTTCCACAAGCTTCTGCAATGTCACAAAATTTATTTCTGTCCAGAATTGCATTAATTTTTCCCCAAGATCTTGTATTGATGATGGGAGATTTGGACCACTGCGCACAGTCTTCTCCAGAACATCCCAAAGATTCTCAGTGGGGTTCAGGTCTGGACTGTGGTGGGCAATCCATGTGTGAAAATTATGTCTCATGCTCCCTGAACCACTCGTTCACAATTTGAGCCCGATGAATCCTGACATTGTCATCTTGGAATATGCCCGTGCCATCAGGGAAGATGGAAATCCATTGATGGAATAACCTGGTCGTTCAGTATATTCATGTAGTCAGCTGACCTCATTCTTTGGGCACATAATGTTGCTGAACCTGACCCACTGCAGCAACCCCAGTTCATAGCACTGCCCCCACAGGCTTGTACGGTAGGCACTAGGTATGATGGGTGCATCACTTCCAATCTTTATGCTCCCTAGCAAATTGAAGCCGTTTTTGCCGGTTAGCCTCACTGATAAGTGGTTTTCTTAAGGCTACACAGCTGTTTAGTCCCAATCCCTTGAGTTCCCTTCACATTGTGCATGTGGAAATGCTCTTACCTCTCACTATGTAACATATCCCTGAGTTCTCCTGCTGTTTTTCTACAAGTTGATTTCACCAAACGTTTAAGTGATCGCCCATCACGATCATTCAAGATTTTTTTCCGACCACATTCCTTCCTCGAAGATGATGTTTCCCCACTGTCCCTTCCACTTTTTAATAATGCGTTGGACAGTTCTTAACCCAATTTTAGTAGTTTCAGCAATCTCCTTAGATGTTTTCTCTGCTTGATGCATGCCAATAATTTGACCCTTCTGAAACAGATTAACATCTTTTCCACAACCACAGGATGTGTCTTTCGACATGGTTGTTTAACAAATGAGAAGCTACTCACTGCATCAGTCAGGGTTAAATAACTTGTTGCCAACTGAAACATAATCACCCATGCAGTAATTATCCAATGGGAGGCTCTTACCTATTTGCTTAGTTAAATCCAGGTGGTGACCTTTTTTTTGGCCAGGCAGTGTATATATATATATATATATATATATATATTATATATATATATATATACACACACATATATATGCACAAATGTTTAAGTTTCAAATATATTTAATTATTCTGATAATTATTTAATTCAATGTTACCAATCATCATCCTCATTCACATCACCATCCTCAATTATTATTATTATTATTATTATTATTATTATTATAACTATATAGCATAATGATTTGTATAATTAGTCGAATGATTTAGAATAGAATTTTAAGAATGCTATTTAAGGGGTTACATTTCCAGAAAAAAAAAAGTTAATTATCTTTTCTTAAAAATCCATAAACTACACAATAACAACCATTTACTTAATGTTGCAGAGTGAATATACATTGAATGGGAAAAAAGCAAGGTATTTGTCCTGTAATTGTGAATTACAATAATGGATGCAGTTAGTGGGTTGTTTTCAGTACCAGTGAAGGTGGCTGGGAGGAAGACAAGCAGGACTTGCTGAGGGCTGATGAATTTAGTATAGCATTTCCACAGAGGAGACGAGCTTTCTCCAGCAACCACCACAGGCTCTTCATCCACAAGATCTGCATTGCTGAAACTCTGCCAGTAAACACAAAACACACAGAAACACATACACCAACAAACAAATATCATTATTATCTGTACACACAGAGACTGACTAAAAATTAGGTTTTAACTTAATGCAGTGATCTGACCTGCAGCTCAAGAGTTTTTCTAAAGCAATAAGCCATTTAAGGCTGTGCATTACAGTAATTTTTACAGTTTACAGGAGGCATTGTTGGGCATTAAGCAGACTACAACAGTGACAACAAGCCTAGCTCAAACAGCATTTTACAGGCTTTAAATACTCGTTTATAATTCATAAAGAGTACTTTAATACTCACTTATAAAGTCACTTCTAAAAACAATACTATGCAAAGCATTTTTCAGTTATCTGACTGTCGAAACAGGAACACTTCCATTAAAATGTTCCCATCCACACTGTCTACGCTAGACACACATCTAAGTCCGTCAAAACAAAAGCCCCTTTTCAAGAAGATCCATAGTAATCCAGTCAAATCATACTCTCCACTCCCCCTTTGAGTTTGTTGTAGTTTATTTATTTTTAACAATTTCCATTTGTTAACAATAACCGTCCATTCCTGTTTCAAAAATGCTAAATATAGAAACAAATATCAACATGATGAATACTCAAATTATTTGGGTCAGGCCTAACAAAACGCAATATAATAAAAACATCTGTGTCCAATAAATAATTTCATATATTATTAATAAAAATAATCACAATAATCCTGCCACTTAATAGTTTACAGTAGGCTATAGTAGGGATGGGCAATATGGACCAAAAATCATATCTTGGAATTTTGAGGCTGAATGGCGATACACGATAAATTTCTCAGAACTGAAGCAAGCTAAATGTTCAGTTGTAAGTCAAAGCTACATGTAAGACACAAGCACTTTTAATATAACAGACTGTGATCAAAATAAAATGCAAAGACAGGGTTTCTGTTCCTGTTTGGAAATATACAGCTGCACAATATATTAACGTAAATGAAAAATTATATGAAATAAATAGGTCTATTTTTATTGAAATATATTGAGATATTGAAATATATTTTTGGGAATATTCCTTCAGTTGTTTTCAACAACAATAATAGACTGATTAAAATAGAGCACAAAATAGAGTAGAGTGCTAGCCTTGCCCCTCTTAGGGGTGGGTATAAGGGGGTATTTTTGGCAGGTGTTGCCAAGATTTCTACTCCTACTGATAAAACATTCCTTCTTGAGATAATAGACATATGCTTTACATAGTGTAACCTACACACCAAGATAAGTCACCAGAATAAGTTTGATATGAATGAGACCTTGCACCCCCGACATAAGAGTTTAGTATGATTTCCCCTGACTGTGTAAAATCTGCTGACCCAAATTATTCTTAAAAACAACTGCCATTTTTATTTACAAGAGCCAATTTTTGTTGATGCACTACAGATTAGGGGTGCGACGACTATTAAACTTAGTCGACTAAAATGGACAACCAAATTAGTTGGCAACTAATTTAATTGTCGATTAGTAGGTGACGTCATTATGCGTCTTTCTTGTGCTCACTAGGAACGTTTTGACATTACAGCTTACTGGAGAGTTAACAACAGCACGATGGCAGATTCAAGAACAAAATCCACAAAAGTGTGGGAGAATTTCACACTAAACCTCAGAAAAAAACGTTGTCAGTTGTGCCGTTTGTAAAGCCGGCCTTAGCTGGCATGAGAGCACATCCTCCATGTTGGAGCCTCTGAAGAAGAAACACGTCAGCTCACTGGATAAAGAAGATTCATATCAGCAAGATACCGCCCGTCCCAAACCGCATACCAGCACACTAAATTGTGTGTAAAAATAGTGCATATACCATTAGAAGTGCACTCATTAGTGTAGTATGCGAAGTACAGAAGTGTGTGGTTTAGCTAGTTAGCTAATAAATTTAAAAGCTAATAGCAACATAAAAGTTATTTGGTAATGCAGCGATTCATAATCCGAATAATGGATTATTCGTTTCAGTAATCGAGAGACTATTATATTAGTTGTTTGTTGCAGCCCTAGTTCAGACTACGTGCATTTATAATCTAATTCATTAAGCACTCTAGATTTGTCTTAGCTAGATATTACTTAGCTTAGCTTAGAGGTAATTAGGGTACATTTGTTCAATATGACATTTTCAAAATCTCATTAAAAGAAAAATGAAAATCATTACTTAATAATGAGAGAAAAAAGTAATACTGCAATGTCACATTGTCAGTGGTGAACTTGGTAATAGCAAGTATGTTGCTCCAAATATGAAAATTAAAACTGTGCTTATCTTATTCATTATGACAAGGCATTCAATCCCGGAGTGCTGTGACAAAAACCAACATCTTTAATGCATGAAGGAAAATGAAAGACATGTTATTTACACATAGAAACAACTGAAATCAGCAGTGTAATCGGTATATTGCACGTATATTCAAAAGGCAGTCGGATTCTGCCAGTTTGCACGCAGAAGTAAGAAACAGGTTATATAACTATACCGACATAAACTGTATTGTCTCATCCTATATCTCATTTGAAAATATACTGATATACTCTAAAAAGTTGATATACCGTCCAGCCCTAGACTATAGTCATCAAATAACATAACGATCAATGATTATTCCATAAACTGCACAATGGTTCATTAACATAGAGAACATTTGAAGAGAGTAGGGGGTCATGTGTGTGTATCAAGTATTTTGCAGCATTTTCAAAGGTGGCTCAGCCAATCAGATTTTAGAACCAGAATTATCCATTTTTTAATAAAGACTTGAACTTCAGTGAACCTGTCTGCCTTGTCGAAGTTAGAGCATCACTTTCCGAGAGAGTTTTGTGTATGTCCTGGGGGATCAGGCAGCAGTTTTATGAGTGAGGTTTGTGAGATGTAAAAGTGGGGAGTACCTGCAGAGTGCTGGTAGAGCCAGTCACTTCCTTACTGCTCCCTATGGTGTGGAAAGACAACACCGTATCCTGCCTCTCAGGTGGTTTCAGACACTCCTCTACATACACACACACAGAATTATAGTGCACAAAACTAAATCAAAATGAAAAGATTTACCTAATGAATTAATTATATGTACGTCAACTTACTATTGTCATATTGACCAATATCAATTGACCAACATAACATAGACGAACAGAAATGGTCCAAAACTACTTTGAATAAAAACTTTTTACATCATGTCCTACATTTTTTGCATTATACTGTTTTCCCTGAGGTCCACTTATGATGTTTGCATGAGTTTCTGTACCAAAACAGACATAATACATTTTTAAATGACCATTTTCCAATCTCTCTTCATTCCTTAGAATCAAACAGGCTGTTTTGGTTACTGTGAATTTAAGACTCATATTTGTAAATGGCCTCTGTGCTGATTGGCTGCTCTGTATTCAGAAAGCAGCCTGGGTGAAATTGAAGAGGCCAAACAGCTGTAGGCTAAATAAGCTAAATAAGGCTCTTTAAATTTTTTTTCCATCTTCTATAAAGTTAACATTTTGGAAATATGAGGTTGTATTATGATAAAGTTACGTTCATGAGCAGACAGGTTCATTACCTTTAATTACAGGTAAAGAGAAAGGAGCCATGTGCCCATCTCTCTCTCTCTCCAGAATATGATGCATGAAGGTCACATGATCTCCATCAGCCAATGGTATTTCCCGGTCGCTCAGCTCATTCTGTAGGGAGCTGTGGAACAGGCTGAGTAGCAGCTCATTTGGTAGAGAGGGGGCGCTCTGGAGTGGGTCTTCATTCTCTGCTATATAGAAGGGAGGATATGGAAATAAAAGACCACAGTGAGTGCTACAGAAATCAGCATTGCTCCACAGCAATAATGTGTCTCCATAGTCAACAGCCAGATTCACCAGCAACACTTGCAATTAATGACAAATCATATGCTGTCAAGCAAACAGTAACAGTAATAGTTGTTCTGCAGTGGTGTGCTACTGATGGAACTTAAATTCATGCAATGACCGGAGTGCACTGAGAAGTCAGGAACAAAACCTATGTTCTTGATAACCTAGACAAACTTTTATAAAGGCTTATTCCCAATAGCGGCAGTTGTTTATAAAGGCTGCTTTTGGCAACTTGAGTGTCAAGTTGATATAACATGTGTTTAAGTGCCATAGTTTTTTAATGTCGTTAGGTTGTCATAACACTTCCTGGAGTAGCATGTTATGACAGTCTACTTTTCAGCTCAGTGTAGTTTTGGTATGTCAAACACTTAATGGTGATTATGTAACACAACTTGACATAAAACTGCAAAAAGAGAATTCAGTATATTTTCTCTGATCCTACATGAGTGTTATATGTGTGTTCATAAGATTACATGAAAGCCTAAGGAAATGTCATGACACTGTAATAACAGAGTTAAATAATTTTCTCTTGCCCTTTGGTAAAATATTATATTTATTCCAACATGAACTTTCTGAATCGCTACAGCAATGGCATAACACTGTACTAATGTAAAGTGAGTTTAATTTTGTGGTTTATAAGATTTAATGAATGTTAATGTAAAAGTAATGCCAAAAATCTGAAATGAGTTCTGTATATTTTATTTTTTTTGGCTTTTCCATAAAATAAGTAGTTTGTGCAAAAGCTTTATGCTGAACATTTAGGCACTCAAAATGCTACTTTATACAGCCCAGTCTTTTCATTCTCTCTTTGTGGTGGTGCTCTAAGAAATGGCTTTCCCGTACACAATACTCAGTTCTCACTGAAAGACTAGTTTAAGGCCATCTTATGTCATCTTCATCTTCATTATCCAAAAGCAGCCTGGTTTGGTAACCAAGGCGCAAAGGATCAATAACAGCCCGATTCCCCAGACATAATGGACATTTGTTTACTAAAGGGATTAACGCCCCTCTGGACGGGACTAGGACACTTAATAACTTTACGGCTGGGTTCCCAGACCTCTTCTTCCTTCTTATATCAAGCTATACTCTCCACACCCGTAAGCTATACTGTGATCTGAATTTCATTAACTTGAACTTTTATGAGGAAATCTGTTTTTCCAACATTATGGAAACTCCTGCCACTACCACACACCAGAACTCAACCTTTTCAAAGACTAACACAATTATAACTATATATTATAACTATATGGTTTTATCATGAAGATATCCATTCGCTGTCTTGTAAATTTGTTTGCTGTGATCCACTGAGTGGAAAATGGATCATGTCCAGTCAAAGGGACATCTTTTTTCTTTCTATTGTTAAAGCAACATTATGCAACCATTTTACTTTAAAATAAAGTTTCAAAACCATTTTGATGGTACACTGACTTAAAATAAGCAGACTGTCATCTCTGTCATTGCCACTCTGGGTCCATGAGAGCCCTCATAGGCAAGACCTCTCGCAAGAAATGTGTGACGCTTTACACCACCACGTCACACACAAACAACCCAACTAGCTATAAGAAGCAGCTAGCTCAGTAATCCAAGAATGGACATCATAGCAGAGGCTGTGAAGCGAAGATGACACTGTGGGAGGAAGCGAAAAAGAGAGCGTGACCGAGTAAGAGACCGAACAAGATCTCGGACTGGCTTGTACCCGCTGGCGAGAGCTAAAACAAGAAAATCCAACCGCAGAGTGACCATCCCTGAACATGTTATTTATGAAATATTGCGACGTAGGCTGTAACCTTATCTGTGTCATCCCTGTCTCAAGGAGTTTTTTTGGTTTTTACATTGTCAAAAGGTGACGCTATTTATTGTTTGAACGAAACTGTCACAACGCTGTCACAACCTCACTAGTAAGTAACACTGCTGTACAGTGTTATGACTACCTTTTGGCAACTTAGCAAAATTCCATGAAGTTCTATGCACAACATGGGATTTATGAAAATTCTAGGAGGTTGTGACAACGTACTGACAACATTGCCACTATGTGGTCACAATGTCAGATAATGTTAAAATCATGGTAATGCCTGATTTTAAAAATCCTGATCATTGTTGAAAATGTGAGATACCCCACATATAATGATATTTTCCACTTTTTTTCTGTCCTTGATCGTTGTTAGTCTTCAAAGTCCTCAGACTACACAATCTGTCCTGAATGAAACACAACACACTTTCAGATCTGCAAGTTAAGTTTCTGTTTGTTTATGTGTTTGTTTTGCTTGTTTGTGATAATTGTAGTATTCATGACCATAGTTCGGAATTATTACTGTTGACCAGCAGTAAAAATTGTGAATTTTATCTCTCAAAAATTTAGAGAAAGTGCAAGCAGAGTTTTGGTCTCTCCTGTTATGAGGTCCATGACCCTAAGTCGAACCATGTCCCTGATTAAGAACTGAATTGAACTTCTGTCTCCTCTGAAAGAGAGAGATTCTCTCCCAAATTTCAAATTATGTAGCAATTATCGGTACTGTTTCAAGAATAGTATGCGAAATGGACACTATTAGAAACAGGAGACAAACTGTGAAATGCACACATGGCAACTAAGTTAGCTTTTAAAACGTGCTATGTCATCTCACACCAGAGTGTTATGACAACCTAATGTCAAATACAGTTACGTCAACTTGACAATTAAGTTGACAAAAGTAGCCTTTATGACAACTATTACTTATTAGAATAAGTCTTTATAAATGTTTATGTAGGTTTATGTCAGTTGTCATGAAAGGCTTGTGCAATTGCCAGGTAGCCTTATGAAAATATTTTACATGGTTTTACATTTATTTGCATTTATTCTTATATTATATAGTATTTGTTTCTGAAATTTGTTTCTGAAAAATTACTTACTGGCCAGATAAAGAGTTTTAAACAATTTTCTTGACTGCCTAAACCTATGACAGAACTGTTTATTCAAAGAAGCTATACAAACACAAACCTTGTGCTCAATCTCACTTCCATGAAATCTGCACATTTGCACATTAATTCTGTATTACTTTCTTTTAAAGATAAACTATATGGATATCTACAGGAGCTTTTACAACATCCCATATATTCATAGGCAATAATATGGAGGTGACCCCACCCCCATCCCCCCTTTTGCAGCTATAAATTCCAATATGCTGGGAAGGCTTTCTACAAGATTTTGGAGTGTGTCTGTGGGAATTTTGCCCATTCATCCAAAAAAGCATTTGTGAGGTCAGACTGATGTTGGATGAGAGGGCCTGGCTCTCCACTCTAGTTCATCCCAAAGGTGTTCGTTGGGGTTGAGGTCAGGGCTCTGTGTGGGGCAGTCAAGTTCTTCCATACCAAACTCACCTAACCATGCCTTTACGGACCTTGCTTTGTTCACGTTTGTGTGAAGTTTGACACAGAAATGAGTCTGTTGAGTATGTGAGAAACATAAGAATGTGAAAGAGTACAAAGAAGGTGAGGTGAGAGTACCTTTGCTGAAGGTGAAGAAGAATAGCTCTATCTGCTGACACTTAGGCAGGAGCTTCATTAGGTCAAACTGAAAAGGCACCGTGTGTATTCCGTCAGCAGGAGCAGCAGCTGGGGCCTCACCTGCAAAACACACACACACACACACAAACACACACAAACGCATACACATGCACACAAAGTAATAAACTTACAAACAAGTACATACAGTTAGAAAAAAGTAATAAAAAGGTGAGGAAGAAATTCATATTGAGAAAAAATAAATTAATGGCTATAATCTTCACTCCCATAAGCACGTGTGTTGCTTACCTGTCAAGTCTTTGCCGCCAATGAGAGGGTGCACCTGATCTTTGTTCAGACACAGCTGGATGAGGTACTCAAATGTCATCATAGTGGACATGCATGACAGATCACGAGGAAAAATCTACAAGAGTAAATGAAAAAAACAACTAAATAAACAAGCTATATATCAGATACAATACGTTAATTCTGCATTAGATATATATCTATTAGATATGTATATCATCAATGCCATAAGAAAATGATATATTTACAAATACTGTCACTTTACAGAACAAGAATTTCCATTCATCATGAAATGTAAGCAGATGGAGTTTTCAAAAGGCACAAATTAGGGCTGCATGATATGGACGTAAAGTGCAATGTGCAAAAAATAACTAATGAAATTCTAATAGCTATTTACATCAGAGCTTTAAGCATATTTATGTGCACTGTAAGGCTGAACAAGGATGCACAGTGTCACTGATATAAGCTGTTCTTATAAAGTATCAAAAGCTGTCTTGAATGCTTGTTAAGAATTTGTAGCCCGTGAAACGAGTGAGTTCCATGAGATGCTAGAAACAGTCAAGATTTTCTGAACAATCCTTCAAAAATGAATGTATTTAATTCCTTAAACAGCTCTTCTTGGTAATGCAGATTTGTTGTGACAGTAGTCATTACTACTTCATACATTTTCATACATATAGTCTATTCATTTTATGCAAAACACAGAGTGAGAACAGTTATCACACATTTTTACAGGCTAGTAGTTCTGAATAAAGTAGCTTCTAAGCTGAGCATGTGTGTTTTATAACTGGCTATACAGCTGAATGGTTAAGTCACTTGTTTTCTACAATGGAGAGCAGAGCTGCCCTGCACAAGGAAGCACCTGTTGGGCTTCAAACACTATGATCCCACCAAAGTAATTACATAATTTTGGCACTGCATGTGTAAGGTTATCTGAGCCGTCCTATCGTTATAACCACTATATACAATGTATACATACATACATACTCACATATGTACACCTGCCTTGTATCCACACACCTTGCCCATTCTATCAGGTTCACTTGCCATATTTTAGCCCCCTTTTACCCTGTTTAAAGGTCAGGACCCCCACTGGACCCCCACAAAGCAGGTATTTTTGGATGGTGGTCATTCCCAGCACTGTGCTACCAAATTATATATATATACACACATGTATATGTGTGTGTGTTGTATGACAGATAACAAATGCTATCATGTGTATTTAAATCAGAGCATTCATATGAGATTCAATTTCCAGGTGGTGATACTGCCTGAACAAGTACAGCCAAAGTAAGGAAAACAGCCTCCTGTTTATAGAAGATTAGTGTTTTATGGACAAATCCAATGAATTTAGATCATTTGGTTAGCACTAAACAAAGTGGCTGCTGGTTGGTACTAACGGCCTGAGGGATTTCCTGGTATGTGAGGTTCCTGAAGTGTCTGTGCTGATCAGAAGGACTCCAGACGGTTCCGCTCTGTGGCTCCACCCAGCACTCAGTTACCAGGTTCAGCTCTGTGTCCACATCTATGGCCTCCACCTCGGTGTCATTATCATCATCTGTGGAAAAACTGGAAAGGAGGACAAGAATATTCAATATTTAAGTTTCTTCATTCACACACTCTTTTAGAGTTATTAGAAAACTCAAACAAAGGATATTTCAAAGCTTAGCTTGTAAGGATTTATACTTGCATTTCTGACAAATGCTAAAATAAACTTTTGTTGCACTTGTACAAGGAATCCATTTTATTTGGATTCAGTATAGCTCTGTCCAGAACAAACAACATAATGCAATAAAAATAATAAAGTGAAGATAATAGATGCAAAAGAGAAAGATATTGGAAACATTGCATAAATTATAAAGTCATGTCATAAGAAGTGAAGGTGTAAGATAATAATGATTTTGAACTACGATAGTTGCAAAGTTATGTAGTGTACTATACAAGCTGTTCAAGAGTGCAAACTGAAAGAACGATTAGTGCTCAGTCACTGAAGTTACAGAACCACAGTTGGTGCTAATGAACTCAACATAAACAGAGTAAAACATTCTAGGACTCAAAATAATAAGCAAAGTACAAGCATATAAACTGTACTGAAGGTGAATTCATGTTTAATCTGACAAAACACAGTTTAGACAGAACAGATGGAGCTGCAAATCTCTAAAAGTACTAAACAGTAAACCCAGTTTAAGCGTGTCAGCTATACAAAAAAGAGATCCTTGTTTGAGCTTCAAACAAGGAGGTCAAAGGAAAAGAAATGTAACTTTGGATTTCAGTCGGTTTCAACATAGATGCTCTTACCTGTCCTTGGTGGAGGTGGCGTGGGGTGGGAAGAGAATGTACTGGACAATGCAGGTGTGATGGTCTGTGTCCAGGACTGCTGGAATCCCCTACACACACAAAAATAACAAATTACAGGTGAGAGATATTGCAAAAATATAATAGGCTACCATGACAATTGAAAACATTTTCACAATAAATACAAATTAGGGATGAACAATCTAAACAGGGACTTGGATTTAGGCCCAGTTCCAGAACAAGATTAGTGAAGGCCCATCATAAATAAATGGGGTTACACACTAAAACGCCGTCAGATGCATAATGTCTTCATACTACACTTCCAGGGCTGTTATGTGGACATACACATAGGTAGGCTGTCTAAATGCATTTTCCACATAATTTATTGCGACAACAACATTATATTGTCATATCACCCACCACACTGCAGCTTCTATGAAGGTTGGAATAAACATGGCTGAATAAATGTAGTCAGGCTAATTAATCGGGAAAACTGATCAAAGTTCATCATGTGCAAAATTTTCTTATATCTTTCAGCATATGCTGGCTTGTTAGAGCATAGACTTGATGTCTTATCAGGCTAATTTGTTTAAAATGCTAAATACATGAATAGCTAGACAGAAATGAGGCAGCACCCTATGGGGGTGTTTAAGAAAGCAAAAATTCTCAATTTAGCTGGATATATGAGTACTGTCCTATAGGAACATCACTTTCCTTTATTTCTATTGGACAGGCCTGACATTGGGCTTAATTTATGTAGCTAATTCAGAAATTTTGTTTTGTGAAATATGCCCTAAGTACTGACATATACGTTGTGTGTGTGTGCGTTTCTTTGTTTTTAATAAGTACAACCTTAGGTGTTTTGACAGCCATTGGCAGTTCTATCACCATGTTGACGATTCCCTCACCACTGGCAGCAAAGTGGAACCCCTCAGACAGACGAATCCTATAGACAACAGCACAAATAAATCCACCAGATCATTTACACTGACACCAACACATGCTTATATACTTAATGTCACTGTTACTTCAAGTTATGATCAATCATATAACTTCTCTGTCAATGCTATACGTGATTGTTGAGATTTTATTTGGTATAGCTGTTCTGCTGGCTAAAATACTGAGCAAATCTGAAAAAATGAAACATTTAAAAAAGACAACTCAGAGGGCTGGAAAAAAGCCTTTTAAGATGTCTTGTATTGCAATTAGACTTCCATTGCTTGTTGGCTTCAATAAAACAAAATACATTGTCGCTGTTGCTCAAAAATGTTTCATCCCCATTTTCTGTTGTTTTTATGTATTTATTTTAACACATCTATAAATACATACACATGTAAAGGCCAACAGGCATTTTCAAACTCTGTCAAAAACTGAAAAACGTCAAAAATGGAGATATGAGGTATTCTTCTGACAGCAGCGACATATATAAACAAACGTGTGTTTAGGGACCTACTCAGAGAGCATGGAGAGGATATGGGCAACGGCTTGCAGAGACACAGCAGTCCCTGGCCCGCTCTGCACCGTCCACACCCAGCGCTGGTGTAGGAAGTAGCGGGACAATGAGGCCAGTGTAGAGGAAGCGGTTCGGCTGGCCGCCACGCTGAGGGGAGCAGCCATGCTAGGTGGTTGAGCAAACGGCTCCATGTTTAAGATGAAGGGCGTACGGAAATCTGTCGGCAGCTTCTCATACCTGTCACAGGAGAGTGGGGAAAGTTATAGTGGACTTCACAGTGACAGACACAGGAAAGCCACATTTCTCTATTTTACATCTTTTTCCCTGACATCTGTGTGGTTATCTCTTATAATTAAACAGCCTGTTTTTGTTACAGTGGCTTTAAGACTCATTTAAGTAAGAGAGCTCTGTCCTGACTGCTCTATATTCCTCCTGTATAAAGCAGCCAGGGCTGAAATACAGAACAAGTTTAAAAAAGTTTTCAAGTTTAAAATTTTTCAAGACGTTACCACCACCTTTGAATGGAACCTTAAACATGATCTGCAAATGGACAATTATTATTTTAGCTAATTATTATTTATGTGCTGAATTTACCATATTGGAAAAAATAAGACATAAAATGTAGCTCATGCATAAGTTTGGACACCCTTTCAGTCACTACTTAATAAAACCACTTTAGCTCAAATCCTAGCCTCAAAATGTTTCTTGTAGCCAGCTAACAGTTTTTCTCTTCCTGATTTAGGACTCCCCCCTCACTTTATCTTGTAGAAAGCTTCTAATATATTCATATTAGAAGCTATAGTCATAGGCCATCTTGCATGCACACTACGTTTGAAATCTAACCACATAATCAAGTCTGGGGTCGGTGAAGGCCATACCAAAACCTTTATCTTCTGTTTATTGAAGCAATACATTGATGTATGTTTTGGATCGCCTTCTTGTAATATCTAACCTCTGTTATTCTTCAGTTTCCTCACTGACTGTGAGACGTTAGCTTCCAAGTTTTGCTCATATTAAGTAGAATTCTTTCTTCCCTCTATCCTCACAACATTTCCTATGTGTTGCCACACAGCTGAACTATAACAGATCTACCCTTATGCTTAACAAATGGCAAGGTGTTCTTTTATTGAAATGTCTCCAAAGAGTTACATTTTTGTTTCATCAGGCAACATAATTCCAAAAATGCCTGTGGCTTATCTAGTTTTGCATAGTTTAGACAATGATTTGGTGATAAGATCACAGAGCATTACTATTCTCTTGCCAGCCAAATATTCGGTTTTCCTTTGGATACTAATCTATGAGCTGTTTTATCTGAGAATTTTCTTGGTCTTCCAGATCTCTTTCACTAAAATTTCTCTTTAACATCTACAGCTTGATAATACTTCAGACAGTGAAAAATGTAAGCAGGAAGTCTTTAGATATCTTTATAGTTACAGGAAGTGCTTAGAGATCCTTATAGTCTTCTCGTGCTTTGTAAGAGTCAAGTTATTTTTAGTGTAAGATCCTTAGTCAGCCATTTTGATGAGCCCATGGCTGTTGAACGTATGCACAACAGGTCTGAAGAGTCGTATCATTTATTACATTCTGGAATTGTCACATCTGATTTGGATTAAGTACAGACTGGGGAGTTTACAGTATGTTTTAAAACTTTGACAATGTTTACACAATGTTAACAAAACTCAAAAATTTCTCATAGTGATTAGTGTGTTTACAATAAAATGCCAAATAGAGTTACAAATTAGGTGATTAAATTAGCAATAAATTTAATTCAAAACATACCTAGGACACTACAATTAAACAGAAACACCAGGCCTCGTGTTGGATATACACTGGTCACTGGTTACTGAGGGCAATTTCCTCTTCTTGTCTTTTATGGCTTGTTTAATTTAATGCCATGTTTAAAACAGAGGCACTAACTGTCAAACATTTGCTCTGACCTGATCAGCAATTTCTCCAGAGGCTTGCTGAAGATGACCACACATGGCCGGTCAGACAGTGCAGGTTTTGGTGCTGGGAGAGGAGGGGATTTGGAGGGAGAGGCATTACCCAGCACCTTCCGCTTGGTCTTTGGCGTGGCTTCTTTATTCTGGACGCGGTGAGGGAAACGCAGCCTGAGAATCTGCTCTCGTAGATCATCCACAATCTGGTCACAGGAACAGAGAAACCACTTTTTAATCACACTGTCATCAGCATCTTTTTATAAATTAAACGCGTGAGTGAAAAACCTGAAATAACATTCTAGGAAAAATGTTCAATTGACATAGAACCTTTACATTATGTGGAGGTTCTTTAAAGTTTGACACTTGCACATCACATCAACTAAAGCAAAAATGGTATTGCATTGTTCCAAAGAATGCTTTTCGCAGCTTTATTTTGAGTATGACATACCTTGTTCCTAGTGTGGGCCATCGTTCCTATAGGGAAGCCCAAACGTAGCACCATGCAGGGGGCTTTGGAGATGAGACGCACCAAATAGAAAGAGATAGGCGTCTGGTCAGCAGCACTGTGAGGGGGGGTGGAAATTCTTAATATTCATCACTACTTCTGCTCTTTATTCCTAGACTTCACCATTCATGGTATTTCCTATCTTGAATGTAGGTAACAAATATATTTTTTTTTGTAAATCACAATTTTCACGCAAAATGATTAAACCCTGTACTTATTTGAAGAGAATACTTGAAGCATACATCACAACCTTTTTGTAGTATACAGCATGTAGTCACTGTCAAAACATTTTTTTTAGGTTTGTTTTGTTTTTAGAACACCATTTAAAAACATCGGCTGGCCTGCACATTCTGTGACATTTTGAAAAGTAAACCCCGAAAGTTTTTTTTTAAATGTTACATTAACAGATGTTGAGAATGCTTTTTCTTTCTCTATTAAAGTCACTGTTTCAGAGATAAGAGGTTTTCTCATAAACTCTATTTGCACTGTTAAATACTATGGGTTAGTAGAATCAGCGTGTTGATGCCACCACAGCATGCACCAGTAACGTGGCTGAAATAATGTTCAAATTGCATCTGAAACTGGTGCAAAAGGCTAAATACATTAGGCCCTTTGTGAGCATGAAGTTCCACTAACGTGCTCAGTGGGTGGGTGTTACCTGTAAATGAGTTTGACATAGGAGTATCCCTCCACTAGCACAAAGCTGCTCCAGTCCCGCAGCAGGGAGGTCAGTGTAGAATGGGCTATTCTGCACTGAACGGTGCTGAACCTGCCATTATTGCCTGCATTGTGCACATGTTTTGGAACGGGGCTGCAGAAAGGAGATGCACAACAAACAGTTAAAGTGTTCAAGTTAATGCTATTTTTCCTCTAAAAACTAAAACAATTTCACTTCTCAAATATAGCTGAAAGAAAATAGCATCATACAATGGCAGAAATTATGTGAGTAAGTCTATTTGGGATTACTTAACAACTCAAGATAGTTTGAGGATAGTGTGGGATGATATATGCATAAAGGTTGCATCTTAATTGGTGGGGTTTAAGCTTCTATTACTCATTAGGTATAGTGGTCTTACAGCACCAAAAAAGAAGTTCAAACTAAAGAAACTTCAGACACCAAGCATGTTTTGGCTGACAAACTACATTTTGGGCAAGAGGGGAAATTACATTTTTCCTCATTTCCAGTGATTTCCAACCCCAAACCTGTGGACACCTTGCTTTGTACATTTTTAGGTTTTGTCTGCTCAGTCCCAATTTAGCTTTATAATTTCTTGGTAGAAAGCCAAGGTGTTGAATCAGATTTGTTAGATTAGGAGTGGAGGTGAGTGTGCAAAGGATATAACGTTTGGTATAACATTTTTTTTTTTTACATCAAATATTATGAGCAAATTGCCTAAAAGAAGCATTTTTGCTAAAAACTGGCCATCTATGTCTTGTCATGTTACGTAATAAATTCCGTACTGCAGCTCACTCCCAAAAATGTAACCCTAAAACAGTTGTAGTTTTTAAAAGCTAAAAAAAGATGTATCATCAGTAGGGGGTTTCCTTGTCTTTAAACTGGACGATCTCACTCTTGAGACTATTGTGGCACTGCTACATGACAGATGTTTACAGATGCTGCAATAGTAACATTTTTCATTTTGGCCAGAGTGCCCCTTAAATCATCACTCATTTGCCTCAAAATGCATTGAGCTGCTAAGTAATCTCAAATGTTCATGTGGTTTGACACCATATGACATATTGTTATATACAGAAACAGCCAAAATATGGACAAAATTCAGGCTTCTGAATGGCTGCTACTATTGTTTTCAGCTATGTGATGCATGTACAGATAACAGTATGTCATATTCTCATTTGTCTTAACCTCAGTAGAGATCTCAGCCCTACAAATCAGGAAGATGGCCACAACGTCTGTTGTGAGGACCTAAATTCAGAAGAAAGCTCCTCTGAGAGTTGAATTAAATCTAGCTATAAATAAACCAAATGAACTCACATGTCGTGCTCCAGGATGATGGTGATTCGGTGCATATGTAACCAACGCTGCCAGAAATTTGCATCCATGGATAGGATGGGCTTCCAGTAGGAGGCAAACTGTGACTGGCTGGAGTCTTTTGAGCCACTGTGCTGTAAGGAAAGGACCTGAAAGAGAGCAGGCTTATGGTAATGACAGGCAGAACTGTTTCTAGAAGGTAGCCCAAGGAATTTATATGAGGCTGTGATTAAATTACATTTACATTTACATTTTATTAAATAAAATCTTATGTCAATGTTCTAATTACAATTTGCACAACACAGAAATCTCTCTACATAATCACACTTTAATAGCATGAAAAAAACACAAAGAAGAAATAGCAAATAAGATTTAGCCACTTCTGCCTGTATCAGAATTCACTTCTGGATGTGGAAACTGTATTTGGTAGTGGTAGTTCACTGAACAGTTAATAAAACTGGTTGGATACTTTGTCATCGCATCTGATTCACAGGTAAAGGGAAGGTAGAAAATCTATAATAATCCAGACCTGGATGGAAAATTTGGTTTTGTGGCTTGTTGTGTGATTAAGAATGGGACTGAATGCATTCAACAGACTGGTTTTCAGACAGGGACATATAACATAATTGTAACATTAAAATTCATGACAAATATAATAAATAGCTTCATTTTATTATTATAATCAGACATTCTTAATATTTTAATCTGTCAATTCAAATTTCTAAAATTTCATGTGCATTCAACAACAGCATAATTGTGTTATATGGATCATTCTACAGTATTGGTTTAAGGTCAGAGTCCAAAACACAATTCAGACTTAACTGACTTGGAATAAAATCCTTTTGCTTTGAATGATCCAATACCTTAGTTATGTTTATTTTATTCAAAACACGACTGAATACCATGTTGTCATTACCAAAACCATCATAATACTACTGAAATTTTGCCAAACGTGATCATTTTGAGCATAACCCAAAAATGCTCACATAAAATCATTAAAAGCCAAAAAAGTTCAATTAATTGCGAAAAATATGCGTTTCAGTAATGCCAATTCTTCAGGTTACACAGTGATTTTCAGATTTTGGGACACATTTACTTCATGACAATGGAATCTAACTGCTCACCATGTGGCCATGAGGGACAGGGATGCAGTCTCACTTCCTGCTCTGAAAATGCTGGGGTGTAGCTAAAATAAGGCCCTGACGATGGACTAAAACTCCTGTGTTTCACAGGAACACAACAATGTGGAACAGCATTTTCTGAATAAACCTTTTTCACTTAAAAATTAAACTCATGATAAATCTTAATCTTTTAACTTCACTTTAAAAGACATCAAAAAGATCAAAAAGGGTTTGGGACATTCACCTCCCAATAGAAAGCACTCTATAATGATATAGGGTAATCCTTGTAAATATTAAGGTCTGAATACCTAATTGTTTTTTTAATTTTTTTACTGTGGGACTGCAGGTTAAACTCATTCAGTAGAATGGTCCATATAGATTGTACATAGATGGCTTTATATTCTTAATAATTCATGTAGGGATGAAAAATAAAGGACTATATCTGCAAATTAGTGCCTGATGAAATACTGCAAGCTGTGCTTTCTGTATGAATTGGGGTCCTCAGTCAGGAACAGGTCAAAGGTTTTCTGCCCTAAACAAGCAGTTCAGACAGGTTGTAAAACTTACAGGTGTGGTGGATCCAGGTGGGATGTAGAACAGTGGTACGCCATTTTTTGTGCTCTCAGGAATGGTGTAGTGCTCCGGGATGGAATTAAAGGACTGCAGATGCACCAGCATTTGGTCTGTCTGATTAATACTGCAAACAAACAGGACAGAGTCACCTAATATCTAACAAAAACAGCAGGACAACAAAACAGTAGGCGTGTAACGATTCTAAGGTCAAGGTCTGATTTAATTTTCAATCATTTATGTGTTAAAATGTCTTAAAACACCATAACACCAGATATACTATCTGAGCTCAGCCTAAGACTTTTTTCATTTGCTTCATATAAATTGCCTTGTACATTTTTTTCAGTTTCTGTTGTGTTAGCCCTCTAACAAAATACGCCCCCAAAACTGCAACACTAGAATGTATAAGCAGCTTTAGTCATTTGAACAAGCCTCGCCCCTCTTCCCACCCAATCTTTGCAATGAAGGCTTGTGCTTAAAATGTAAATGCAGCCTTAGTGTTACAGCACTGACCCCTGCAGGGTGTTCCAGAAGCGCCGGATTACGGAGGTGCGGTAGGGGCTTGTTATGGGTTTGCGCAGGGTGCAGCTGATGTCGTGCAGGATATCGTAACTTCCCTCCATTGTCACCTCCACCCACGTGGTGCGCTTAGCTGGCAGGAGCGGCCAGCAAGCCACTGCAACATACTCTATACGCATGTTGTGTTTCCATAGCAACACCAGCTTCACCTCCAGCTGAGTGCCTCCTTTAAAAAAAAATAAAAAAAAACACCAATACCCCCAAAACACACACACACACACACACACACACACACACACACACACACACACACACACAAGAAACAAACAAAAAAAAAGTCACAGAAAAATACATTATTATTAGTGGTGTTGTAACATTATTGTTACTGTCATTTTTAGAGTAAGAAAGACACAGAGAAAAAGACAACAAGAGAGAGAAAACAAATGAACAGAGAGACGTAAAAGACAGAAAGAGACACACACGTTAACACAACAGACATTCCAAAAAAGGTAGTGAGAATGGAAGGAGTTTTGGTGTTCAAGCGGTGTGATGTTGCGGTATTCTAGCAGTGTACTGTTGGGGAGTTTTGGTGCTGTGGCATGTTGGTGTTGTGGCATTTCAGTTATGTGGCACTGTGGTGTTCTAGTGGTGTGGTTCTTTTGTAGTGCAGTGTTCTGGCAGTGTGGAGCTGTGGCATTTTGGCACTAAAGCAGTGGGGTATATTGGTGGTGTGACACTGTGGCAGTGAGATAATTTGATGGTGTAGTGTTGTGACATTTTTGCACTGAGGTGGTATGACACTTTGGTGTTGCAGCACTGTGGTGTTTTGGCACTGTGGCAGTGTGTGACGTTCTGGCGGTGTGGCACTGTGGTGTTTTGTAGCTGCGGCAGTCTGGGGTTCTGGTGGTGTGGCGGTGCTGTGTTTTGGTGATGTGGCATTTTGACACTGACAAACGGTTGTACTGTTTCCCGCTGTGGTGTTTTGGTGGTGTGGCATTTTGGCATTGTGGCATTGTGGTGTTTTCATGTTGAAGTGCTTGATGCTGTGACATTAGTGGTGTGGCGTTGTCATGTTTTGACATTGTTTTTTTGGTGGTGTGGAGCTCTAGTGTTGCGGCATTTTGTTGCTGGTGTTGTGGCACTGTGGCATTTTGGCACTGTAATGGTGTGTTTTGGCATTTTCGCAACATTGTGTTTTGGTGTTGTGGCCTGTCCATTTTGTGGCATCTTGTCACTTTAGGGTTTTGGCACTGTGGTGAAGTGGTGTTTTGGTAGTGCAGCACTGTGATGTGATGTTTTGGTGTTGTGGTAGCATGGTTGGGAGTTGTGGTGGTGTTTTGGTGTTTACCCTTAGTGAAGTTTATCTCACGGATGGCATATCCCTCCCTCAGTCTGACAGACAACACACTGACCAGCTCAGCATGAACTTCCTTCTCTGTGTGTTTTTTCCGTCGCAACACCAGCGCAGGGTTTCCACTGGCTGACACCAAGTGCTCATTAAACAGCTTGTGCTGAGAGACTGAAAACAAACACAAACACACAATCAAAAACATAGCAACTTTACATCATTTTCTGCTCACCCCAAATATAGTCAAGACATCACAAACAGACTTGCTTATGTGGTTCCTTGACACTGTATGGACAAAAGTATGGACAAAACTCAAGGCTTTGAGATGCTACTCTTTAACTATGCAGCATACTTTGTCCATTTTAATTGATAATAATTTGTCACACAGTGTTAGAAACCACATGTGCAAGTCTACTTGAGATTACTTAACAAACTCAATGCAGTCTGAGGCAAATGAGTAATGATTTAGGCATAAAGTTTGCCTCATAGCTCCAGTGGCACAACAGAACAAAAATCTATAGCCTGTGACCACCAACTTAAACAGAACAGGGCAACGTCTGAAAAAAGGTCACAACATTATGCCGAATTTCTGATCAATATGTTTCTCCTAATAAAATATAAAGGAAACACTGTATCATATATCTTCTCAGACTTGGGTATGTGCATTAATGTATATACTTATATGTATGTGCATATTTATACCTCTGTTCTATGATCTATATTAATTATATACTTTCAAAATTTTCATTTCTCTTATACACTAGTATGCTAGAGTGCTTGCTTAGTAAATGCATGCACACTCACCAAGACAACTTCCTCCTATGTATAGCATACCTGCAGACATAAGACTGAATCTAAAAGGTCTTGGCATTGTGTCTATACAAAATTATTTGTAAATATTTTCAAAATGAGAGAAGTACATGTCACTCTGAAAAGAAAAATGATAAGCTTCTTCACATTCACTAACTTTGACTGATTGCCTAAACAGGGTAGGGACAATCTCTAGTACTGATTATTTTACTGACATGCAATGCACAGGGAAGCACTATAAAAAGCTGAAAATGTGACACAACTTCCAAAAAAACATCATAAAATAAGCCTAATAAATCAGTAATACTGCCCCAAAACCAGCATTTTCTTTGCCATCTGGTTAAATATAGTATATATTTTTTTTTTTTTTGAAAAAGAAAGACAGTTTAGATTTCAAACAATATTTGGTGACTTTGTATATTATCTTTGTAATATCGTTGTATATATTTTTCCTGCTGTCATTGCCTGTTTTTCTATATCTATATATCAGTCCTTTAACTATTTATCGGTTTCTAGTCAGTTATGTGTTCATCTTGAATATTCTGGCAGAACTGAGAGTTGCAGAAGTGGTGGACTGGTGGGGCCCAAAGGGATACCTTTTCATGGGGCCCAAAATCCTTCGCTGCACCCCTGACCAAGTAAACCATCTTCTGTTTCATTTTCTTGTCCATTGATTCATTGAAATCAGTCATTTTAAATTATCACTGTAATCATATGATGCGTTACTGCCATTTTGATTGGCTGTTTCATTAAACCTATTTCAGCTGCCTGCAACTGTTGCGACTGTATTTCAAGTAAATTGGAGAATACATTATGTAACTCAAGTGCAACTGAGTTTTACGTATGTTTCAAGCAACTACATTTTCACTTTCAGCATGCAAAGTCTGCCTTATACCTCAGCAGTATGGTTTAAGACAAATGGGAACACGTGCAATAAAGCTTTCATTACTTCTTAGCTACATCAGTCTTATAACTCTAGTGTAAAACTTTATGTCAGACATCCAAAAAGTCTTGGCTGACTGCAGTCCTGCAGTTTCTTGTCCTTTTTTAAAATGCATAATACCTCCCATGACTTCAATAGAAAAATAAGGGAAAATGAGAAACTACTTTATGGAAAAGTAAACTGTCACTGCACGAGTTCATGTCCCACCGGTGCACTTACAACAGTAATAGTCTGGATTGATTGACTCGCTGGTGCGGAGGAAAGAGTATGTGAGGAAGGCCCGGTGGTAAGTATTCATTTCCTGGCCCACCTGGGCCGGCTCTGGGCATGTGGACAGGTAGGAGCCAAAGGTCGCCATGGAGATAAACTTCATCAGCTCCACGTTGGGGATGTACCCGAAACTGCAGTCGTAAGTGTAAGCCCCGCCCACCTAACAAGCAACAAGCACAGAAAATATATAAAATATAATTTACAACTCACAGCAGTACTTTCAATATCTCAACAGTACAACAGTTGCTGCTTTTGGATTTCTGAAAATGTTCTTAACTCTGATGTACCATAATGTAGCGAGACCCTTACAGAAAAGTAACTTGAATTTCACAGGTGAATAAAATGTGGTTTTACATGTGGTTTTCACACACTTCACATGTTTAAAATGTGTTATCACAAGTCACTGTCAAGTAATGCAAAATGGGAGAAAGGCATGAAAAGTATATGAAAGGTGCGACAGAATTTATTATCCGTCATCAGATCCATGTTGTACCTGCACGAAGGAGCAGGCGATTGTTCCACTTCTCAGCTGGTTCAGCAGAGCCTCACACACAGCCACATCTGGCACACTTGTCACTCCATCTGTGATTATTACTATACCTATAAAAAAAGGAATATTTAACTTTTATATTCCTCCATAGGAAAGCTGCTTTACAATTCAATAAAACTTATAAAATAAAACTAACGCAAGAAGACATTAACAAGGATACTTTAATTTTTCACAGAAACTCAGAAACACAGACTTTAGCAATTCAATGTCGCATGTAAATTAGTGAAAATAGTCACATGCCACTAGTAATTCTCTAGACTTCACTTAGAGAGATATCATGTTTATTTAGATTATCCTGCAAATCATTTGGTAACTTAGGGCTGCAAGACAGCCCAAGGGACATGAAAAACAAATGTAGTCAGTCAACAGAGTTTTAGACATAATTAATTTCCCCTTTCTAACCACTTTACTCACTTTATATTTATTTGAGTTAGCTGACGAGCTTTAAGCAAAATCTGTTAAACAAGAGGAAGCACGAGGATCACATCTTGCTTAACTTGTTGAGCTAAGTGAAAAATCTTGCTTTGTGAAAAACTCCCAGTTGAAGTATTAATAAAACAAACAAAGAAAAGACGACCAACAGACAGACATTAAAAGACAGATGCGTTATTACTCACCTGCGGTGGAGTTTGGGGGGAGGAGCTGAAGGGCCAGTATACCTTGTCGGACCATACTGACCAGTCCCACATCTGCTGTTACCATGGAAACACCCTGCTTCCTCTGTGGCTGCTCCTCCACAGTGTCAATGGGGAGGGAGGGGGAAGAGCCATCGCCCTGAAAACAACACAAGTATTTATTCCATCTGATGCAATTAAAATCATATTTATAAATCGCTTCTTACAAACATCGGCATGTATATGATTAAATCTGGTCGTAAAAGGGGTGTGTGTCAATTTAACAGACAGCTTCAAAATTTGTCCATTTCATCGTTGATGTATCTGCACATGCAGACTCACTGGTCAGAGTGGATGTAATATTTGTAAACATGACTGTGAACTGACACCTAGAAGTCTTTCAATCTAATAGCATGTAGACTACATATAGACACTTGAGGATCAGGCAGACTAGTGGGTTTCCAAACAGCTTGTTTCCACACAAATGAAGCTGATTCATGGCACACTTTGACACCATATGACAGTCATCAGAGTGGTTAAGATTTCACTCCAGGAGCTTAAATCAACTTTTGAGTAAGAACTAATGTCCCAAAGCAACTTGTCCAGAAACTATTTAAAAGGATAAAAAAAAAAAAACAGTGAGAGGAACCGATACTCAAAAAGGGGAACTCATACTCCTCTAGGCTAAACAAATAAGAATTATGACTTAAGACACAATATTTCTTTACAGGCGCTTTTCACACAACACCTACCAGTCTAGGAGGGGACGGACTAACACAAAGTATATTCCAACATCTGTCTTATTATCCATGCAACATTACAGAGCAGGTGGACACACATGCAAGTGCACTTTGAGCAGGGCTGAGCAATGCAATATGTTATCGTCATCATGGGTATCACCAGTACTTTTAGAACACTGAACACCTGCATGGCTACCAAAAAACAAATTTAGACCACTTACAATTAGTAGTGTAGTAGCTGCATTATCCAATAATAAGTAGCTGAATGGATGTCAGCCCATTATGCCACTTTGTTATTTATTTACCGCTTGTTTTGATTCTTCCTTCTGTTCACCTTAAATTGTTTATTTGTGCAAAAATTGGAATAAAATCATTCCACTTCTGTTTTTATATTTTTTTTAAAAAGTAGCACTAGTGTATTGCACTACTTACACTTCTTGCACTGCACTGCTAACACCTGCCACAACATGAACAAAAGGGAGGTATGGTGTGCCAGATTTGGTTGGCGGTTCTCTTGCCTGTTTATGCTGCTGCTGTAGAACCTCAGCGATGTTGTTCTCTACTGCCCGGAGCTGCTGGTAGATCCGATGCAGAAACTGGTCCAGATCTGTGCAGTCCAGCTGGCTCCCCTGCACTAACACCTAAAGAACAGGACCAAACAAATAGCTTTCAAGAAGTTTCCAAGAAGAACAGCCAGTATCAAAGATACAAACGGGGGTAGTATGAAAATTGCCTATCATAATATCAGTAACCAAAATTATCACAGGTTTTGTTGTGTTTTTTTCTTAAAACATACTGACAATGTTTAAGAATACAAATACACACTGAAATCATTTAATCACGGGCATTGTGTTAATAGACATTTTAATGATCTTTTCGTATTTTACCCCCCTCAATTTTACTGCTATCATTTACTGTTCGGATTATAACTGTGTGAATATGTGTTGCCCTGGTGTGTATTTTGCAGTGAAATTGTGACATTAGGATAATTACTTTTACTGTGATTTAAGAAACAAACAAAATAATGTCACTGTACATTATTGAAATTAATAAAATCTGAAATGGCATGATTACTGTTGGGTTACACTGCACTATTTGTCTGCATCATTAAAACTGTTCACTGGCTCATTTAAAAATATAAGCACACATACACACACACACACACACATATATGTATATTTACACACGCACACACAAACACACACAAAAGCAGGCACGTTTGTCCAATGTTTTGTCTCAACTAAAGGGTATAAATAGAGAATTTGTCCCCTCTTTGCTGTACTGACTTTGAATGATTAGTTGTGAATCACAAACACCACTTGAACACATCCTATAAGGTTATATAAAAAAAACAAATAATTTGATCATCTGATTTATCAAGTGTTGTATGTATATCACCTGGGTTGAGTTTGCATGGTGACTCTTACTGATCATAACCATGCTGTAACAAAGGTTTTTAATTCAATGATGAGTGTCATGGAGACTTTGTCATCCCAGATGTACTTAATGGTGCGTCATTACTCGAGAGAATACAATTCCTCCACTCCACAGCAATGCTGCAGAGGTTTACACGCCAACAATTAGGACCGGGTATGCATATGCTCCAAAGCATTCCACTCTACTTCAACTGTTTTTCTATGCAAATTACATGACTTTACATGACGATTAGTGTTCCTTAATGTAGCAGAATACACTAAGAAGAAGTTGACGCACAGTGAATTTCAGCCACTAAAGTGACATGCAATAAAAAGAAAACAAAAACTTTTCAAAGACTCATTTCTTACAGTGACAGGTTATTTGATCACATATTTTGTTATTTGTAATATCAAAATATCTGCTGTTGAAAATTCAAACCCATCAAAACTTCCATAGAAAAGTGATGTAATGACCTGATGTGAGCTGAGACCAACAATGGAGGAGTAAGCAAGGATGGTGATGAAGATTTCTGGCTGAAACAGGAAGTCCGTGCCTGGTACTTTAAATGGAGCAGCCAGTCCAGCCAGGCATCGGGACAGGGCATGGAAGACTTCATCAAATATCATCTCTCCTGTACTGTCATCCTGCAGAACACAGAATAAACATTCAATCTCTCTAAGTCAATGAAACATCTCAGATTTCAGAACAATGACAAGGGATACACCTACGTGGAGTTTCTATGACAGCTGTTATAAACCAATGCAATGTTTCAGTAGAGAGTAAAACAAGCTGTTATAAAGCACTGCAGGGTTTCAGAAGAGAGTAATATGAGCTGTTATAAAACAATGTAGTGTTTCAGGAGAGAGTAAAAAGAGCTGTTACAAAGCAATGTAGCGATTCAGGAAAGAGCAAAATGAACTGTTACACAGCACTATAATGTTTTAGAAGAGAGTAAAATGAGCTGTTATAAAGCACTGCAGGGTTTCAGTAGAGAGAAAAACAAGCCGTTATAAAGCACTGCAGGGTTTCAGGAGAGATCAAAATGAGGTGCTATAAGGCACTGCAGGGTTTCATAAGACAGTAAAACAAGCTATTATAAAGTAGGAGTGTGTAAAAGATTCTTACCACAATCCCGGTGGAGGGGCTGAGGTCCAGCTCGATGATGAAGCGGTATCGCCGGGCCAGGAAGGTGACCCGTGTGGACGGCACCAGCAGGTACGGCATGGAGGTCGGAGGAGAATCGGGCTGCCATCCTTTTGGGAGAATACTCAAAACGTCCAGCTCATTCTCTGATTTAAGCTTTAACACAAACAACCCATGTCAGTTAGCGCTGGCCAAGAAGATATGCAAAAGTCTTATATAGCTATATTACGTCACAATAAGCTCAGCACTTCTAGAACTCTCAAAAACTACCATAAATAATGACAGTTTAGACCAATTATAAACTGTTCATTTACTGCATAGAACTGCACAGAAACAAGTACAATTGTATGTATAAGGTTGGGCACCCTGAGCCAAGGTATATATTCTGTTGATTTTTGCAATGAAAAGAAGTAAACACAAACTCTGCAGCAAACTATTGTAAACTCTGAGAACATAACTTGTAAGGCCTTAACAAACTCAAACTGGTTAGAAATGCAAAGCAAAACCCCACATAACAGCAAAGAACCTGCAAGAAGGTTTGCTTGCACAAACATAATCTGCATAGAAGAGTCATCAGATGAAAACCTTACCTTAATATCCTATTCTATCCAGATAAGCCTGAGGCATTTTGGAAACATATGCTGTGGACTAATAAAGCAAAAACGGATCTCTTCGACTATGATCACTAAATGAATGTCTGGATAAAAAGGAGCAGCATATAATGAAAAGAATACCTTGCCACTGTTAAGCACGAGACTGGATTTATTATACATTTGGGTTTGTGTGGAAATCGGTGGCACAGGAAATACTGCATGGGTAGATGAAAAATGATTCCACTAAATATCAGCAAATTCTGGAAGCAAATGTGACAAAGTCAGTAAAGAAACTGAAGCAGAAAAGAGGTCGGTTTCTACATTAGGACGATGATCCAAAATACACCTCAAAATCCATCATGAACTACTTCAAGAAATGCAAGCTGGTGTATGTAGCCTAAACACGCAGACAAAATCAGATTATACTTTAATTTAATTCTATAAATCATTTGCTGCCATGAATCCCACCTACTCTGTGTGTGTTTCATGTTTAATTATAGTTTTGTGGTAGTGGAGATGCAGTGAGTGAATCTGCATTCATTATCCATAATTTTATTTAAGACATTCTGTTTCAATTAGAGTAACTGCAACTAATATAAGCAATTTTATTCAAAATATTCAGTCAGATGCTGAACAGTAAGCAATTTTCCCTCCCACTGATTATGCTAATATTAAATAGCAGACTTAATGTCTTACAGTTCAAAAGTTTATTTTATGTAATAAATCTGTCTTTATCATTTATGCTAATATATTGATCTTCCACTGTTTTTAAAAACACGGCCGCTCAGGAATTTGAGTCGTTTCTTTTATTAACTTTTTGGTCTGTCCATACAGCATGGGATTTTTTTTATTATTATTTTCATTATTATTGTGGGCTATTTAGTATGGGGAATTAAATGACACAGCACCATTAATATGTAGGTGTGTTTAAACTGCTGTGTGCCACAGTTGGCCTACTATTTTTTCTACTATTATTTCTTAAATAGAAAATACATTTTTTAACAGTTTGTTTTTAGATCTTTTCAGTTAAAAAATCAACAAAGAATGTCATTTGGCCAGGGATAGCCAAACTATTGCACACAACTGTAGTAATCTGAAAGCCAGCCCATTAAGGCATGTCCTTATTTAATTAATTTATTTTCATGAATTGTTTGAATTATCAACACAGTCAAAAGTGGCAAATTAAAGGGGAAAAAAAAAACAACAAAATGTCTTAGTAAGACGTTGGGCCACCATGAGCTACCAAAACAGCTTCAGCGCACCTTGGCATAGATTCTACAAATCTCTGGAATCGCACTGGAGTCATGAACCACCATTCTTCCAAAACATATTCTCAGTTGGTGTTTTGATGATGCTGATGAAGATTTGTTTCTCACATGTTAGTCCAAAATCTCTGAAAGGTGTTCTATTGGTTTGAGATCAGGTAACTGCGAGGGCAATAGCAAAGACTTTCCATCATTTTTATTCTCATTAAACCAGTCAGCGAGTGACCGCTCATACATTAGGGATGAGGACAGTGCCATTCTGGAAGATACTACTACCATCAGCATAGAAATGTTTCATCATATGTTAAAGGTGATCAGTCAAAATAACTCTGTATAGATTCACAGTGACCATTACCTCTAAGGGGACTAGCAGACATAGCCTATGCCAGCAAAACACCCCCTACAGCATAACAGAGCCACATGAGCCCCTCATTATAAGCATAAACCATTCAGGCTACACATGCACTTACCCAAAGTATCATGAATAAGGACTCATCCTACCATGTCATGTTTTTTCACATCTCTGTAGACCACTGCCTATGGCTTTTGCACCACTGAACTTTGAACTCCACTGAATAGTGAACTACTGCCCAGACCTTGCTCTAAACACACTCTTTCCATTTAATTTGGGAATAGCTAATCTGGGTAAATTTTAGACTCCTTCTAAAATAACATAACGTGACTTTTGCCCCCAAAATCAATTACAGCCCTATCGTACCACCTCGAACTTCGGAGAGGGCCGGATGACCTGATTTAGCCTGCTGAGGAACCAGGACAGGCGCACATTTCGTGATATGTGATAGTCTTCTTTCATCAGCAGGTACACCTGGTCTGCCTCCTCCACCTGCAGGAGAAAGCATAGCCCACATTTTTCCAACAGGCCCATTATTTGGAAACATGCTCAACGTCAAATTCATGCATCTATCATATTTATGTTGCACCCCATACATAAAAATGTATGACCCCAGGGTCTATTTAGGTAGCACTACAGCAAGGCATTGGTAAAGTGCTGATATGATTCGTAGTGGTGTTTACACTGGAACAGAATTACACGCGAAAGAAGTAGAAGGCCTTTAGTGCAAAAACAGCTATATACAATGAAGTGAACTCTGAAGCAAATCTATACAGTCTAATGGTCAGTTTATAAATAAATAATGGCAAAGAATGAATGAACAAGCTACAGCAGGTCTACATTAATCTCAGAGAGAGACATGAAACAACTCATCTGGGTTCATGGACAGAGGACTAAATTACATCTGGGTCAAAACAACACAAGCACACTGACCTACACTTAACAAATGACGGTCTACAGAGAGTCACTTCTTGCTTTTTAAAATAAAGATGTTGCTCTAAGAGGGAACCATTTCAGGGAGGGGCTGGTAAACAACACTTACATGACAAGGTTCTTGTTTTGTTTCTTGGACTCAATAACATACTTTTTTTGCCACTAAAACAGGTTTTCTCTCTTTTTACTGATTGGTTTTCTTCAGCTGGGCATTGCTGCATATTTTGCAGTTTGACTAAGTGACATAAGGTGTTTTACAAATATTTAGGCACTTTAATTATAAGCAACATATTCTGATAAAACAAGGAAATGAAATTATGCATATAGAACTACAAAAGTAAGTCCTGCAATAATCGCTCTTTAACAAGCTAGCAACTTACGCAAAAATAAATAAATCACAGGACTGTCAGTAAACAAGTTCCAGCAAAACAGAATAAACAGAGAGCATTAACGCGAATTTACCTCATTGTCCTGTCTTTCTGCCATGCCGTGTTTACCATTACTAGCAGATTCGTTGTTTGCACTACAGCGTTTACCAACACAATAAACAAAATTATCAATATTAATATTTTTTCTATCACCGCCAACTTCGCCTTGCTGTCTGCGGTTAGCTTAGCCTAAAGCTAACAGCCCCTCCGGAACACTAAAGAGGGAACACAGTGGGTTTAATAATGTCAAAATAAAAGTTTCTACCCTGCCACAACTTATCATAATGTCACAATACGGTTACTTAGATTTTAATTAAATCAACGCATTACTTAAAATAATTAATTAAAGATCAGAAAATTTGAAGCCAGAAATGAGGGGATGGCATAGTTGACAGGAGTCAGAATCAATTTGACGTCGTTTGATACACAATGAAAATATATAATACAATTTAATCTCTTACATTCACGTATTTAATTATGCAAGACTTTAATTTAGCCGAGTTTCAAAAATCTAATTCTAATCTGAACATGTTAAATCTTTTTCTCTCAGTTTCAGAAATCCCTGCCTAAAAAATTGAGGGCTTCTTTTTGTTTTCTGTGGCCTGTGCTTCCGGCGCTGAGTGTCCGTAAACTGCTGTGCTATATGTAAACATGCAGGTAAAATCAGGTTGTACTTTTAGATTTTAGAAATCATTTGCTGCCACGAATCCCGCTTACATTAAATAACAGCTTGTTTGTTTGGTATCTGTGTGTGATTAGTGTTTAATTGTAACGCTAGTCTTGCGGTAGTGGAGCAATTAGCTAGTGAATCTGCCTTCATTATCCACACTTTTGTTCAAGGTATTCCGTATATTAGAGTAACTGCAGCTAATCTTAACAGTTTTATTCGAAATATTCAGTTAGACGCTGGACAATAACAGATTTTATCACCTGCTGACAGTGCCACTACTAAATAGCAGACTCTTAAGGAGCTTAATCATTTTTAATTTTTAATAAATCTGTCTTTATCATTAATGCTAGCTAATATATTGATATTCCACAGTTTTTAGAAACACGGCTACACGGGAAGTTGAGTCCAAAGTGCAGAGAATAACGTTTCTTCATTAATATTTTAGTCGGTCCGTGTAGCATGGGATTTTTTTTGTATTGTTCTCGTCATCATTGTGGGATAGTTAGTATGGGGAACAGAATTACAGCGCTATTAAAATGCAGGTGTGTAAAATGCTGTGTGTAATTTGCTTCTCTTTCTGGATAAACACAAGGCCCAAACCCATGTCCAGTAACAGCTCTCTGATGGGATCATGGCTAAGGGAACTCTGTTTTAAAGAAGTACTGATTAATTATGAAAACTCTTGTTCTTTTTGGCTGCATATCTTATTGCTCAATCTAAACTTTTTAAGTTTTAAATATAGTAGGTGCCCAACTGTTAATTAAGTTTACACTACTTTCCGAGGATTCACTAAAATGTATTCAATAAAACTGTATCAATTCAGTTTGCTTCATTAAAATGACATCTTTTGTAGAAGGTTTTTATTTATTTTCTTTGTTAGCCTCTTTTGTGTAGGTCATTGTTGACTTATTATAATTTTTCAGCAAAGAGAAGAAAAGCAGTTGGAAGCGTCCTTGGAGTCTCTGATTTCTCGAGTTGCGCATCTGAAGAATTCTCTCCAGAGCTTCATCTATAAGCTGGAAAATGAATATGACAGATTGTCATGGTGAGTACCAGATCTTGGCATACACAGGCGTTGAAATCCACAGGCGTTTTTGTCCATCCTTCCACTGTGTGAAGACAACTCAGTGCTATGGTTCTGAAAGGTTGTGAAGCTGTTACAAAGCTATTGCTGAGAGGAAAAAATAGACAAAAAGAAGTAAATTTGCTAATCAAATAAAGAAGCTACTGGTGTCCTCAGCACAATGACCACCCCAAAAGTCCAGACCTCAACATCTTTGAATGTATTTGGGATTACTGTGGAAAAAATATCCCTGCAGAAAGTGTCATGAAAAGAATGGAAACTGTAATAAAGGCAAATGGTTGAGTTTTAGTATTTAATACTGAAAAATGTTATATTTAGTTGTTGTGATTTTCTGCGTATTTTTTATTAAATATGTATTCTTTTTTTTCTGATACTGAAAAATGAAAAATTGTTTTGCCTGGAAATGAAATAAATTCAGGTTGGTCTATTACTTTTGCACAGTATACTATATATTAAATTGGTTTGGTTTTAGATAAAGTGCAGAAGGACACTGTAAAAAAATTATAGTCAGGTCAACATAAAATTATAGGGCAGTTTTGGATTATCTCAACTCATGAGTTATCATAAGGATGAGCAGGTTTGCATCCCACCAGCACCACAACCCTCCATGATCAGAAGTCCAAGAGGAGGAAACACTCCTCTTGCCTGTGGCATCATGCCATAAAGGGAGACCTAGCCAGCAGGTGGGAATTAGCAATGTCCAAAATGAGGTGTGAGTAGAAATAAAGTAGTGAATATCAAAGTGTATGCAATGTCAGCTAATAGGGAGACTAACTGTGTTATTTATTTTTAAAAATGTATTTCTTTTTTGAGTAACCTCATCTTAAAATAAACATGAGTTGGAAATTATAACAGATTTTCCTTTTGTACTGTGACATATTTCTGAATAAAATGCAGCATAAGGGAGGGTCTCTGAGCAAGCTGATGGGTGGGGGTGGTGGGAAGGTGAAGTGAAACATGATATTATTGGTCAGTATTATTTTCCCTGCCCACTAATGTAAGAATAGGCAGTGGGGGCAGAACTTCTGGCAAAATGTTGCATTTGAGAAAAAAATTGTTTTGGGAAAATTGAAGCATGTAAATCTGTTCTTGAAGACCCCAAAAATAAAATTCTGAACACTTTAAATGAGCCTAATAGGTGCCCTTCACAGTCCTGTCATTCAGGAAAGAAAATTCTGAGTTGTTTTAGTGTTATCATGGATCTTGTATACTCATATTTATCCCTAGTGCATAAAACAGAGAACAGAGTGTCACCGATATATTTTGTTCATCTCAGGCCCTCAGTGCTGGACAACTTTGCCCTTTTGTCCGGGCAGTTAAACACAGTCAACAAACTGTTACGTAATGAGAAAACTCCATCCTACCGGAACCAGGTCATCATTCCCCTCCTGCTGTCTCCGGACAGAGATGAAGAATTGGCAGTAAGTGTCTGTCCTTCATTACTGACCTCATCAGAAGAGGTGAAAATGTTAGCAATCTTACATCCATTTTTTTTTTCCCTTCAATTCAGAAACTTACAGAGCAGAGGGTACCAGTTTTCAGTCACGAGATCGTGCCGGACCACCTCAGAACAAAACCTGACCCAGAAGTGGAGGAACAAGAGAAACAGCTGAGCGCAGAAGCTGCCAGGATTGGACCTGAAGTAGCTCAGGTAGTACATTAATAGTCATGGATTCTTAAAAAAAATCAAAGTGAAATAAAATAATTATTTAATTTGAATATTTTATAGACTATATTCTATTTCATTAATTAATTTATTAAATTTTATTTATTTAGTAGCTGTAAACTTTTAAAAACGTCAGTTTAAACTGAGGAGGCCAGCTGCATGGCTTTACTGGACTTAACTCAAACATAGTTTAATCAGACTGCAGCACTGCATCTCATCCTCAGGTAAACAATACAGTTTAATTTAAAGTTTTGGGGGCTGAGTTCTGAATGCTTCCTCCTCTCAGTCTCATGACCATGGAGGGATGACGTCACCAAGATTCGGTCTCATAATAAGTTTAAATTTTGGTGACGTCACAGGGATTGCAAGAGGAGGAAGTGCACAACCCTGATCTTCCCAGCCAGAAGATGTAATGTGATAGGAGTAGTCATAAGCTATGAATGGAAACTGGCAGTGACAAAATTTGGGGGAGGGGTGGGGGATTTGCATTAGGGAACAACTCCTTTGACCTTACCTTGAGTTAATTCAACAAAAAAAGCTTTCAGTTCACAGGCTTAAGTTGACCTTGCTTTTTTTACAGAGTAATAATTCAGGTAGTGCATTAATAGCTGTAGTAGATCTGGTTGTATTTTAGTTATAGTAGCTCAGATTGAGTAGTAATAGCCATAGTTGCTTCAGTCAGCATCAATCTGATCGATCTGTTATAGGTACTTAAAAGTTAGCATGTCTGTGAATAAGTGATGCTATTGATTTTGTTCTGTCTTTACATAAAACTAGCAACTTTGTTGTAGGTTAAACAAGCTAAAGATTCCTATATCTTGGTGTTGTTGATTTAACCTTTTGAATATTGGGTTGTTTAAACAGAAACAGATCCAGGCACTGAATAAACTCTGCTCAAACCTGTTGGAAAAGCTCAACAATCCTCGGGATGACAGAGAGGCAGAAACTGCAGGTGTCCTTTTATTCTCTTCACCTTCGGGCTTAGTTGTATGATATCTGGAAAGAAACCAGATTCCACTTAAATTCTGTTAAGTGCACCATGTAATTAGCGTACCACTAGTACCTACATTGTTTTGGAAAAGATTAAAAGAAAAAACAAAATGCAATGATGTGCAAATCATTTAAACACTATATTTCATTGAAAATAGTACAAAAACAACATATCAGATGTTGAAACTGAGAAATTTTATTGTTTATTGAAAAATATTTGCCCATTTTGAATTTAATGCCAACAACACATTACAAAAAAGTTGGGACAGGGCAGCAAAAGGCTGGTAAAGTTGTGTAATGCTAAGAAAAACACCTGCAGGTCAGTAACATGATTGGGTGTAAAAACAGCATCCAGAGAGGCTGAGTCTTGATCTCCTCAGCTCCCACTCGCTTACAGAGTTTGTTAAAAGAAGAGGTGATGAAACACAGTGGTAAAAGTGGTAAAAAAAAAAAAAGTGTTTTTTTGGAACGTGTTGTTGGCATCAAATTCTAAATGGGCATATATTTTTCAAAAAAACAATAACGTTTCTCAGTTTCAACATTTGATATGTTGTCTTTGAAGTATTTTCCTTTAGAATATGGTTTACATGATTTACATATCATTGTATCCTATTTTTATTTACATTCTGCACAGCGTCCCAACTTTTTTGGAAATGGGGTTGTAAATATAGTAATGATCTTAGTACTTAAATAGTTAAACATTATTCTGACAGTTCCAGTATCTCCTTTGGAACAATGTTTGCATGTATGTAACACATTTGTACAGTGTTACAGTGTTTACAGTGTTTTTCACAGTGTCGTCTGAGCTTCTGCTAAGCGTGTTGTAATTCTGTAATTTTTATACCTGTTTCCTCAATATATGTATGTAAAGAACACAGTTCTTGTGCTGCTGTGGTAACTCATGACACAGTTTTTTTCCAGATGAAGTTAAATAAAGTTTATATCTGTCCCTCTAGTTAGCTAGCTAGCTGGCTACATTACAGTAATTATTTATATATTTCAATTATTTATAAGATTACAATTATTATTTATACATTACAATTATTATTTATATATTTTTATTCAGCTTTGCGTCAGAACAAACCATCATTCAATCCAGCCGACACCAACGCCTTGGTGGCAGCAGTAGGCTTTGGGAAGGGGCTTTCAAAATGCAGACCCCCTGGCCCTGTCACCCCCGGCCATCCAGGACAGCCCATGATGACTGGTGGACCCACCCTGCAGCAGGTCACTATTGCTGGCACCTCGGGACACCAGCCGGGCATGGGGGCATCAGGGACTCAGCAACAACCTGGACAACCTGGTATGTCAACTAAATGGGTAAAATGGGTTAAAAAACAAACATTATAGAGCACTTTTTTTAAGTAAATGACACATCACCAGTAAAAATTCCCATCAACATTTGGATGTTGATTCATAATAAAAAAATCGCTGACTATGTCAACTAATTGTTGCAGCTCTAATAAGTAGAGTTTAATATAATAATGACTAAGTAAATAAGATGCTTCTCTTCACTAATACTGTTTCTTTTTTTCTGCAGGGAAAATGCCGAGTAGCATTAAGACAAATATCAAGTCAGCCTCTGCTTCACTGCATCCTTACAATCGGTGATGTCAGACGGAAAAACGATTTTTTGGAACGTGTTAACAAAAGAACAACAAAGCCATGATTTTTTTGTATGTTTATGGGGTTGATTTTTTTTTTTTTTCTTTTCAAAATAAACATTTGTGAAGACGAACTAAGTTGTCCCTAACTACAATATTATATATTACGGATATGCCCTCATATATTTGGGCCTTTCTACCAAATTAGTTCAAATTGTGGTCCCAGATTAAAAAATGAAAAAAAACAATTAGTTATTCAAACCTTAGATATTTACAAGGATTTTGTTATGATTTATTTAAACTGAAGGCATTAATTGAGATAGTAATAAGCTAAATATATACAAAATACTCATTGACTAGCTGTGTTTGCTAGTTATGTAAAGATTTGGTAAAAATTTGGTAGTGTTATGATTGTTTTGTTAGTGACAAATGTCCACTCAATGTTAAATAATAAACATATTTAAGGTATAAGGTCATTCAAAGCAAAAGTCAGTTAAAAATGTGTTCTTGAACAAATTCAGTAGAATTATCCATATGCATGTGAACTCGAGTTATTCCTTCAAGGTGCCAGTATTAGAATACTCATCACAAATTGGCTATTTGTTACGGAAAAGTTTTGAGAGTTTGGGAATCTTGGTGTCCCATCCATTTCCTGACAAGGCTTAGTCCTGCTTAGTATCTGAACTGTGAGGATGTGACTTAGATGGCTGATGTAGCACAGCTGTATCGCTGGGCTGTGTAACTAGGCTAACTAACTCTAACTGACGATAGCAAGGCCCAGAAACAGTGTGTGCTCACTTTGCCACGAGTGAAAAATATATTTATCTATTTAACCTGTTGGGAAAATGTCCACTAAGACAACACATCCTCATCAGCACCCAGCGTTGTACCGGTTAGCTGAACTTTTAGCTCATCTGATTCGCTCACTTTTACATATCCACCTACTGATTTCTTTTTACATATATATTGTCGCATCTACCACACGCTCCCGCATTTCAAGAGGAGCTGTTGTATGGTTAGAGATGACTTTTCCTACTATTCTCACCCTTATTCAGTGGCCTTTTCTGCTTTGTTCAATAAAAGAGCTATTTCCTTGAGCAGAAAAATGGCATTCCCTGGTTCTTCTTTTGAGCGGACACCACAATAGTGTCAAAAGTGGGATCTCACTACCAAACTAGAAGAAATTGAGCAGCAGATCAACAAACTTAAGGGCGGATGGCAAAGAAGACAAAGCCGCCAGTGTCTTCGTGTTGGTGGTAGAGCTGAGCAGAATGATTTGGCAGGCCTTCTTGGCATTTGAGAAGGCTGTACAAGAGGAGTTACCACTGGAGCATTTCTTGAATGCACTGCTGGCAGAAGGACTGAGAGAGCATGTTCAGCTTGCGCACCGGCCAGCCTCTCAACAGCTGCTGCCAAGGGAGAGAGGGCAGAACTCATCTTCAGTGAAAAGAAACTGAAGCGAGTAACACCATGCTATGTGGTGGAGGAGATTGAGGAGGAGGTGACTTGTGGTGCAGCAAAGACGGGAAACAGCACGCTGCCGTCCTCGTCACAGGCTTATCAGATGTCATGAAGGAAGATGTCATGGAGAAAGATTGTGCACGGACACCACATCGACGCTGGTGATGCTGCTCCCAGAGGTGGGCAATATGGCAAAAATATAATACTGTAATACTTCAAGAAATATTCACAATAAATAATATGTAACCATATTTACTTTATCAGACATCTAATCAGTTGGAACAGAGAAAAAAAGAACCTGTAGTGCTACATTTAAAAGAGCACTATCAAACACTGAATACATTGATTTTTATTTTGCATAACGTGTTGCACTAAATCCAGTTAAACAAGACTATTTATGGTCTCTTTATAATGAAACAGGCAGTTGGTCAGTGTTCTGCAAGTACTGTCGATATGTTCAGAAAAGCATATTGTGTCGTGACATTTATTACGATAACAATATTGTCATATTGCCCAGCCCTAGCAGCTCCAATTCAGCTCCGGCCTCACCAGCTTTCACTGGCCAAGAAGGAGCCTGCAGCTTGCTGGGGCACGGGTATGGCTGTACAACCTGCACTGCAGGAGAGGGCACTGCTCCAAGCTCCAGTCACTGTGGGAGGTACTTCACGTGGTAAAAGAGTGCCTGGGCAAGGTAGTGCAAGTGGGGGCTATGAGGCATCCACCACATGCTTATTTCAGCAGTAGCTCAAGGGGTCTGTCATGCAAAGCTGCGTCTGTTCCGTTGTTAATTAGGGGTGGGGATCTCTATGCACCTCACTATTCGATTCGATTACGATTCAGAGGGCTGAGGTGCGGTTATAAAATGATTATCGATGCATCTTTTTTTTTCTATACAGGATTTCTTTTTTCTCACTGTGTGAGGACTTCGTACTTTTAAAGCAATAGAAGTTATATAAATTAATTTACTTCCAAAACCTTTTATTAATAAAACAAATGGAAGTGATGTGGCAAGTGAACTGGAAGGCTCTCATTCACTGCGCTTGCTTGGAACACATGAGATGCAGGCTGCCACTCATCTGCGATACAATGTGCAGTTATGGTGACATAAGACCCAGTGGCAATAGGTGTCCACGCAATACATGTTACAGCTCTCCTACCCGTTTTCTTTAATATTTTTTTATTGTAACTTCGGTTTTTGTCTGAATTTGGCTGCATTTTATTGTGTTCTGCTGTGGGTTATTTAATGTGGGTTAAGTGGATGTTGTACGGTGATAGATGACCTTTTCTCCCTGTTGTTCAGTGGCCTTTTCTGCTTTGTTTAATAGAATTTTCCATGAGCTGAAAAATGGCATTATCTGGTTGTTCTTCTGAGCCAACACCACAATATATATTCCTAAAAATATATGCCACAGTTCCAGCATTGTACCATAGGAAGGACTATTGTGTGTTATGGTGGTATGGTGTACTGTACTGTTAACAGTAAATGGCACTTCCTGAAAAAGATGTTATTTGTTAGCCATATGGTACAGTCAATGGTATTTTAATACATCTTATAAACATTAAAGACTGTACAATATCATATTGACTGTGTCTTTGTGGCTGAGGCTGCTGGGAGGTCATAACTTGCAAGCCACAGCATTTTCCCAGCGCTCAGCAGTGAGGAGTTTTAGCTGTGATGGCCTGCAGTTATTTTGAAGCCAGCCTATATTTTTTGCGTTGCCCCTAATGCAGCAGTTCTGAGGGTAACGTGGCTGGACACAGCACTGTCTGGCCCCATAATGTCACTTTGGCTAAAGGAAGGAGGGGGAATAAAGTTGGTTCTGACTGCAGGGGGGCATACACTGCCTGGGCTGTGTCCACTCTCATTCATGTCCAGCTGTACCAACACAACCTGGGACAGCAATTACACACCTATTGACCTACATCCAATCACTGTTCTGTTAGAGAACTACAATTGTTGTAATGAAGAGGTTGTTGGGTAAAACATCACATTTACATTATTTGTCCCCTTTCCTGGGACAAAGAGAGACAACGTTCAGGTGTCAAGATGGCTGCTACTACAATTTAGCTATGTGATGTACTTTTGCATATTTTTTATTGGCAACAGAATGTCATACAGTGTCTATTTGAGATTAGTGTACAACTTGATGCTTGAGAAAAGAATGATGATTTAGGCACAACGTACAGCTTTATTAGCCTCTTACTTTCAGTGCAAGGCTAAAGAAAAGAAAACTAGGTACAAAACATGCATTGGCTTATTGACAACATTAGGAATTAGAGGGAAATTGTGTAAATTAGATTTTTCTCCAAGCATTCACTGTAAATGTGTATACAGAGCAAGACCAAACAGGGTTCAAGCCCAGATGATTTAAAACCAGAGCGCGAAACATGTGAATTTGAACTACTGCTTTAAGTTAAGAGGTGGGGGTGGCACCTCTGACTTATAAGTGACTGTGATCAATGTGAATAACTGTAAGGTATAAGAATTTACAGCTTTAGGAAATCACACCAAATGTTTCACTCAAGTATGGAGTGTCAAAGTGCTATGGCAAAGATTCAAGTGAAAATGAAAAAGTGTTGAGGCTCTTTTAACCTCGCCAACAGGCAATTAACACATCTGTAGTAGAATGTGGATCTTCTCTAAACCTTTTTTTTTGCATTTAAATCAATTCTGCTCCAGTCCTCCTATATATCAGTTAATCCAACTAATGAAGGAGAGCATTTCTTCTGAAAATCATCATCAGTCCTTAAGTATCTATTGCAGGAAACTAGAACAAACAGCTGTTTTATGTCGTTTGCCACAGACGGCCTGAAGACAAAACTGACCACTAGAGGTCACCATTGTTTCACCTCCAAAACAGTTTTCCAAAACACAAACATTCTCTCACATCATCTCCGCTTCAGGGATGATCTCTGGGAAACAAAATGAACAAAACAACAACAGGAAAAAGGTCTTACTAATGATCTAATGATGAAATGGTCTTACTTTCTTAAAAGGATTAATTTCACTATTACAAATAATAGTCTTGAGTCTCTGATAAATGTCAAGGCAACAAAAAATGAAAGAAATGGTAATTGTTTTGTTTAATTCTAATTTTTATTTTTTGTTTACCTCTTCTAGTGACTTTGAATAAGCTTGTAAATGGCTTGGTGACTGCATGCAATCTTCAGTGGCCTACATGAAAAACCCTTTTTAAAAAAGTGAAAAAATAAATAAATATAAGGACAATAAAATGGGGAAAAACGAAGGGGAAGTAATATCATTGATGGTTAAAAAAAGCCATGATGCATAGGCACACATATTTAAAAAAAATTCTCTGTTGTGCTGTTCAGGGTCATTCATTTGTACAATTTTGTGAGGGGCATTTCTCAGTGCCAGACGGAGGGCTGATGCCACTGATGCCTTTTGGTTGGAGGCAGTTTGGTTAGCCCTGTGTTTGGGATGATGGTGGAACTCATAGTGACAGGCACCTCCCGCCTTGAGTCTCTGAGGAGGCCCAGATGCGCCTCCTTCTGAAACATCATCACAAGAAGACACGGATCTTGGTGACTGACCCTGAATACGCCGCCTTTTCTTATGGAAACACAACAAACACATACAAAAGCTCACACACAGCACAAAGTCATAATCAAGACTTGAACTGAGCCAAAAATAACTCCAAAAGACACTGCAGCTTTTTTCTTTGTGCAGGGTGAGCTCACAAACAAACACAAACAACCCAAACCCAAATCTGACCTAACAGCACAGGTAAAACCAGTAGG